CACCCCCGTGGTACGGCCTGCACCAAGACCAAAAAATGTCCTTCCCAGCTCCGGGGGTTGCTTCTGGTTTTTTGGATGGTTTTTCCTGTGGCTTCTGCGTCTTGCGCTTGGAGTTTTCCGGCTTAGCTTTTCCTTTCTGCGCCTGGTTCATTGACCTTGCCATTTTCTTTTCACTTTCTTGACACCAAAATTTCCCTTGTCACTTCGGGGGTTGACTTTCCGCAAGGAAGAGGAGCGAGGGTGGTTTTGTGGGCAATTGACATGCGCATAATTTCCCTTTCCATGGGGTCGAGGCGGGGGCGGCTTTTCCTACTTTTGTGGAGGTGGGGGGCCCCGCACCTCATTTGGGGAGAGGAGGACTGGTGGAAGTTTTTTGATATTGTCATGGTGGGGAATACTTTATATATTTTTGTTTGTTTGCTTTTAATTTGGAGCTTTCACCGGCCGGCATTGTTTGGCTCTAATGGTCCTCAAAATTTAATGGGCTACGACAGCCGAAAAGGGGAAAATTATACGAGTGTGGAGATGAGGCGTTCCCAAATGGGGCCACCCAGAAGTTAAGTGTATTCGTAATTCCTAATCACACTCGACATTCAGTTTAGTTACTTTGCAAATCTGTTGTGATTACCAGGCAAGATTTCAGGGACTTGGAAAGAATTGGGGATAATTCAAGGCGAAAGCTAGATTGAGTTGTGTCTAAATGTAAACTTTTGAAAGGTTCTTATCGAATTTGAGAGTTTTACTAGTTCTCTTTACCTAAAACATAAAATAAGTCTGTCGTAGTAAATTTTTCTAAGCAATCCATATATTTTCTACAAGAAACTACTACATATATGTATACTCCTTCAGAAATGTTAACAAACTTGTAAATTCTTTCTTGAATTTCAATTATCATCTAAAGAAAGTTCCGTTTTCCAGTGGAATTTTCCACATTGAAGCAATAAAACTCTATAAATCGAATCGCACTTCCCCTCCAGCATTAACATCTGCATCTATCGATCCAAAAGCTACTGCCTCAAAAGTGAAGAGCAATGGGATCGATCGGATCAACCATAAAATTGCCACTTGAACAAAGATATATGGATCTGCAGCATAACTACATACATAATTCCAATCAAAACAACACTTGAGGAACCTCCCACCAAAATCTAAGGAGGGGAGGGATGAGACCCCTACCCCCAAAATAGAAGCACCTAAAAGAACACGAAAGAAAGCTCGATCAGTATGCGGCGAATGCCCCCTAAAATATGTAGAAATCATGAAAATGAATTGGAAACCAGAGCTAGAGGGAGAGAGAGAGGCATGAACACGGGGCCCACGAACTTATCTAATACTATGGATACCGTTACTCGAGGGGTCACTGGCCAGGGAGCCACAGGCCCATCCACAGCACTTGTACTCAAACAAGAACCAGACACAAGCACACGAACACGCACAAGCATGCTTGGATTACTCTCCCCAGCCGGTTATGTCACGTCCGATTGGGGGGAGGGAAATTCACCGTTGGGACATTTCATACGATTTGAGTGCAAGTCGTTTGAGTGCAAATTCAGTTTGTTGCATGCGGGGATATTTATTTCCAGCACTGATGTGGGAAATTTGTTCGGGTTTGAGAGCATGTTTGAGGGATGGGAAATGGTTGTCCCTTTTTACCGAGGAGTGTGGGTAGTCTGAGTGGAGTGAAGCTCGTTGATTTCCCAGCGGGATGTTTTCGGTTTGAGGGAAGGGAAATGGTTGTCACTTTGTTTGAGTGGTATTCTGAGTGGAGTGAAGTGGTGGGATATTGCGGAGATGGGAGAAGTTTGTTGAGGCATTATATCAATAAAAACTGCAAAGGAAATAAAAAAAGAGCAAACGAGTACTTTGGGATGATGTCTCTCTTTTCTCTCTCCGTCTATAGATTTAATTCTTTCTAGAGTGGTCTTGGAACGATATTTCATACGAGTATTTGCATGGTACGGTTTACGGTTATTCGAAGAGCCTGCTAATAAGAATTCAAATCCATCGACCATCTAGTTTAGACCCTTATCAATCTTCTGTATGTGACATGTACATACCTCTTGACAACACACACAGACCCATTGCAAAAACCCACCCACCCTTCCGCACGCTCAAATTCCCTTTTGCCCAGCCATCAGCTGTTCGTTCGAGCTGCGCAAACTCCAGGCGACTACGCAATACAATTGAAATTGCTTCGGGGAGAACGCGCACAGTGCGTGGTGCTCTTAGAAGAAGTTTCCGCAGACACCACCACCAGAAACACTGACAACAGGGAAATTTCGGGTTTTTTTTTTTTTGGGAAATACTTGAGTCGTGACCCATTTTCAGTAGAACATTTGATGGAGTTCAAAGACCTCACGGCCGTCCGTCGCTCAATGTGTTTGCGTTGTGTGGTGTGGAGAGGAGCGACGAGTGACGGGGGTCGTCGGCGGACAGGCAGGGGGACGGACTGGCGGACTGGCGGACGGACAGCTGAGCGGACAACCCCAAAAAGCCTAGGGCTTAATTTTCAGCTGTGCTTTCTGCCTTTCGCTTTCTGTGTCTAATTTAATTCTTATTTTCTATTACACACACACAAAATGCAACTGTTTTTCGGCTGTTTTCGGTTTAGATGCGTATGGTATGGGGGCTCTGTCATGATGTCATTTTAGAAGTTTGTTTTATATTCTTCTGTGGGGGGCAGGAGGCCGGCGAGGGTGGAAATGCATAATCAGCATTCTGCTTTATTTATGCGTACATTTTATGCGTGTCCCAAGCTGAGGATTGGTAGGGCGCTCTGCAATCCCATATCATAATATGATGGTGGTTGCTATACAGACACCCGGCCGACCCGCCCCGTCCATGTGCCTTGGCTTGACCCATATATGCAGACTTTTGGGGCGAAGAACATACGACCAAATTTAAGTATTATTTTATTTGATGGTAGTGATAGAATTAGCATGAATTTAATCAAATATTTAGATTTGTGGTTCGTTTAGTTAGACGTTTATGATTAGATATGAGTTACTTGACGTATGGCAGATAATTTTTGCTGCGATTTATTGTAAATTGAGTATTTCTAAGGACAGATAAGACATGCTCTAGGGATAAGCTTATTTGGAAACAAACTGCGGCGGAAAATTTATAAAAAATCAATCAAATAGGCAGACCAATCCTCTGTATCTTCTTCATTCTCTACCGCAGACCGATGGATCAGTGATTCCCCCATAGCCTTTGAACTCCAAAAAACATATTGAAATCTTTGAGCACATACCAAAAACTCTCATCAAAGATGATCCACCATCTCCGGTTCAGTGCCTTCTGTAAAAACGGAAGCTACAAATCAATTTGGGGGAAAAAAGCCGCCCCCACAGCACACCCACAGACAATGGATAATAAAAAAAACTGTGAAAAGCGGTCAAAAATTAAACGAAATATAATCTTGGCCACAAAATTTCGTTGCTGCTGTCTTTGGGATGCTTTCTGGAAAGGAAAAACAAATCTTTGGACTATGGAAAGTTCAAGAACCCCATGAAACCATCAGCACGCAGACGTTTCCCATCGACACCGACACCGACACGCCATCAGCCATCGCTGGCTCACTGGCTATGCTGTTGGATGGAATGGACTATTTCCCGTACCCCATACTCCCCCCAAAACGGCCCCACCACACCACTCCCGAGAGACAGGGAAAACTTTACCCCGCACTACAAACGAAAGTGAGTCTCTCCCTCCAAGTATTTCTCCATCTTCACCCTCTTGCCGGAGACCAGAGAGCACACTTCTTTTTTGGCGCACGGCAGTAGAAGTTCATTGAACTTGAGGGCAAATCGGAAGCGGAGCTAAGCACACATTCTCCACTCTCCAACACCCACCCACCCAAACTCCACCCGAGAGCATTCGATTATTTTCCAGATGGGCACAAAAAGTGGGGTTCGGTGGTTGAAAAAGAAAGCCAGAAACACTGGCAAAACATGCTCAGATACGCGTTGGTTGGAGTTAAATTGGTTAATTTACTCATGGGGCGGCATGCCACACCCTTTGCCTCCCTCCCAACGGGCACTTTTCTTCAAAATGAAAGCGAAAACGCAACTGAATATGCCGCTTTCTGTGTTGTCTGTGTGCTTTGAAAGGGAAAATACTGTTGCATACTTCGGGGCGACCTCAATTTCTGAATACAGATTTTAAGAGAATGGTGAAAAAAGCTTTAAATGGCGCTTCTCTTAACTTAAAAGAGATCCATCAGACGATCTTGTAATGTAATATGGAATCTTAAGTTTATAATATATCAGCATTAAAATCGGAGGTGGGGCATCATTACTTTGGAATTACTTTGGGAACACCGAAATGAGAGATTTAAGAATATTAGAGATTTATTTCAACCAAATCTTTTACTAAGACAGGATTCATTTAGAGAAATCTTAGTTGAGCTTGTTTTGAGAGGTTTCTTACTTACTTGATTACTTATTTAAATCCATTGGAAATTTAAGGGTCGTGTCTATCAAGCGTTGTAACCGTATAGTTTTAGCTATACCTCTAAATGGGCTTTCGTAAAACCAGCTTTTCTCCTTTAAGTGGGTTAAATATAGTCCAGTTTGGATGTGCAATGGGAGACTAGCATATACATATTTGGCAAATAGCAGTAGTTGATAGGAAATCCATGCTGACTTTTTCTGCTCGGGGCTACGTCCTGGCTGTGTCGAGGTATTACAACAACAGATCTCTCTATATGTACATCCTTTAAAATTTACTTATACGTGTACTCTTGATTGACTCACAAAATAACCAAAACATCTACCATCTTGAACATTTTCTGATTTATTTAAGTTTACTTTACTCTGTTTCGTTTTGTTCACTTAATAGTTTTACACATTCATAAAAAATATATGTAAATCATCTTCATTGTCATCTTCAGTTGTCCAGGTCGGTTGTTCAGTTTTAAATAACGTATAAATTATAGCGAAACAAATTATAACTAATTTGTTACTCTTTTGAATTTAATGTTAATAATACGCTTTGAATATGTGTCGTGAAAATGTGAGTTTACTCAGAAATTACATGCCAAAACGCGTCGGATGGTAAAAGAAAAAGACAACAAACCGATTTGTGAGGGCCCCTATACGGAAATGGTGTAATGCAAACAACTTTTTGACTAACAAATAAAACCAAATGAACCCTAAACACTTGAATGAGCGTCTGTGTGAGTGGGTTGGTACAATAGTTAAATAAGCTTATTTAGATGTCCTTAGTAGCGTCCTCCTCCAGCAGTGGTTCTGTTCTCCTTACTGAGGAGGCACAGGCGTTGGCTGCGGCGCCAATCGGCTAACAATGGCAATGCCCCCGCGAATGATTTTGGCGATGGCAGGAGGAGCACGAGCGGCCAGCGTCTCGAAGGTGATGCGCAGCTCGGCAAAGGCGGTGCGAGGATAGGGATTGCGGCGTGAGGTATAACGCATCACCACATAGTGATAGTAGATAATTGGTGTCATCAGGCCCGCGTGGCTCCTAAAAGGGCAACGAAAAGGATTATAAAACATTCAAGAAAGCAACGAAAAATTAACCAAAAACTCACATAAAAGTAAGAACAATAGCATAGGGCATAATGAAGATCTCGCAGAATGCTGTGGCCTTCAGTATGTTGGCCGCCTGGAACTCCACAATCGAGATGATGAAACGGGCGCCCCACCACGAGTTCTGGCCAATCAGCTATAAAATAAAGCACAACAATTAAGCTATGGTCAATCAAGGACATCTCCTTAGCATGCTTACATCCAACAACTTAAGTGAATAGCTGGAGGCGTGCAGCACAGAGTAGAGCAGCACGGGGACCAGGACCAAGAGCGACGGCCGAATGTTGAAGAAGATCAGAGAGTACACCATGTAGTGACACGAGTCTTCGGCAAACAATTTGCTCAGGAATTCGCGACTGAACGAGAAGGCGGGTACACGTTGATGAAGACGCAGGGCAGAGATGGCCGCATTGGCCAACAGAACCTTGGTGAAGGAGCTCTGTTGTGAACTGTGGAGAAGATATATGAATTAAACATGCTGTTCTTTTCTGTTCTCTTTTTGAATACTCACGTAAATACGGGCAACACATAGCTCACGGTAAAGAATATCGATAGCAGCCGCAGGGCCCACAGTGCGGAATCAATTCGATTCGTTTGGAAATGCTGCAAGAGCTTGGCCGGAGCATTCTGTGGTTGGTTCTGGTTCTGCTGCTGCTGCTGTTGCTCCTGCTGCTGTGATGTGCTCTCAGAGCCATTGGTCTCGGCGCTATCGAAGCGCGGTGGCTGGTCGGTGGATGTGCTCATTATGAACTTGTCGGTTGATCGCTGTTCACCTTACTGGATTTTTAGTCTGCAAGTCAGTCATGAAAGGGAAGAAAATACAATAGAGAAACGTAATGAGTTTACTTTCAGCGTTATCAGCGGGAATTCTGTTCTTATCGCTTCGGTATTGACCTGATAAGCTAACCCCCATACCCTGACTAGGCAACCACCGAACCATATCTAATGTCTGTGTGTGTTCTTCACCTTTTGGTGAAGTTTCTTCCTTTAGAGATCTTTCTTTCAGCATATGCTGATCCACACTCCATGAACTTATGACTCGGTCTACGACTGAGATCTTGTGCTGCTCAGGGCTTTGGAACAGCACGCGCTTTGGCTTTCAATTGAAATTTGACTCCGGTTGTTAAACCAGTCAAATGGAAAGTTGCAAACCCAGACACACTTCACAACACCACTTAAAACACAAGAATGGGCGTGTCAAAGAGGCGTTTTAATGGTCACGTTGACTCAAGATGAAATGAATTACAGACCAAACCATGTTTTGCATAGGCCACAAAAAAAAAGAAATCACAAAAGGGTTAAAACACAATGGTAAGAAGCGAAACTTAAATGCTCTTCAATTGCAGTTTATGGCTTAATATTCATTCAATTCTTTATCTCCAGCCGAAAAGGTCTTTCCTAAAACTTAAAATGCCAGCAATTTATGATGCAAAGCACAGTAAAACTTGTAAATTTCCTCGTAAAGTTTAAGAAACTTGCAATTACAGACAAGACAGGGGAGTGCAAGATGATACGACTGACTGACGTCTGGCCACAATGTGCAGTGCATGGTGTTACGAAATACACGTCGAAATATTAACACAGACAGACACAAATATGGCCAAACAGGTGGCTGCCACACAGAGTGCGAAGGAGAGAGGCAGAGACAGCAAGAGATACCACCGTACCGCGGAAGCAAGAGTTGGGTAAACAACACAACACACACCGAGAGAGTGCGGCGGCGCAGCGGTCAGTGCGGACTCCTACGTGTATGTACATGTACCTGGGATATGTGTACATAAAATGACTGATGTAGCGGGAATGAAGGCGGGTCATTAGGTGTCATTTAATATGCAAGAGCATTCAAGCGGAGGTGGGCTAAGATATGACATTACTATTGATTTTAAGGATGGGTCCTTCAAACGAACTGGGTCAACTGGTACTTCACTTTGATAATTGCCTTTGACAATAGATTTGGATTATTCATGCGAAACCAAAAAGTCACCAATCTGATAAAATTGTGATGAAATATGTATAAATAAATGACGTCACGTGGTCGGAACAGCAAGGAACACGTCAGAGGTAGAACAGAATACCCGGGCACGGGGGTACGGTACGGGTGTACACGCACGCTCACAAATTGCCTCCGATTGACATGTCTGAACTTTAAATAATAAAACAAGATCAAAATGACAAAGCAGAATGTATCTACACAGATATACTACAGACCGCGCTCAAAGTGCAGGGCCCTTTCGAAACTTTGAATTATATGCTTCCTCCACTCTCCCCAGTAACAAGCGATCGGATTAGGGCACACACAAGAGACCTGCATACTTTTTGATTATAATGCCAGCAGCACTCGGGTGTCGAATTGGGTTAATAAGGAACGAAGGGGGGTTGGGGTTCGTTGCTCCGCTCCGCGTACAGTTTTAAATGATTTTGGGACGATTTTGTCGCGTGAAGAAAGTTGGGCCAGGTATTATATTCCTCATTCCCCGTGCGCCTGCAGACAGTCAGCGTTGTCTCACACAAAATGCCGCGTAATCCAAGATGTTTTGAATTAAAATCTATCTGCGAACTTACCGTTCACTGAGCAGCAAATGAGTCCAGGGTTTCTCACTGGCGATATGGTACAAAAATTTAATACAAATTTTACACGTAAATCAAATACGTCTCGGTCTCTTCCTCTTACACTTTGAACTAGTTCTGGCTCAGTAGAGTTCCAGCACTAAATAATACCATATCTCGGAACTGTGGAACCGGTGAGATAGAAATGAACTAAAGAGCCAGCACTAAATAATGCCATAGCGCGGAACAGAGCGAACGCACATTATAGTTGAATTTATTTTTAAAATAGCCCTTTCTGCTTTGAAGTGTCAGAAAATATAGTCATGGAGGACGACCTTGCACTCCCCGCCGACACACTAGCCATTCTCAATGAATTCCTGGCAGAGCGTTCCAAACGCGAGGCCGAAGAGGAGGATCGCATTGTAAACCAGGACGGTAAGGAAGCAACATTTGAAGAGAATTGGGCAAGTTATTAAGATAACTTCGAGTTTTGGCGTGCTAAACGTGTCATATTTTATATCTGCAGCAATTGAGCCAGTTCTGGTATAGCAAAAAGACCAAACTCACAGTACGTAACATTGTTGCCAAGCTATTGAAGGAACAACCAAATAAACCCGAAGAACGCAACTACCGCATAGCTTTGCTGTCTTGTCCATCTCTTTACAAGGATATTAAAGATATATATGACCACGGTGAGGAAATAGTCAAATTCAACTACCCATCTTTGTGACCTTCTCCCTCCTTTTTAGTCAGCATCTTCGAGTACGACGAGCGTTTTTCAGCCTACGGCACTGATTTTGTCCATTACGATATCAATTGTATAGATCCAGACTATCTGATAAACCATCACAAAAAATATGATTTAATCATAGCCGACCCGCCGTTCTTGTCCAAGGAGTGCATAGAGAAAATATCTGCCATTATCCTTAAGCTGCAGAGCAGTCTAAGTGATTCCAAACTGATATTTTGCTCTGGAGAGGTAGTGGAACCCTGGCTCACAGCCTGTTTGCCGGTGCATAAGTGCAATTTCCGACCGGAGCATGAACGTAATTTGGGCAACGAGTTCGTTAGTTATGCCAACTTCAATTTGGACAATTATATTTAAAATGAACCGAATAAAATGTGTGTTTCTTGTGTGTTTGTGCGGCTACAATGGCATCTATTTCGCGACGACATCAGCCTCCTTGCGCTGTTGAACCAGCTCTCGCAAACCGTCCTCCTGGTCTTTCAATGACTTCTGCAGAAATTCCTTCTTCTTTTCGAGTAGTTCAATGGCCTTTTCACATTTCTCCTGCTTGATCTTCAGATCTTCGCGCATATTTTGAACGTCCGTAAGCAGAAACATGCGACCAACAGACATATAAACCCTGTAATAGTCGAGTAGATTTCCAATTAAGGCATAAAAGAAAAATTATAAGGGCATCACATCCAAACACACCTCGTATCATTGTCCAAATTGTTTGTGCCCTTTTCCGTCAACAGATATTTGTGTTTGCCCGTCTTGACCATATCGCATTTCATGTCGATCATATTGATCTTCTTGGATGTCTCCAATTTGTTGATCTGCATCTCGGTGAAGGCCTGCGGGAGGGGATGAATAGAAATGAGTAATGGGAAGCACGCGCTGCACGCCGGGTCTCGCCTGGAGCCTTGGACAGCGGCCTCACCTTCTTTAATTCGATGTCCATTTGTGCCATTTTGTTTGATAAATGCTTTCTTAACGTTTATTTGACTTAAATTGAATGTTTTCACTATAAATTTGCTTAAAATCTCAACACCTGCGTGCTGTATAGACCCTGAAAAACCGAACTTAGCCCACTTCAGCCCCCTCTTTTTAAATAGTAAGTGGTAAGTGGCGGAAAATATTATACGATTGTAAATTTTTCTTGTAGATTCATGCCATCTTTCCTCTGAACTTAAAAAAAACCACGACATCTCCTGAACTGCGCTAAAATTTTTATTATTTTCGGTGGAGTATTAAAATACACCTTGGGTTGCAATGGGTTAATCGTTCTCAGTTCTCAGGCATGTCTATACCATATTTTGCTCATTTAATATAGTATCTTCATAGTTTTCTGAACTGTTGTTAAAATTTAATTAATAAAGACCTTTTCTAAGACTGATACCGATGTATCGTAAATAAACCGTCGGTTCAATTTTGAACGGCGCGCCTTATATTTAACAATTCGATTGTTACAGGACTAACATAACAGAGTATTGAAATATTTTTTTAACTGTTAAGCGCAGCGCTGTTAACATCGATGTAGAGGAACACGTTGACTGTTATCGAGTTCAAATTCCATTTGACCATTGGAGATTAACCTATATTTAATGAAGCCAAAGAAAGGCAAATTAGATGGCGCTGCCTGGTTCCAAAAGCTTACATCAGCATTTCATTCACTCGATAGCATGGAACGCTGGCAGAACAAACTCGCTGTGGTCACAGGTGCAAGCGGCGGAATTGGAGCTGCATGTGCTCGTGCCATGATTGGTGCAGGATTGCGTGTGGTGGGTCTGGCACGGCGAGAAGAAAAGCTGCGGGAGCTCAGGGACACCTTGCCGAAACATTTGCAGGCCAATTTCATTCCCAGACGGTGCGACGTATCGAAAGAGGACCAGGTCCTGAGCTCTTTCGACTGGATAGAAAGGGAGCTGGAAGGACCCGATGTTCTGCTGAACAATGCTGGCATCACACGGGAAACGGAACTAGTGGCGCCGGGGAATACCCAAAAACTGCGTGATGTCATTGACACCAATGTGATGGGTGTGCTCTGGTGCACTAGGGAGGCATTCAACAACATGAAGAAGCGGGATACAGAGGGTCATGTTTTAATCATAAACAGCATTGCAGGACAGCAAGTGCTCAACTTTATCGACGTTTTGCCCTCGTTCAACATATATCCGGCCACCAAGTTTGCCATAACAGCAATTACGGAAACCTATCGCCAGGAGTTTCAATTGCACAAGAGCAAGGTGCGTGTGACCGGCATTTGCCCCGGGGCGGTGAACACAAACATATTCCCGGAAGAGATACACTTCTATGTGAAGGATATGGTCAGGCTGGAGCCATCAAATATAGCGGATGCAGTGCTATATGCACTGCGCACACCGCCTCACGTGCAGGTACGAAGAAATTAACCCCTTAAAATGTACCTACAATCCATATGTTTGCTTTGCAGATTCACGATATTACCATCAAACCCATGGGCGAATTATTTTAAACGTTAAATTTGGTTTATGCCAGATGTACAGATGTTTAAACCTATTCCAAGCCAGCCAGACGTTCTCGCAGCGCTTCCTCGTTCAATTTGTGCATGCATAGAAATTGGCCATTAAAGAACAAGACAGGTATATCATGCCGAAATAGCCGCAAGTAACGTACATTCTCCTTGCGGTCGATGTAAACCTTTTCCAGTCTGAATTTACCAGCATATTTCTGTTCCAATTGTGACACCAAATCATCGCACAAAGGACACGGCTTTTTGGTGTACAGTGTCAGCAGAGGAAGACCGTCCACCTGGGCGATTTTGGGTTTGCTGAAAGATACATTGATATTTTTTTTTGGGTCACTGAACAGGAAACACTCGATGGGACTCACAGCTTTTCGAGAAATATTATCATCAAACGGCCATCGCTTCCATCCATGTACGCACAGCCCAACTCGCCAGCAGGCAGGGAGTGCACCAGATGGGTGAGAAGGTGACTGGCGGTTATATGTAAATTATCGTGGGTGCACAGATTATTTCCGCTTAGGTCTAGGTGAAAATAGCTTGGTTTGGGCGGTTCTCGGCTCGTAACCAGATCCCACGTGTGGATTTGACTGGGAAGAAGAGGCTGACCGCCATGAACGTGGTACAGAGCATCTTCTCTGTTATTTTTCACAGCAAATTCACGCACCAAAGCTAGAGGCTGCAACTGAAGGCGCTCTGCAGTTTCGTATGTAGTCCAGGCCAGTGCGGCCGCTCCCAAAGTTGGCGTTGGTTCGGAGGGATCTGCCTTAGCGGTTTGTTTGCCTCTGGCCGGAGCCTGATGCACGGTCATCAGTTCATTGGCCAGAAGACCATCATCCGGTTCAAGAAACTGGCAGCGTGTATCTCCCGTGATAATGCACTGCGCCTTTCCCTCCCGGAGACTATCCAATGTCATGCGTAGTCCAGCAATCGAGCAGATATCGTCCTGTAGGGCATGTGCCTCGCAGCTCTTCAAGCCCAGCTCTTTGGCTACATTGGCAAGCCTCGCATTGCAGTCGGATGCCGATGCATTCGATGAGCAACAGACAATTAGCTTTTTGAACTCCTCTCGTGGCACAAGAGTGCGTTTCACCAGCTCATCGATGACAATTCCAGCCAGCTTCTGTTCCTCCGCCTTGAATGGTGTTCTCGGGGTACGCACAGCAGCTGCAATTACCACGGCATTGTTGTGCGTACCATCCAACTGACGGCTAAAGTGCCGTAAGAGCCTCGAAATGCTGGGGAAGAACAAAAAATCCATTATCAGTGTCCTGTCATGGCTGAATTACTCACTTTTTAGAGTGTTGCATGCGAAACCTTTCCAGCATAATCGTGTGCATGTTTAAAACATTTCTTTTATCTGATTTAACTACAATCCTTTGATTTTGAAAAGCCGAAACTGCCACAAATTTAGTTTGTTTTCCAAATTACCAGTGTGACCATACCATTCAAACCCAAACAGCTGTTCCAAAAGAAAAAAAAGCGTTAACAATAAGAGGGAAAGTTACTCTTAGTTTTATCCGCTGAAACAAAGGCAAAGCAAAAACCAGTTATTACCAATAGCACAAAGGCAGTCGAGCTGTAAACCTAATTGCAGAAGCAACAGCTGTATCGACACTCGGCCCAAATTCGGAAATCAAATGGAAGTGACCTTCAAAAAGGCCCGATTGGTAAAGCACACAAATGCAGCAGACGGAGAGTACACAACCCCCCATGGGGGGGAGACTGAGACTTGCACCGATCCGTATGGCTGGTGGGCCTTGCCAGAGCCCGCCCTGCTGAAGATCTTCGAGCGTTTAAATGTCTTCGAACTGCTCCAGGCGAGTCTGTGCTGCAGGAGGTGGCACGGCATAGCCAACGATGATCTGTTGTGGCGTCAAAAGTTCCAGGAGAACTTCAGAGCCTCGCCGAGCATACCGCTAAAGCCAGGTGCAGAGAGCTGGCGATCGGAATACCAGCGTCTGTCCACACAAATACCGTTTGTTCAGGCCCAGCGTCTGGAGCCCTCGATGGAGAATAATCACGGGCATACGCATCAGGTGCTACATGTAAGCTTCGCACACAATGGAGAGATGTTTGCCACCTGCTCCAAGGATGGCTATGTGATAGTGAGTAGTCCTCCAGCGTTCGATATGAAAAGGGTGTTAATCAATAATCCTGCTCATAGGTATGGAACTCGCAGCATCCATGCACGGAAAAGTATGCGCACAATATGAAACAATTCAGCTGGAAGTACTCTCAATATTCGCAGTTCAATCAGAGTGACACACTGCTGCTGGTTTCGGGTGTGCATTTTGGATCCCCACAGTCCACATCAGGAGAGATTGCCGTGTTCTATCTGGGAGCGACAGAGTCCCATTTACGCTGCAGAGTAGTCAATCGTCCCTATGATATATTTGGCACTTGGTTCAGTGATCAGTATTTGATCTCAGGGGACCTGCATTGGCTGGCTCATTTGGTGAGTACATCGGTTCTGTGGCTGAATAAGGCCAATCAAGAGATCGACTCTGAGCACGTTCCGATAATGAGCCAATTGTACAAGTTCTATAACCGCAATGCGAGCTCGGTGAGGGCCATAATGGTGGCCAGATGTCCTTGGTTGGATGAAAGTAACGATCCCTTGGCTAAGGTAGAGGAAGAGACGCGCAGTCCGCCCTTTCCGTTTCCCAGTAACGATGAGCCATCTGGTTCCCAGGCCAGTGGGAATCCTCTGTCCCATGCCGCCAGCCTTAGACGCACACGAAGTGCAACCCCCGATGAGAACTACTTGCCAGACATAAGCGAACGTCGGTCCAGAGCCCGGCCTGGAGATGCCACCATTCATTACCTGGAGGAATACAGAAAAGCAGTGGCCCCTACAAACGACGCCAACGAAGAAGAGGACGAGGAAGAGTACGACTCCATGGATGTGCATGAGGAGTACGATGAACTGGAGAATAGCATGCCTAAGTATCTCATCTTCTCGACGGGCTCTAAAACATTTACCCCGCACCAGATCGGCTTCAAGCGCATAAGGAACGTTTACTTTCCCAAAAAACTTGATCCTGGGCCCTCGCTGAAGGAGAGAATAGCTGCCAAGCGGGCCGCCGAGCAGCAGCAGCAGCAAACTCCGCGCACGGATCCAGATTGGTGGGACTACGATTCCGTCAAGGATCGATTTGATCAGGTGGACAAAGTCATCGATCTGCACGGACACATCATTGGCATGGCGCTGAGTCCGGATCATCGCTATTTATATGTTAATACGCGCCCCTGGCCAAAGCACTATGTGATTACCAATCCTCTGGAGCCACCGCCAATTGCTCAGGAGATTGATATACATGTGATTGATTTGATGACCCTGAAGAGAGTGGGGAACATGCTGCGCGCCCATAAGGCCTACACGCCCAGCACCGAGTGCTTTTTTATATTTCTCGATGTCTGCGAGGAGTATGTGGCCAGTGGGGCTGAGGACCAGCATGCCTACCTATGGGATCGCTACTATGGCATTAGTTTGGCCAAGTTCAAGCACTCGGACGTGGTAAACAGTGTGGCCTTCAATCCAAAAGACTCTGAGATGCTCGTGACCACCAGCGATGACTATACAATTAAGGTGTGTACATTTTTAAAACCCATTTTTGTTGTATTATTTAAAAAACGCTACATCTTTGCCAGGTTTGGCGCTCACGGGCCAAGGCAAAGGCCTATAACATCCCCATTAATGTGAACGAATCTTTCGAGCTGAAGCCGAAGAAATGAAGGTCGCTTAGTCGCATCAACACTTACACATCCATGTGCCTGCCCTATCTCTTTATGACAGATGTTCATATAGAAGTTATTCTTACTGCCGGAAAAAAGATTGTTTATAGCTGTTAGTATTTAGTTACAACTTGTTAACGTTTGAAAATATACATAATCAAAATGTCATCCTACGACTTTCCCGTCTGTTCGAACTGGTCAATGGGTGTGGTTGGATCGGCCTTAGGCTTGACTGGCGAAACAACGGGCTCAGCGGGCGGGGAAATTGGATCCCCAACCGATGGTCCTGGCTGCGTTGATGCCTGTGCCGATGTAGATGGCTCATTGTCATTATCGTGATTATGATTGTGCCTTGCGTTTCTCTTGCGCTTCTCGGGATGGCCAAAACAGTTCTCACATTCTTCATCGTCCTCCGAGGAACTCTCACCAAATGCCAGGGGTTTCTTATATATGCAGCAGCCTACAAATTGGACACATTAGCCGTAGCACTACAAAGCAATAGTGTAAAGGTTACATACATTTGGATTTCTTGCGGTTTAAATGCTCATTGTCTATGACACCTTCGTGAAAGATCACCCGGCGTTCGTCCCGCGGCTGTTCCAGGCGCAAGTGCAGTGTCGGAGTAGTTTCTGGCAGACTTCCATCTGTTTCTTCAGTTGCCGTGCCATTACTTGGCTTATTGTTTGTTCTTTGGGCCATTTTTTTAATAAAACAAATAACAGATTGCAGTCAGTGTGTCAGCGTCCGACCCTCAGAAATATACCAAAATATACGGTCTCATTTTAAAAATATACCGTAAATATACTGACGAATTCAAGTTATATTTTACATATTCCTCGTTTTTGATATTCCGTGGAATATTATTAGCTATATAGAACATTTAGCCATGCCCACATAATTTTATCCGATTAGTGAATTAATTTTCTTCTCGACTGGCATATTCCAAATACTTGCTTTTATTGGATTTTTATATACCGTTGAAAATTAAATTAAATAGATTGATGAAATTGACAAAATAGAGCACTATATACCGATATACCGATAAACCTAGGGCTGCACAAATATACTGATGGTTACATTGACTGTTTTTTTAATGAATTTTTTTCATTTAAACCGTGTTTTTGTCAAAATACAACAAATAAGAGTACTTAAAACACTTATCTTGAACAAAATTTATTCATCAGTTGTATACAATTAAGTGGGCATGGCTAAATATTCTATCAAAATATCAAAATCGAGGAATATGTATAAAAGAACTAGAGTTCATCAGTATATTTTGTTGGATTTCTGAGGGTCGGTCACACCAGTCACATTTCAGCTGGCAGGACCGAAAATGGCTGCAATTGTGCGATATAATTTGTTAACCAAGCCGCAATTAGGTAAATAGAGGCGAAGAATTCGTTTAAAAAGTGCTAATTAGTGATTTAACTGTAGCATTCGCTGTCCGCTTACTTGTGAGACTTGTTAAGCAAGTCGCTGCAAGCCAGTAAAACAATCATTTCCCTTGCAACCAACTTATGTAATTTTTGCGCAAAGCAAAACAAAACGCAAAGCAAAGTTTCTGCGCAATTAATTGATTTGATCATGTGCTTCTTGCAGTTGCGACTCTGCCTGGCAGCCTGCAGCTGCAGCGGCTGCAGAGCACACAGGCCCCACCCGCGGGCACACCGCCACCTCAGACGAAGACCAAGTTTGGTCCCTTGGCCGATGAAGATCGCATCTTCACAAATTTGTATGGACGCCACGACTGGAGGCTGAAGGGTGCCTTAAAGCGTGGCGACTGGTACAAGACCAAGGAGATTGTCCTGAAGGGTCCCAATTGGATTATCAATGAGATCAAGACATCGGGTCTGCGCGGTCGCGGTGGCGCTGGCTTCCCCAGTGGCATGAAGTGGTCTTTCATGCAAAAGCCTGGCGATGGACGCCCCAAGTACTTGGTGGTGAATGCCGATGAAGGTGAGCATTTTGAAATCCGTGTCAAAAGACCGATTTACATTCTTCTGTATTTTTAGGCGAGCCTGGTACTTGCAAAGATCGTGACATCATGCGTCACGATCCCCACAAGCTGGTGGAGGGCTGCCTGATTGCGGGCGCTGCCATGGGCGCCCAGGCTGCATACATCTATATTCGCGGCGAGTTTTACAACGAGGCCTCCAACATGCAGCTGGCCATCGCCGAGGCCTACCAGGCTGGCCTTATTGGCAAGAATGCCTGCGGCACTGGCTACGATTTTGATGTCTTCATGCACCGTGGCGCTGGGGCATACATTTGCGGCGAGGAGACCGCTTTGATTGAGTCGCTCGAGGGAAAGCAGGGCAAGCCCCGCTTGAAGCCGCCATTCCCCGCTGATGTGGGTGTCTTTGGTTGCCCCACAACGGTCACCAATGTGGAGACTGTGGCCGTCGCACCCGCTATCTGTCGTCGCGGTGGCACTTGGTTTGCCAGTTTTGGACGCACCCGTAACTCGGGCACGAAGCTCTTCAACATCTCGGGACACGTGAACAATCCCTGCACCGTGGAAGAGGAAATGTCCATTCCGCTGAAGGAGCTGATTGAGCGTCATTGTGGTGGCGTTACTGGTGGCTGGGACAATCTGTTGGGCGTCATTCCCGGCGGCTCATCCACACCCATTATTCCCAAAAATGTATGCGATGATGTGATTATGGATTTTGATGGCTTGATTGCGGCCCAAACATCGCTGGGAACGGCGGCCATCATTGTGATGGACAAGTCCACGGATGTGATCAAGGCGATTGCCAGACTCATCTCGTTCTACAAGCACGAGAGCTGTGGCCAGTGCACACCTTGCCGCGAGGGCATTGGCTGGATGAACAAGATCATGACTCGGTAAGTAGATTTTTGGATAATTTTATTCAGAAACAGAATGAGGCATATTTTCCTTCCCTGATATCAACATAGCTTTGTCAAGGGCGATGCTCAACCCGCTGAGATTGATATGCTGTGGGAGATTTCCAAGCAAATTGAGGGCCACACCATTTGCGCATTGGGTGACGGTGCCGCCTGGCCTGTCCAGGGCCTCATTCGTCACTTCAGACCCGAAATCGAGAAACGTATGCAACAACATGCGCAGCAAACAAAGCGCGCCAGCAATTAAGTTACAATGTTATAGCTAAATTTATTGATTTCATAATCCCGCGTGCTCTTTAATGCATATAAAATGTAATATTCTCTAAACGATGTACAAACTTCCACTCTTTTTGTTTTCGTCAATTGAGGTTTAGGCCCTGTATATGCTTGATCACGGCTTGGATGTCCTCAGCGTCCGGTGTCTGGTATTTTGGTGGAAAGCTGCAGAGGCTCAGAGGGCCGCCAATCTTCTGCTCCACTCCGGGCTGATCCACACAGCGAGCGGGTATAAATTGATAACTATAAAGCTAATCCAATTAGCGCGGAGCTCTGCCTACGGTCTGGCCAACTTACGTCTTGGAAGAGCATCCCTGTAGAACCAGGAGTACAACCATTATAGTGACAAACAAGCACTTGATAAGCATTTTGAGATTTGTAAAGATTTGCTTGCGTTGCTTTAAACGGCCAATTATCGACTGTCGGGTTGCTGTGAAATTCCAAGTTAATATTGCATATATTATGCAACACCTGGAATTTTAAAGCAATTAAACTTACGTCTTTATGGCCTCATCTCATGAATTATTAATGCAAAAGAATTTTGCGCCATAGTCATGGCGATCTGGAAAGGCCAGCCAGCCGGAATGCCGGCTAGGTATCAATTATCCAAAAACGAGTCAGATCGTTAGTATAATAATTATTATACCCTTTGCAAATAACATTTTTACTAAGATTTAAAGCTTTTAAATTGATTTGGATCCAATGGGATTCTTTAAAGATTGTTACCCAGCGTATCACAGGGTATTCAAAGTCCTTCAAAGTTAAAATGAAATAAAACAATTACAGGTTTTTAGTATGTAGCATATTTATAGTTTTTAGAGTTTCTCATTGGTTTTTTCGATGAAGGTTTAGTTAAAGTACAAAATGATATTATTAAAAGTTAAGTTTAGGGTTTCTAGCCACTAGTTTAAAGGCGATAACAACAGCTGCTGCTTCAGATGGCTTTAAGGTGGAAGGTGGAAGGTGGTTTACATACAGTTTAGAAATTAAATGATTTGATTGACGACAGCATTGCTTTGTAAAGTAAAGAAATACACAGTAGTTTCCCTCAGATGTGCCAATGGTTGGGGTAGTGTAGTATAAAAAGACCTGTATAGAAAATGTGGAAAAGTTGGCAACGGATAGTGGCAGATTAGTTTTGCAATTGAGTGGGCGGCGGCAACGGGGAAACACTCCCAAGCGAGTTGTCCATATTGCAAATGAAACCCGAACCTGAGTCTGATCTGATCTGATCTGAAACGTGCGCTCGGAGATCTCTCTGTGGATTTCTCTCTCTCTTTCTCTCTCTTGAATTGCACTGTACGATATTCAAAAATGGTTAGAAAAAGTGTATAAGAATTAAGTCATAGAAATATGTATACAATACTCGTTTGTTTTTTTAAATCTTTTCCACACATTTATAATCTTTTTTTTGTTAGATTTTTCGTTTTTTATATATATGTATATGTATGTATATATGTAAGTTTATGTATGTTTCGTTAGGTATGTACTCGTATTTGATTTAGATTTTGTTAGTTTTTTAATTGTTTAAAAGTTTTAGATCTCGTTTAGTTTGATTTGCTTTCGTTCGTTTAACTTGGCTTAAAGCGTTCATCTTATTGCTTATCTATGAGAAGGAACATAGTACAATATTTTGTATTTTGTTTGTTTTTTTCGTTTCGTTTCGGTTCTTAAAAGACTAAACAACATTTCGAACAAGTCACTAGAAGAGTTTTGCTTTTGGTTTTCCGTCTATCATTCATCATTCATCTCCGACAGGTTTCGGTTTCTCCTTTTATTGCATAGCTTTAGGCGCACAACATCGTAGTGTAAATAAGCGTCAACTAACACTGCTATGAGTGGCCGCAACCACATATATATATGCCCTATGTATTATGTATTTGTATATATGTATGTATATATTATGTATATATTGTAGTAGGTTTTGCCAACTAATTGCGTAGAGCTTTTGAAAAACATCTAGATAGTTCGTTTTTGGTTGGGTTCTGGTAGGGACCGTAGGGCAGGGGGCTAGACAGGACTCTTGAGGATCAGGTCGTAAGTAAAAAATATATTATATACGTATGTATATATATACTATATATATGTATATCAAGTTTTTTTAGTTTAGTATCACACTAGTAGAGATAATGCGAAGAAGCCTGAGCTCTATACTGTTTCGGTGTCAGCTTGATCAGTTTCGGATTGAATGCACCCAGGGCCGCCTCATTGGTGGACGATGGCGGTGGGGGCACCGTGTGCGTCCGGAAGCGCGATCTCAGGAAATTTTGCATGGAGCGCAGCCGTATGATGGGCGCACAGGGCGATTGTCGAAGCGAATTGTGATTGAGCGCCCAATAGATGACCGGACTGATGGCCGAATAGAAATACCCTGGAGATAATTATAAAGATTATTGAGTAATCCGTCATCAGTCATCCGTCATCCGTCGTGCACTCCTGTCCAGTACTCACCCAACAACAGACTGAAGTAGACAGAGGATTTGCTGCAGTATTGCTTGTAGCCGAAATTCTTATAGAATATGCAAAAGACATGCGGGGCCCAGCAAACGATGAAGATTAAGGCGGAGGCGATCAGCATGTTGGCCAAGTGACGGCGTGACCTCAGCGTCGAGGTCTGTGGCAGCGGTATGCCAGGCGTGGCCGGACCCCTCCCAGCCCGATGTATCCGCTGGCGCTGCGAGTGGGCCCGTATCTCCCTCATGGCCCTGCGGGGAAGGAGCATTCAAATTAAATGCGATTCGAACCAAAATCAATTAACGCTAATCACCTGGGCGATATGGGGTTGCTGGAACGAAAGGAGCCCGGCTCAAGGGCCGAACCAGATCCCGGCAGGCGAGGCTGTAACGTGTGCATTTGTATGTCCCCGGGACTCACGGCCATTTGCCCACCGCCGCCAGTGCCATTCCCATTCGAGGTATCGTCCACGGTGGTGGGGCCTCCACAGGCCGCCTGCTGGGCATTGGCGCAGCCCGTCACAATCACCATGTGCGTCTGTCGTCGCAGGATGGGCATGGGCAGGGGCAGCTCCCCGTGGGCCGCTCGAGCCGTCAGCGACAGGGCGCAGAGCTTGCGCCGCACCCCGTAGTGATTGAGCAGCACCCCCACCCCGGGCAGCACGAACACGGCTATCGTGTGGAAGATGATGAACGACATGAACATGGCATTGGCCCCCAGATCAGAGGTGCAGCTGATGCTAACGGGATTCGGTGTAGTGCTGGCGTTCGTGCTACCAACTCCCTTGATGATCACCGACTTGGCTATGATCTTGTAGGCGAACAGGAACGGCGTACTGATGGCCGCCGAGGCCAGCCAAGAGATCAAGGCCAGGGAGACGTGCAGATATCGACGCTGCCGCAGCTGGGCCAAACGAGGATGCTTAACGGTGGCATAGCGGTCCAGGGAGAGCATGAAAAAGGAGATGGTGCTGGCCGCCACGGGCATGACCTGGTCCAATGAGAGACAGAGAGAGATTATTGCAACATAACAACATAAAATATGAGAGAAGAGAACCCACCTGGATGTAATGTATGACCTTGCAGAGCACCAGCGGCAGCGATCTCGTCCTGCGGTTCATGGCCAGATTCAAGAGCGTAACGGGCGCCGAAATGCCCGTGACCAGCAGATCGGCAATGCACACGGCCAGCAGTAGGGGATTCCGCAGTCGAACCGAGGAGGCCGAGCAAAGGGTGAGCACCAGGGTGGAGTTGCCAACGACGCCGCCAAAGACCACGAGACCATAGCTGACGGCCAGAAGGAGGAGCGTCAGCGAGGATATGGCATTCTCCGAATCGCCGCCAGCAGCGTCAAGGTCATACGGATTGATCAGGCTAAAGTTGCCGTAATCAAAGTCCGTCGCCGAGCCCTCCAGGTCCGTGGGCAGGGTTCCAGTGCTGCCACCTAGCTGGTTATGCTCGAGGAGCGCGTAGTGCAACTCCGTGGTGTCGAGGTCGTTGTTCGGCTCGAGATGATGCCGGCGGTACGTGTGCTCCCACCATTGCTGCAGGCTGTTGCTGTTCATGCTTCCCGTAACCGTCGTATTCCAATCCTTAGCCGTATACGTGTTCGATCTTCGTTGTCGATGCGTTTGTCTGGCCGCCTCATTTCATACTAAAGGTGCTGCTGCCGCCGTTGCACAGGACAAAAAAAGGTAGCAAAATGTAACAAAATGCCATCATCATCATCAGTCTTTCTTGTTTCCCCCGCAAGGACACACTCACACACAGGAAGCAGACAGAGAACAGAGCAGAACAGACACCGACATGGCATCCAGCACTCTCCAAATTCCACCCACACACACACACACACACATGAGTGTTACGACCCTTAGTCCCCACCCACTTACCCATCGCTGACACTGACACTTATGCAATGAGAGAATACGAATGCGAACAAGATAGCAGGAGGGACATGGTATGGGAGGGAGTAGAAGGTTTTGATACCCTTGCAAATCCTAAGTGCTTAAATCTTTGATGTTTCTTCTGCAGAAAAATTCAAGATCTGTTCAAAGTTGTAGACAATCAAAATAGAATTCCCAAACCTCCTGTCCAAACCATAATACCCAACAAATTAAAGGGCATAACAAGGCACACACTCAGAGATTAGTGCTGCTCTTCCTTCCGCCTTTCAGCCTGGCTGCTGTTACCCCATCGCTGGCCCTGCGAGCCAAATGAATGGCAACCTTGCACTTTGCGCCCTCGACAAACAACCGCAAGGTTTGCCTCTGCCGCCTCTCTGTCTCTGTCTCCGTAACCGGCTGCTGCCGCTGCTGCTGGTGCTGATTCTGCCTCAGATACATGCCACTGCCACATCTGCGCCCAGTTGACGTTTAAGCCCCATCAAGGAAATGTGCGGGTGTCGGCCAAAGTTTGCACTTAATTGCGCGTTAAGGCCGCCACAGACCCACACCCAGATCCGGAACCGGAACCGGACCCGAGCCCGAGCCCGGCTTAAGCTTAAGCTTAAAGAGTGCTGCAGTTGCAGGTGCAGACCGGACCGAACCGAACCGAACCGCAAAATCCCTGGCATTGTGGCAATAAATGCAAGCCAGCGCCCAGCTATTAAAAATCTTAATTGAAATTGTTATCAAAAGCGAGTTAAAAACTCATTAAGCGCAGTGGAAAGGAAAGGGTGAATCAAGATTCAATTGGGACATGACATCCCTCAGAGGCTTTCAGGAACAGAAGGACTTGTGCCATTCATTTTTTGACTTGGGAAACTTGGAGCTAAAAGAGTAGAGCTGTAGTTGGTTGCGAGTAGCTCGTAAAGTTCTTCTAAGGCTTCTCCAACTAAGTCTTCTTTATTGAAAATGTTTTACAACTAATATTGCATTTATTTCAAGTTACAAATATGTATGTAGTTCTGAGGTATGCAAGAGCTAGAAAAGGTCAATTGTAGTTAAACATCTCAACGTTAACTTTACCAAGTCGAACTTTCAGTAACTCAAATAAAATTGAGTGGGAAATGGTGCCTCGATTTAGAGAAATTCAATGAATTTCGATGACGGATGAGTTTAGTTAAGTTATATATAATTTAATGAACGTAGATCGCTAATAAAAAATTGGATTTTGTAAACAGTTTATAGAGATTTCAAGAGCACCACACCCATTAATGATTTTCGTTTTAAAAGCTATAAATACGAATCCCGATAAGTAAGCTACATAAAACGTGCAAGCAATATTTTCAATAATCATGAAATTGCATCGTGCGTCACCCTAATAAAATTCCACCGCCCACTCCCCACTACCCACTCGCGGGGGGTTGGCTGCCTGCGTCAGTCATTGTGCAGGCAGCCCCGTCTCTCTCCTTCTTCTCCTCCTGCTCCTCCTTGTGCTCCTCCTATGACTGGTGTGTATCAATTTTGTTGTGTGCGGGAGTGTCCAGGAGTGGATTGAAGGGGAAGGGGCTGCAGCCTCCTCCACCGCCATTGTCCTGCGCACTGTCAATGTGTGCGTGCGGAGTCTCTATCGGTGCGCTTTATGTGTGTGTGTGCGTGTGCGTGTGATGTCAACGCTTTTGCCTTTTGCTGTGGTTTTTTCCCTGCTCTTTGTTTTGCCGTCGGACGGGTGGGCTATGCTATGCCGGGGCATCTGGGATGATGTGAGTGACGTTTGCTTAATCTGCTTAATTTGCGTTAATTTAATCGTGGCTAACGGTGTGTGTGTGATTATGTATACATATGTATGTGTGTGTTTGTGTGCGGGAAAGCACATGTTGCTATTGCCACTTCGACGCCTAGACCTTGATTTTGCAACGATTGCTCCCAAAGAATTACTATTACATTCCCATTGTCCCACACACAGATACACTGGATGACAAAAGTGTATAGACCCCCACATTTGCTATCTTCAGAGTTCAGATCTGATTCTAAGATGCGTTTTTGTGCGGTTTATCCTAAATCCTGAATCCTAATCTGTACAAACCCCAAGTAACTCTTAAGGCGCTCCCTAAACCGCTCTTTATTGTATGTACTATTTTTTTAGGCCTACAAAATTAAAAAATTGATTTTTGGTACATCAAGATTGTTGAATCCTATTCAATTGGCAAACTTACTGTATACACCTAAAAAATAAAAATAATTACTGAAGAAAAAATGTTTAAAAATACGAACAAAATATACATTTTATATACTTTTTTCCATGACTGTAGGTTTTGTATGGTGGAAGCTGCTAAATATCTCCGCGCGGGATTTTGTGTAAATGTATCCATGGGCATGTGTGTGTGCGTGTACTTTTTCACCTATTGTCTAAATGCCAATAACCTGTTGAGTGGTCTTATTTATTTTTGAACTCTTTGAAGGAAATCATTTGGAATCGACGGGACCTACCGACTATGCGAGAGTGAAGTGAGAACGGTAAACTTCTCATTAAGTGGCAACTCTCCTTCATTAAAGGGGGGAAGCCCCGCCAAACCATAGTGGCGGGGTGACAACTCTGGCCCGGCGGGGGTGCGTGCTCGCTCGATTCGCTTATTGAAAATAAAATATGTATGTATGTATTAATTTACGTCACTCAAACGTCAGCAACAAGCACAAAAGGTGACAAAAGCTAAGCTGAGGAAGAAGGCGCAGGCAGCCCCAAAGAATGGCCATAAGAAAAGCCAATGAGATAAAAAGGAAACGGAACGAGCGTCCAACGAGAAGCGAGAGAGCGGCGGCGACGAACGCGATGATGATGAGATTTGTTGTTGCTGCTAATATGAAAAGTGTCCGCCACAGGTGAGTTAATATAACAGACACACGCACACGGCCACAGATACTCCCGTACACAGATACACTCAACAAAGACCCAGCGACCCGGCCCGGCCCGGCCCGGTCCAGGACCCAAAACATAGGGATACACATAGGGGAGCGGGAGGGCCTGACGTTGCTGCCGCTGGCTCTGCTTGCCCGCTGCTTTTTGTCTGTTCTGTCTTTATTGATTTCGGCAGCTTTTATATTATAATGGGGGGTGGGTGGATGGTGTGGTTGGGTGGTTGGGTGGCATGGGAGTGGACGTACGAGGAGGAGTGCCGTGCTGTCCAAGCGTACGTTTTGGCTTCTTCGTGACTGCCACAATGGCAAACAAACAAAGCCTTTTGGTATCTTCTTGGGAAATGCGGGCCCCCAAAAGCCTTATTCGATGAAAAACAGTTATTATTATATTATTTTCCACCTATTATCATATAATTTTGAAGAGTTTTTTTACATGAATATTCATAAAGGAGCACACCATCAGGGCAACCATCCCTTATTTCTCTGCTAGTATTGTATTTGTTAAGGAGGTGTGTGTAAGCATAATAATATTTTATATCTATTGTAGTACAAGAGTTCTTTTATATAAATGTTCATTAGGAACACGCAATAATGTACTTAATTTATTTGTTGCAAATTCTTAATAAATTTTTGCCCTGCTATCATACATAGTATGATATAGAATGTCACTATTATCTACATATAAGACCTGCCCCACAAGCTCTTTCAGTATCTTTTTTGGGGGCATTGAAAACCAATTTGAATAATATTTTGCACCCATTATCATATAATTTCGAAGAGGTGAATAATATGAATATTCATTATAAATACTCCCTCTCACGCACATCTCTCCCTAACTATGTGTGTGTGTGTGCGTGTTCTGCCTCGCACACTCTCTCTGTTTCTCTCAGCTTTAAGACCCTATGCAAACCTTTTTCGACTAACAATGAAGAAATGCGTGGGCCTGGAGGGGGGAGGGATGGATGGATGGATGGGTGGAACAGACACTCACACATTCGCACGATAACAATCCCTATCCCTATCAAACTCACACCGACACAGTCGCTCCGCTCCACACAGTGGGTTTCATATAAAAAACCGACACCATAATTACTAACCATCAAAAAGCGCGTGATGGAGTGGCATGACAAAAGGCAAAAAAAATAATGTTGCATACCAATTAGTGGAGGCATCAAAAGGAGGCGGCACAACACTCCCACCACATACCTCAACACATATAGTACATATACCCCTCCCCCCCCAACCCACTCCTCGTACGTAATATTCCTACCGTGTTTTGCTTAACGAAATTTCTGGGCTGATGCTGCTCCTGCTGCTGCTTCTGTTGCTGCTTTTTGTTGCTGTTTTTATTGCTGTTGCTGTTGTTGAGTGGGGTTTTTGGTGGTGGTGATAGCGACGTTGTTTATTTTATAGAAGGCACTGTAATTTACAGTTAGAACTATTTTGCATATTTTGCTGGTATTTATTGCTGTTTCCGCCGTCGGTTTTTTTTTCGTTTTTATTTAAATTTATTTATTTTTTGTTAATTTATCAAATAACACTTTTAGCAAATATTTGTTGTATTTCGCCAGATTTTTGTTTCTTTTATATATTTTTTCGTCGGTTGTTGTAAAATTTGTTTAAAAATGTTGCCCGCGTTTTGTGCTCTGCTCTTTTATTTTCTTTTCTTTTATTATATTTTTGAAATCATAGTATTTGTTGATATTTTTTGTGACTGTGTGTGAAGAGTGTATGAGTGTGGTATGTGTGTGCGCGTGTGTGTGTGAGTGTGTCGGGGGGGACAAACAAAAAAGAGTCCAAAAAATAAAACTCAAATTTTGGCGTGCAAAAACTGTTCCTCAACGGCGCACATTACTCGACAGGACTACGGAAGACTGTGGCGGTGAAAAAGTTTCCATGGCATCCCGGAGAGTCCACAGCAGAGTTCGGCGGAGTCAAAAGTCGTCGTCGTGCAGGAAACCCGACGATAGGACGACTCGACTTGAGGAGAGAGCTTTGCCAGAGCGAAGCTTTTTCCCCCACATTGACTTTCGCTTTCATTCAACATTTGCAGCCCCCCCTTTCCACTGGCAGGACTGGGCCAACAGATAAGTGACGGGCCACAGATTGAGGGGGAGGTACTTTAAAACTATTAAGGGAATTTCCAGCTTAGTATCGGGGGAATAGAGTGCGTCAGATTGTTCATTTATGATATTATAGCAAAGCGTCTATTTAAATTTATCAAAAAGTATCCAAACGACACTCTGGCAATGAGAGCTGAATGAAGGACGAGTCATTTTGTTGGCCCAATTGTGTCTGTAGAACTGTTCCGATCAGAATATATTTGCTCAGATATACAGTACTTTACTCGGTTGAAAGGGAACAAAAACTTTCAAACACACTCTCACAAATTATAATACTCCTAGATTTTTGAAGATGGCATGGTTATAAAATCACCCATATTTTAAATACTAACATTTTCTTTATTTAAATATTCATTTGTATATGATTAAAATGCATGATGTACTTGTGTAATAGTTGCAACTTGTATCGGATTTGCTCCGTGGTATACTTTATAAATGTAATATATGTAACCTACGCGCTTAAATTGTTAATTAATATGTTTTGTAGTTTTGTTTGCTTTGCCTTTCGTTCACTCTGTTCAAAATGCAGAATACTGTTGTATGCTTGTATGATTGTTACATCGAAATTAAGTTACAGTGGGGATAGATGTACTACATTTTTGTTTGTGGGTTCATTTTGTAAGCCTAAAGGTGGGCGGCAATAAATTAAAGGGAGGGAAAGGGTGGAGTTTTATCAAATACGAAAATAAATTATGTTAAAACTTGTAAAAGTGGAAAAGGAAATAAATATTTCCGAGATTATATAAAATGTACGTAGCGAGTGCAGCGTTATTACAAACTTTCGACTTATAGCATACAATGTTGATGGTTTTCCGTTTGATTTGTTTTTTTTTTGTTTTCAGTAAGTAGCAGCAGTGTTTCGATGATCAGTTCTCAGGGTTTCTCGTAGTATTTCGTGGTAACCTATGTGGAGCAGTATTTGTTGTTGGCAGCGGTATACTTATCAGTAGCAGTGTATTGCTTTTGGGAATACTGCCCTCTCTGGCAGCTTCTAATCGTCGATGGTGTACTCGGGCAGCTTCTCGTACTTTTGCTTGGTGGCCTCGTGTGTGGTATCCACCAGCAGGGCGGTGTGCGAGTAGCCCATTGTCACCTGAGGTATTTTAATGCCGTCCATCTTCGGCACCTCCTTGGGCACCGTCGAGGACTTCTGGAACTCTCCAATGCCCAGCTCCCCAAATGTGGGCGAAGCTCCCCAGGCAATCAATGTGTCGTCAGCCGAAATCATGATCGATGTATTGGCACAGCCAAGATCGGTGATATTCCAGCCGGACAAGTCTTGTACGGGCTTCGGATACATGTTGGCCTCGCCCGTCTTCTTGTTTTGGCCAAAGAGATAGAGCAGACCCAGCTCGTTGACAATCAAGCTGAATGTGGAGCCACAAAAGACGCTGCGCCCACCCCGACCCTGGGTATCATAGAACTTCATCAAGCGCGGTACCATCTCATCCTTGGGCTCGGCATGGCCCAGGCGACCGAATCCGCCAAAGCCCCAGCTATAGACACGCTTCTTCGAGTCGATGGCCACCTGTTAATGGATATTATTTGGTTTAAATAATGTACGTAGATAATATAGAGGAATCTTTTATACCGTGTGATTGTTGCCGCAGGCAAAGTCAACGATCTGCACGCCGTCCACGGGCGTAACATGGCCCTCCTTGCTCTTCTCAATGTACAAGACTACCTTCTTGGGCGATGTCTCGAAGTGAAATGACAGCTTGTTGGCATTTACAAAGTACTTGGCATCCGTATTGTGACCCAACTGTCCGTACTCCGGCAGACCGAATGTATGCAAGTTTCCCTTGATATCCAAGATGACCGAAAACTCGGCGCCACAACCTATGCGAATGATGGGTGGACCCCGATAGTTGATCGGAGTGGGGGAGTAGATATTGGCATGGGCATTGCCCACACCGCACTGCCCCGACTTGTTCTCGCCAAGAGCGTACACGGTTCCTGTGTCGGTCAGGAAGAGTGTGTGATGGCGTCCCACAGAGGCCTGGACAATGTTCAATTGCTCCAAGGCCGGAATGATTGTGGGTTTCTCCACCAGTTTTACGTCCGGACTGAAGCCCAACTGTCCGCTGGGATTTCGGCCAAAGCCGAGAGCCTTGCGATCCATATTGATGAGTATGGTGTGGGCAGCACTCGGACCACTGGCAACATACCGATACTGGAATGAAGAAACGCATTCGGAAGGTTAGCTTCTCAGATCTAGGGATAATCCCTGAATAAGCGACTTACCTTCTCCTCTGTAAACCGATGAAAGCTGTACAAGTTGGGGCGCACTTTTGTGACATTTTTGCGATCACGTTTACCGGTCAGATCCCAGGTAACCATGCCGGCCAGAAGCAACTGTCCTGGCGTCTTCTCCAGCGTGGAGAGCAAGTCCTCGGGCAGCTTGCTAGGCGGATCTAGATCATCGTTCGGTATGAGCACCTCCATTTGGTTGGCGGCCGCCTGCCGATTGGCGGCATCGTCATCGGAGTCATCGCTGAATTCATCCTCGTAGTCCGACTCCTTCTTCTTGGGACGCCTCTTGTTGGGACCAGCTCCATTGCCACCTGCCTTGCGCTTAGCGGACATATTCTCAAGTGAAGTTTCAAGTGGAGGGGTTTTCGGCTCTGGCTGCACAATAGCTGTAACGGAAGAAGAGGCAGGCGTTGAGAACCAGAAATTCGGTACGCAGCAAAGCAGCAAGCAGCAGAGCGTGACCCGGCTTTGCTCTCACACGCTCAGCTCTATACGTATATGGTTGTTGGTGTGCGTCTGTGTGTGCGTGATTGTGTGGTGGTTTTTGCAAGAAAAACAAAATGAAAGCCGCTACTGTCTCTGTCAACGACGCCGACAGCAGGAAAAACATTTTCTTCTGCATGATGAATCGTTTTACTTGAATAAAACAAAGCATTGCATTTTCTTAGACAATCATACGGTTTATTTTGCAGCTGTTCATATAAATAGCAATGAATGGCGGCCAAAAACACATTTGAAAAATTTAGCGTCACTTTACAAACACACAAAGACATTGCCAGAATTCACTGCCTGAAGCATTTTCCCTATACTAAGTGTTTTCCCCAACTATTTCGGCGGGCTGGTAATTTATGGACATGCACTATTTATTATCTCTAGACTCACAGTTTAAAACGCGGATTAAGCAATAAATTTCAGATTTCGCAGCGAAATGGCAAACAAACAACGCTAGGCTACAGGGCTGGAGCGCATATATCGAACAGTGCCGATGGATGGCAATAGTATCGGAATATACCGATAAAACGGAACAGATGTCAAATAATTTTTTTTAACAGACTCTGGAACAGTTAATTAACAGTTCGTTTTCCAAACAAATCAATTCTTGGGTTTTCTTCAAATTTTTTCGTATATATTTCTGTACGTCCTAAATCGTAATAAAAGTAGGAATGAGCCATTCTTCAAAAAATAAGTGCGGCGAGGGCGAAGATGGATGGCAGTGGAATGCAAACAACACAAAACTGCTTGTGGATCTGTACGAGGAGCGGTATCTCCTCTTCCAGGATCCAAGAGTCAGGAAGCGCTCCCTTTGGCTAGAGATAGTTGAGGACATGGAGCGGGCCGGATATAAGGGAATATCAGCAGACATCTGTGATCGCAAATGGCGCAATATGCGGAAAACCTACCGCACGTCCAAAGAGGCAATGCTCAGGAGTGGGCGTAAAGGTGTGGCTTGGCCATATTATGACGTCTTTGACAAAATGCATCAAACTGAGGGCCGCCCACAGTCGGTATCAGAGAAAAACTCTGACTCAGATGACACAACATTCAACATTGCAGTGGCGGATATTCTGGCGGCAACCTCTGAGGGCATACCATCCACCACCACTTCCGACGATCTCACAGTGACACAGGAACAGCAACGCCAGCTGCTGATCCTGGAGCGTAGCCGTATTGCAGCCGTAAAAGAGCTGAGCAAGCGCATCGACGAGTCCAATGCCATACAACGGGAGAGGAACGACCTTCTCAGAGAGTTTCTGGAAAAAATATAGTCAATCAAATGTTTGTTAACCAACTAACCAACCAAATCTGAGTGTATTTAAGTATTATTAATAAAACCAGCAATTAAGCGATCGCGTTTTTCTTCTACCGCCATGATATTCTCCAAATCCAGAAGCCCATGCTCATCATAGGGGATTTTCTTGTGGTTTTCCGGCAGCATATCAAAAGCCAGTATGTCATCTTCCATGCCCTCCACGCCCGAGTCCAATATAAAATTGTGTAGCATGCATGCGGCGGAGATAACAGTAGTGCCCAATTCCAATGACGACACATCCAGAGAGTCCAGACGTTTGAAGCGCGATATGAGTGTCGCCAAAGCTCGCTCCGCTGGAGCATTCCACAAGCGTATGGCCAGATTGTACTGGGCATGGCAAGGCGTTAGTTCTCCAACGTAGGGCGTCATCAGATTCAGCAGGAGCGGGTACGTTTTGTCCCCCACAATGTGTCTGTGTTCTGCCATCAGCGGCGTCTGCGTGTGAATGAGTTTCTCGAAGAGGGGACTGGCAAGCAGAATGCAGTGCTGATCATCATTGGGTGCATCGACGTAGACGTCGAGAAATCGACTTTGCGCATCGCAGACAGCCTGAAGGGTCAAAGCCGGGTATTGTTTCGGATTGTCGTCGTCTATGCGTATGGGCAACTTCAGGGGTATGCGGCACTCCTCGATGACGCCCAGAACGCCGGGAAGTTTGCTTATAGAAGAACTACCGACTCCTGCTGCTCCATATTTTGGCCATTGAACGTAGCACGGCATTAGTGCGGAAAAGGCAGACGTGACCCATTTGAAAATCTCATGTCCAGAGCTCTTGGATATGGAATAAATCTCGCCAGCGTCCCGAAATGAGATGCCGCCACCGAGTAGCATCAAAGTGTAGAGCAACTTTTCCGGCAGGGAAACGCTTCCGATGGGCTGATACTGTTCCGCTCCCGCAATAGCTCGACCCACCACCTGCAGCAGTGTCTGCAAAAGGAAATCGTTAGATGTGTACATACTTCATATTTTCGAAGCCCTGCCAGACCTCAAAGGTCGAGCGCTGCATGCGAAATCGCTCCTTAAACTGATCATCCATTTTCCGCACCGAATCCTTATTTTCCTGTTCGTCTTCTTCTTCGGCCTCCTCCTTTACGGTTTCCTTCACGGCCACGTGCTGCGTCAAAGTGCCTTCCAGGGAGACTAGCTGGGCAGCCTGATGCAGAAGATTGGCCTCCACTCCATCGTCCAAAAAGAAATTTAACAAAAATGTTTTCCGGACGTTCATTCTTCTAAAATCAAAACAAACGCCAGTGGGTGGTAACAGATCAAATTGTATTTAACAGAGTGTTTATTGCGCTGTTAAGCGCACTGCGGCGTCTGCAAACATCCATACAAATGCTGTAAATTTTCAAATATTTATTTGAACAAATATTATTAAGAAACATTTTTAATGGTGAAACGTTATCAATTTTCATTAAGCGGATAATACATGCTGTTGGCATTTTGGGAACATTCGGAACACACACACCCATCTATCAGAATTGGATGAGCGGCTGCTTTTGGGTGGCCCGATAAGCCACTATTCCGGGCATCAATTCCTTGCGAAAATGCTCATGGTTTCTGTTGAAATCCTCCTTGGCCTTGGCCTGTCGCCTCTTTTGCTCTGCGCTGTCGATGTGATTGTTGTTGGCGTTGCGCGGTAATACTGTAGGTCTGCCAGCCGTTTCCGAGCTCTGATGATCGATGTAAAAGGCACTGGTCACAGGTTGAGGTGCCGGACGGCGGTGCGCCTTAGGCGTACCATGTGGACTTCCGTTCCCATTGCCATCTGCAAGTGGTATATGTTTATAGCCTTGCGATGAAAATATGCAGCAAATTTTCGAAATTATTTCGGCTAGAGGCATTTTTTTGATAAAGTTTACACAGATAGAACTGGACCGATTCGGACTGAGCCTGATAAGGTGAGAGTGGATAGTGACGAAGAATCTTTGGTTTTTGGAAATGCTCTTGCTCTTACTCTTATCTCTATTCAATGTAACGGTAAAGAGAAAACAGCTGGCGCTGACGTCACCAGTTCAGGGCGTGCGTACCTTGCTTAATCACGAGCTGCTCCTGCTGCAGTCGCGCATTGCTGGAGCCAAAGTACCCATTGACAAATGGCATGGGCGACATGACCACTCCGCTCCGCAGTGCACTTTCGGGCGGCGGCGGTGCTGGACGATTGAATGGATTTGTGCGCCTGGGCGGAGGTTTGGGCTTAGATCCAGTTATGGCATTCTGCGAACTCTCACCCACGTTCCCGAGCATCTCTGCGAAGTTTGTACACAATTGATCATCGTAAATTCTGAGAGACTTTCTGGGCTTACTATTTTTTGAGTCCTCAATCTCCTGCAGCTGCCTCTGCAGCTCTGCCACAATTATCCGTTTGTACTCATAGCCGGCACAGGTCAGTGCCTTCATCCATGTCTCCATGCTCTCCTGATCTTCGGCTGCGAGGATGTAGGTGCGATTGCCATTGAAGGCTATCTCGAAGCAGTAGTTGTCCACTTCATTGGACAGTTCTATGGTGCATCCCTCTACGATAATAAGGCCCAGAGGCTCCTTATCCGTCCGAGCTTCGAAATAAAACAGCAAATTGCCCTTCAGCACAAAGTACCGCCGTTGAAACGCTTTGTTGACCTCGCCCCGCTTATTCAAGAACCCTACGAAGGAGATTTTTGGTGATTAGTAACAGAACAAACAATAAAAAACCACTACTACCTTCGATATCGTATGGCGGCGTTCTCGCAAACACGGACAAATTCTTCTCGTTTATCTTCATGCTGGCCTCGGATGGAGTAGAAACTACATTCGAATTATAAATAGAGTTCACCCAGATAGTTTTCGTCGGTTCTTTTTCGATTTCTTTATTATTGTGATGTGCAGGTAATTGACGCTATTGAAGAACAGCTGTTGGGCAGTGTGGCCACATCCTACTATCGGTCATTTATCAACTTACTATTATTGTCAATCGACGTCACATCGGCAAAGGAAACAAAAAATAAACACAATTAAAGGATGTCGTACTTGCTCACCGAAATAGCATTGGAAATGCTGGGCTACAAGTTCTACGACACCAATGGGACGTTTCATCTGACCAATTTTCAAACGAATACGGCCCTGGCAGACACCAATCCCAACGAGCCTTCGTTGGAAGAATTAATTTACTCCGATGAACCTAGGGTAAATGGGAAATCTACTAAAGCCAAAAAAAAGGAGCCAGCTGCCTCCACAAGCAAGGGTCTTTCTGCTGAAAGTGCTCCGATGCCTCTCAATAATCGACGCACGCCGGCTCGAGCCCTGGCCAAGATCATGGACTACGAAAGTGACAAAATTTGTAACCAAATCCGTTCGCGTCTGGCCAAGTCGATCACCAAGCGCAATGCTGCCAACAACGAGACGTTGCTGCTAGAGTGCTTCCAGGATGAGACGAAAATGATCCAGGAGGATGCGATTGAAATACAAAATTTCCGCTCGTACCTGGAAAATCGTCTTCTACTAGTCGACAAGCGTCCGTACGAAAAATACACCAAGACTTTCGGTCCAGAGTGAATACCATTTCGTGCGATAGCGTAAGGATAGTCATAAGCCTGTACATGTTCAAAGAATATCTCAACAATTGCATTAAAGTGTAATAAAACAGCCATGCATCTAATGGAGCGCACTGTCTTTCCGCTCCATCTGATGCATGAAAATTATCAATAATCGGCTTTATCGTATGCAATCCATCACTAAAGAGTGTGACCATCTAAAGCTTTCTTGTCTCATCAATAGCTTCGATAACTTCCAATCATCGGAAAATTCCCATCACTTCTCATCGCACAACAGAGGTTAGAGACCCCCCACTCCCGTAATATTCGATAATTACAGCATTTTATGTCAAAATTTCGTTTTCCAAATACATAACACTTTTGTCTGTTTAAAAATTGATTTACGTCACTGCCCCTGCAGGCTGCAAACAAGCCTAGTGCTCGGTTGCGAATAAACAAAAGAGAGTCAAACCCCGACAGCGAACTGTGACGACAACAAGGCTTGCATAATGAAAATCTGGACGTCGGAACACATATTCAACCACCCATGGGAGACGGTTACACAGGCGGCATGGCGGAAATATCCCAATCCCATGACGCCCTCAATAATTGGGACTGACGTAGTCGAGCGCCAAGTCATCGACGGCGTTCTGCACACACATCGCCTCGTTCAATCCAAATGGTATTTCCCGAAGTGGACGCACGCGCTGATAGGCACCGCAAAGTCGTGCTTTGCCAGCGAACGCTCGACGGTGGATCCAAAAACCAGGCAGATGGTGCTGAAGACAAATAATCTCACATTCTGCCGGAACATTAGCGTCGACGAGGTGCTTTACTACGAACCACATCCCGCAGATGCCAGCAAAACGCTGCTGAAACAGGAGGCCACAGTAACTGTCCACGGCGTGCCGCTATCGCACTACATGGAAGACTTACTCACATCCACGATTAGCTCAAACGCTGGCAAGGGACGCCAAGGCTTGGAATGGGTGATCGGACTGATCAACACTGAGGTTAAAGGTATTGCTGAGTCAGCCGCACGGGGAACAGATGAGCTGATATGCACTACGAGGCGCTCCATTGACGAAGTCACAGAAAGTGCCAGAAAGGGCATGGATGAGATCAGCGTGCAGGCATCCAAGGCGGCAAAAGCGATGCACATAACATAGGTTTCGATGCAGGGGCTGTCAAGTAAAGCAATTTTATTGTAACCGCAAGATACGCTGTTTTTTTAGTACAATTCGATTGTTTCTTCGAATTCCATGATATATTTTATACAACACACAATTGTTATCAGTCTTGAACTGAAATTGATAAGATTGGCGGGCATAGACTACCACATCCGTGCGAATAGAATAGGAGCTGCAATGCAACAATCCACTAAAAACCTATACTGTCAAACTATTTATTCAAATCAATTTAAGTCTAAGGTTTATAAAATGCCACAGCAAACATGGGAGGAGAAGAGCAAACATTAAAAGCGACAATTTGCATACAAATGCGTTTCAAGTTCAAATGGCTTTAATTATTTCATGTATGGCGTATCGGCAGTGAAGTGACCGCTAAATGTAGCAATTGCCACGATTTTGAATGGCATATAAATAAAATCCGAGAGAGCGGGATGCATTAGTGGTTCCCCCCCACACGTTTTTGGCTCTTTTCGTAATTGTTCTCTTTTATAGCATCTGCTTTAAAGGTATGCACAGGTCGAAATCCAACCACAACCTGTGACGTCGTCAGCCTTATAGGCGCGCCGAATTAATTGATTTGTTTCTGTTGCCACCCCACGTGCTGATAACCGTCTGTCCCACGGAGGAGGATGGTGCAATGGAAAGCTTTTATTTCGTCAAGTGTTTTCTTTCCGTCTGGCTTTTGTAGTGCTGCGCAGTTGGCTATTTTTTATAACGGGTTGCTGGGTTGTTTTGCTGGCGATGAAAGCTAGTAATACGTATCGTCCCGTCTTTTTCCAATTTACCAGATCTAAAGCTGTAATTTTGTAACCTGGCTTCACTTATACTCTTCAATTAATTCAAATAGTTCAATAATTCTACTATTGCCAAATGCCTATTGCCAATATACAGTGGGGTGAGGTGCGGTCTCAGCCATTATGGAATTTCTAAAACTATATCCACGATTAAGAATTGTAAGTTGTAATATAATCCATAAACAAGTTTTAATTCACGCTCAACCTGGTGCGCGTTTGAGCATCACATGAAATATCTGATTCACGATTTGGAATAATTCCAAGCGTTTTCAAGAGTACCCAGCATGTCCGCTTAGATTCTCTCTCAGCTACAACACAACGTGCGCGCGACGCTTACTTTATTGTTATTGTGCTTTAATCTTGGTTAGTTTAGTTGATTTGTTAATTGTTGCTGGTATGTATATCAGTACGATTACGGTTTGTTTTATTGAATTTTACCTGTTTGCAATGGAAAATATGTTGACGCTGGCTTATCAGCGAGCCCCCAAGCAGGAGATGCAAAAACAAGTTGTGACGGCAGTGCATCGACTGCTGCTGCATCGGATCCAATCGGATCGGGTGGCTGTAACCTGATCTGGGAGCGGTGCAGCAGGGCTGCTGTGGAGTTGGAGGTGTCGGCTGTTGATAACCCCCAGCGTAGGCACTGGTATGGTTGTCAACGGCTTCAGGCCCACGATCACTCGCGATTCGTAAAGCAAGGCGCACGCACGCATCAAATAAACCAAATCAATTCTAGACTGTAGTACAATACCAACATATTCTCTTCCAGGACTGCAACATGGTCATTCTACGCTACTACGATGTGAAGGCCTACGATGAAGCCGAGCAGCTGAGTGTTCTTCGGCATGTACAGATGGAGGATCCCAGTGTGATTTCCGTTCAAATGGAACGTTGCTATCACCTGGAGTACACTTCTGAGTTGAACCACTCCATGACGCTGGATGAGCTGCTAATCTGGCTGGTCAAGCAGCCCATGGACAGTGGCAAGAGTCTAACCAAGCAGCCCATCTTGAAGGTGGCCAATAATGAGCGGCAACTTCTCTTGGAGATTGGTCCTCGTTTCAACTTCTCCACGCCATATTCCACAAACTGTGTGAACATCTTCCACAATCTCGGCTACACCGAGGTGCAACGCGTTGAATCCTCGACTCGTTATCTGCTGACCTTTGGCTACGATGGGCCAAGGGAGCTGTCCAAGTATGTGTTGATGCTGGGAGATCGCATGACACACTGTCTGTACACAGCGGAGAATACTCCTAAAAAGAGCTTTGACGAGCAGCTACCAATTTCGCAGGCAGACTGGCACTTTGTTCCCGTCCTGGAGCAGGGTCGAGCCGCTCTGCAGAAAATTAACCAGGAGCTTGGTTTGGCCTTTACCGATTACGATTTGGACTACTATCACGATCTTTTCGGCAAGACCCTGAAGAGGAATCCCACCACTGTGGAGCTGTTTGACTGTGCCCAGAGCAATAGCGAGCACTCCAGGCACTGGTTCTTTCGCGGTCGCATGGTGATTGACGGCGAGGAACAGCCAAAGTCCCTGATACGTATGATAATGGACACACAGTTGCACACAAATCCCAACAACACAATCAAATTCAGCGACAACAGCAGCGCCATGCAGGGCTTCAAGCACGACACCCTGCAGCCCTCCACAGTTTCATCTCCAGGACCGGTTCGTCTGGCGACCGTCCAATCGGACCTTATCTTCACAGCAGAGACACACAACATGCCCACGGCTGTGGCGCCATTCAGTGGAGCTACCACTGGCACAGGCGGTCGACTGCGCGACGTACAAGGCGTGGGTAGAGGAGGTATTCCCATTGCTGGAACCGCCGGCTATTGCGTGGGTTCGCTTCACATTCCTGGTAAGTAAATGAATTTGGAATTGCAAGGATATAGCAAGATTCATTTTAGAAGGCAGATACTGACATATATTTTCACTTGAGTTTTGGTATAAGTTAAACAGATTTATTTGTCGTTTTTCGATTCTTTATCGCTGCCTTCCGATTCCTCACTGTTGAACCATTTGTTGGTAGAGATGGCTATAGCCGCGCCGAAAATGGCTCCACCAATGACACAAAGGGTAGGGAATATATTCAGTGCCGTGCTCTGTTGAGTGGTGCTATGTGTCGGCTTCCGATTTTCAGGCTTTGGCTTTGTTCTATGTTGTCTATCATAGTCTGCTCGAGTCCACTTGTTGGACAGCACGTCGAAGGCAGCTCGTATCTTCTTGAAATGCTCCACAGACTCGGGATGATCGTTCTTGTCCGGATGGTATATCAGTGCCATACGCCTATAGGCCTTTGCGATCTCATCTTCTGTGGCTCTTTTGCCTACTCCCAATAGTAGATAAAGGTCCTGATCCATTTTCAAATTTTTGAATGTATCTGCAAAACGAAAATAAGACACATATTTATATGTACATACATACAATTACCTTTACATTTGTTGCCGATTTGTTGATCTTATCTCTGGTTAACTATTTGTGGAATATATTTTACAATATAATCTGGTCAAAATATTTGCTGTATATACATATATATGTATATACATATATTTTAATCAAATAATGCAGATTAAACTGTGAATTTTAAGCGTAATTGAACTTAAATTAAAACCTTACACGTTTACTTTCTCAACACACATCCGGTTTTATCGATATGTGGTTTTAAGCGATCGACATGAATTAATTGTAAACCAGGCTCAAGATTGACCGTCGCTAATAAATGTTAATTAAAAATTTTAAAAAAATTTCAAAAATGTTCTGAAATTTCTTTTCTTTGCAGGTTATAAGCAGCCCTACGAGACTTCGGCCTTTATATATCCGTCTACGTTTGCGTCACCGCTCCAGATCCTCATCGAGGCCAGTAATGGAGCCTCCGACTATGGCAACAAGTTCGGGGAGCCAGTGATTTCTGGCTTCGCTCTATCTTATGGCCTCAAGAATGCTGCAGATGCCAGCCAGCGGGATGAGTATGTGAAGCCGATCATGTTCAGCGGCGGACTGGGCACCATGCCCGCCTCTATGCGTGAGAAGCTGCCGCCAGCTCGCGGCCAACTGTTGGCCAAGATCGGAGGACCGGTCTATAGGATCGGTGTCGGCGGCGGTGCGGCAAGCTCGGTGGAGGTTCAGGGCTCCGGAGACGCCGAATTGGATTTCAATGCCGTGCAGCGAGGTGATGCCGAAATGGAAAACAAGCTGAATCGCGTCGTGCGTGCCTGTCTTGAGATGGGCGAGCGTAATCCCATTCTGGCCATACACGATCAGGGAGCCGGCGGTAACGGCAATGTGCTGAAAGAGCTAGTGGAGCCAGGTTTCGCTGGAGCCATTATCTTCTCAAAGGAATTTCAGTTGGGTGATCCCACCATTACGGCTCTGGAGCTTTGGGGTGCCGAGTACCAGGAGAACAATGCCATCCTCTGCAAAGCAGAGCACCGGGGGGTCTTGGAAAGGATTTGCAAACGTGAACGCTGCCCCATTAGCTTTGTAGGCGTGGTGACGGGCGATGGACGTGTCACATTGGTGGAAGAGGAGGCTCCAAAGGATATGGAAGAGGCTCTCTCTGCCGTAAGAGGCAAACCAGCTCCATTTGACTTGGAACTGAAGCACGTCCTGGGTGACATGCCCAAGAGGACATATGATTTGACCCGGGAGGCGACACGACTGCAGGATTTGGATCTTCCCAAGGATGTACGCTTGGACGAAGCCTTGGAAAGGGTACTCAGTTTGGTTGCGGTGGGCAGCAAACGCTTCCTAACCAACAAAGTGGATCGCTGTGTCGGCGGATTGATAGCTCAGCAGCAGTGTGTGGGTCCTCTGCAGGCCCCACTGGCCGACTACGCCCTGACCACTGTGTCCCACTTCAGCACTTCGGGCATTGCCACCTCCATAGGCACACAGCCTCTCAAGGGACTTCTCGATCCTGCTGCCATGGCCAGAATGAGTGTGGCCGAGGCTCTGAGTAACCTCGTATTTGTGAAGATAAGCGAACTGGCGGACGTCAAGTGCTCTGGCAACTGGATGTGGGCTGCAAAGTTGCCCGGCGAGGGAGCCAAAATGTACGATGCCTGCCAGGAGCTCTGCCAGATTCTTGAGGAGCTGCACATAGCCATCGATGGCGGTAAGGACTCCTTGTCCATGGCTGCCAAAGTGGGCGGAGCGACAATTAAATCTCCTGGCACTCTGGTCATATCCACCTACGCTCCTTGTCCCGATGTGAAGATAAAAGCCACTCCCGACCTCAAGGGTCCCGCGGCGGGCAAGAACACAGTGCTGCTGTGGATCAACATTGAGGGATGCCTCCGACTGGGGGGCTCTGCTCTGGCACAAGCCTACTCACAGCAAGGCAAGGAATCGCCGAACCTGGTGAAGAGTGATGTCCTGGCCCTGGCCTTTGCTTTAACTCAATCATTGCTAGGACAAGGTCGCATCCTGGCTGGTCATGATATCAGTGATGGAGGTCTTCTCGTGTGCCTCATAGAGATGGCCATTGGAGGATTGAGTGGTCTGGAAGTGGACATAGCCGAACCGATGTCGAAGCTTGAGAAATATGATGTGGCTGCTGTGAAGATTAAACGGCCAGAGCTGGCTCTGCTCTTTGCCGAGGAATGTGGTTGGGTAGTGGAGCTCCTGGAGTCGGATTTGAAGACCGTTCGTTCCATCTACAACGACGCTGGAGTGCCCAACTATTATCTGGGTGCCACCAAAGGATTTGGCCTCGATTCCAGAGTATTAATCAAACAGGGAGACGATCAATTGCTGGGTCAACCTCTGCGTCAGCTATACCGACAGTGGGAATGCACCAGCTACGAGCTGGAAAAACTTCAGTCCAACTCGATTTGTGCCCAGGCGGAATACGATAGTCTGGACTATCGTCACGCGCCGCAGTACAAGGGACCCGCGAATCTGAGCTTCGAGCTGGCTCTAGCCCGTTCTTCCCAGAAGATTCGCGTGGCTGTCATACGGGAGGAGGGCGTGAACAGTGAACGTGAAATGATGGCCTGTCTGCTGAAGGCTAACTTCGAGGTACATGATGTCACCATGTCAGATCTTATAGGAGGTGAGAGATACATACCCAAACGCAGTCTGCAGTAGTTCTACATAATCAAATCTAATTATTTTATGCAGGCTCCGCCACCTTGTCTCAGTATCGAGGTGTGATTTTTCCTGGAGGTTTCAGCTATGCTGATACTTTGGGTTCTGCCAAGGGCTGGGCCGCCAACATTCTGCACAGTCGTCTGCTCCAGCCGCAGTTCGAAGCCTTCAAACAGCGACAGGACGTCTTCTCCTTGGGCATTTGCAATGGCTGTCAGTTGATGACTTTAATTGGCTTTGTGGGCCGTCCAGCAGGCAGCTCGGCTGGCGAAGATCCCGATGTGGCCTTGCTGCACAATCGTTCACAGCGATTTGAGTGCCGCTGGTCTACCGTTAAGATACCAGCTAATCGCTCAATCATGATGGCCAACATGCAGGATCTGGTACTGGGCTGTTGGGTGGCCCATGGCGAAGGACGCTTTGCCTTCCGCTCAGAGAAGCTGGTAGACCAACTGCAGGCAGAGCAATTGGTGACACTGCAGTATGTGGATGATGTTGGTTCACCCACAGAACTGTATCCGATGAATCCCAATGGCAGTCCCCAGGGCATTGCAGGTCTCTGCTCACCGGATGGTCGCCATCTGGCATTGATGCCACATCCCGAACGTTGCAGCACCATGTACCAGTGGCCGTATGTTCCTCCTGGCTTCGAGGTGGCTGCCACTCAGGATGAGAGCCCATGGCAGCTAATGTTCAACAATGCCTACAATTGGTGTGTCAAGTCAAACGATCATTAAACATCACAAACGAAACACGAAACGTATACGAAATACACAACATTCAGATACATTAAATGTATTTATAATCTATTAAATACTATCTTACTAGTACTCTCCATACAGAGTATGTCAACCTATACATAGTATACAATTATACAATGAAAAACCCCAGTGGAAATCAAACCTAATGTGTAATTTGTAACAAGCACTTAAGATAGTTTGCCTTGGCGCCCGGTGCCATCATGTACTTGGAGTTCCAGTCGTGCTCGTTTATGTGCAGCACCTTGTAGCCCATCATCTCGAGATGCTTAATCTTCAACGATTCGGGACCCCGCAAAGCAGTTAGATCGTTCTCACAGAAGGAGTCCAATCTCAGTAGCAATATTGCTACCCTGCAAAAGATCGCAAGTATAAAGTTTTCACATATTTTTAGTTATATAAATATATGCCTACTTGGTTATGCGATCCAACATTGTGACCTCTAGTGGTGGTGCTGGCATAGGTTTCTTATCCCGATCGAAATGTATCACAAAATCGATCTGATAGCCATATGGCGTGGTGTGATTGCAGCGGAAATACTTGTCGTCTGTGAGTAAATTCTTCAGTAAATGTTTCACTTCTCTGCCAAAGGCTCGGGGATGAGGGGACTCTAACATGAATTATTCCTTTTAATCAAAGAATACCTTTAAAAAAATTATATGCATGTATATTTACTCTTGCTGATCTGTGCCTCGATGTAGTTCTGTTGAAACCAGGGCACATTCGCCTCCGGTAAGTCCAAGCAGACAGTGCGATTCAGCTGCATGACTAGATTGAGGACCCTTTCCGGATAGGTTGCCTTCGAATAGCAGACCTGTATCTCATCCTCGATGCGTTGAATGAATTTCACGCAGAATACTTGATTAATCAGCTCATCCGGTATGGTCTTGTAGAAGCACAACGCCAGACAGGCCTGCACCAACGACAGCCCACTCATCTGATCAAAGTCTCTATAAAGAATGTGTTCGTCTTATTTGGTTGAACGATAGAAAGGCTTCCTTCTCACCTTAGTAACACACTGGCAGCCCGTTCCAATGTCTGCAGTGAGGCGGGCGTGTATCCCAGGTTATAGGAACAAGTCAGCACCTTCTCCACGGTGTCGCCTGTGATGTGTTCGTGCTGTTCCGAAACGTAGCCAAACATTGACTCCAGCAGCTCGGGAACAAAGAAATGCGAGGCATTGAAGTTGTACGCCATATCACGAACCACTCGCGAACTGAGATCCTTGCAATGTAGCGTCTTATACAGCGATAGGGCCTGCATATAGACCATGGTGTTCTTAAGGGCTTTGGAATGATAGAAAATATGACTTCTTCTGTATTGTTTTTTATCTATTGTTCCACTTACTTTTCCTATGGCTCAGGGTCCGTATAATGATGCTGAGCTCACTCGCAGTTAGTGGCTCTCGTTCTGCATTGGCCAAATGCCGCTCCGCACATCCAATGAGAATGCTATCCATCGTAGATAGCTGCATGGCCACCAAAGCAGGTGTATCCTGACGAAATCTTAGCTCGCAGGCTATTTGCATCCCCCGACTAAGCACAAAACAATCCTGGATGTCGAATTGCGGAGCCATGGTCACTATTTTGCTCATTAGAATGTTGGGAAACTTCTTCCAGGACATCTGAGTGTGTCCATAGGCTATCACAAAGGCAGCTAAGCGGGCCACCTTGTTCGGCAGCCTGCCAGCTATATCCTCCTCTATTGCACTCATGCACATTCTACTCAATTTCCGCTCCACATTGAAATGGCGATAGGTCCCGCCCAAGTTGTTATTGAAGTTCATATAGCGCTGGCAATGGCCCAGGAATCTAAGGTGCGTCTGCTCCTCTGGGCTGGAGTCCAGTTCTCGGATGACACCCGACCAGTACGTGTTGCAATAAGGCAAATCGGATATTTTCAATGTTCGCAGGACACTGAAGAAGTGGTTGCTCGCATTGGGCAGAAGCCAAGCGGCGTCAGAATATAGCAACTTGTGAAATAGTTTCAGATACATTTCCCTTTGGAGGGGTTCGGCAAACGGCACGGCACAGGAGAGGGCATCTGGAGTGCATTCATTTTCTAGTAATTTCTCTGTAGCCTCTTTCAGTGGCTGCATCAGTTCAGCGGGCTCCTGGTGATGAAGAAACGTACGACAGATGCTCTTTATATCCCCAGCTTCCAATTGGTATAGGCATGGTCGCAATGTCAGAAGGATTTCCCTTATTATCTCTGTGTGACGTTGTGACCACACTCGAATATTCAGCATATGGAGCAGCTTCAGCAAGGCTTTGGGTGTATCACAGCTGAGGACGCCGCGTTGGAGCAGCTCGCTCACTCTCTGCTTGTAGTCCTTGAGCAGCTCCTCGTCGATCAACTGGTGGAGCTGAAAGAGACAAGTGGAGAGCAGACGGACTTGTTCCTCGCTATCGCACTGGGATATGTGCTTCTCCAGATGCGGCATAAAGTTGCGGCACACGAGCGGCGTAAAGAAGTCACGTTCCAAATTGATTCCCACAGACAGGCGGGATAGTGCTGTCAGGGGAACAAGCTCTCCCTGGTCCTTCGTATCAATTGCTTTTAATGCACGTCCCAGGATGGTCTCCACGGTGGATTCACTATTAGGTATATGCATCTTGCGTAAATATAGATAACTGCAGCTTAGTTCATTAATATCCATGTGGGTTATATGAGGATCTATCCGCTGGAGTACTTCTTTGTGAACACGATCTGTAAGAGCATATCTTTCTGGCGTACCCAAGTTCAGATAGTGCAGCCACAGCAGGGAAAGGCTTTCCACCAGATGGTGCCGCTCCAAGGTGTCCCTTGCGATCATCTCCATGAGCTCCTCGCTGCTCTTTGCCTCCCTTAGGCGTATCATGACTGCATCCTCTTTGTTGACCGCCTCTTCTCTTCTGTCCGATAGTCGCCCCTTGGAGTTGGCACTTTCCATCCGCCGGGAGTAATATTGAAGGTGGATCCGATTTGCCGGCAGTGCCACCACTGTGTGTATAGGCGGCTTTGCCCCAATATTGACATGCCTTCGTAACAGCAGTAGTTGACGCATTTGTAATACATGTTGCACGTGCTTCCATTGCGCTCGCGGTGCGAAATTTAAGTACATTTCAATTAGACTAAGGAACAGTGTGACCGCAGATTTATCGATAAAATATACCGTCCGACCCTCAGAAATATACCGAAACATACCGCCTCATTTTCAAAATATACCGTAAATATACTGACGAATTCAAGTTATATTTTACATATTCGTCGTTTTTGATATTCCGTCGAATATTACTAGCTATATAGAACATTTAGCCATGCCCACATAATTTTATACGACATGGCGACAAGTCCCAACTTATTCGATGGAGCCATTAGAGCTCGATACTTTGGCTCGCGGCCGATATGCAAAGCTGTAGAAAGGGGGAGTAGGACATGTTAGTTTAAGAACTTGGGCAGATATCGTTTCTTTCCACTCACCTTGTTGATGGGACACTGAAAGTCTCATGGCCGCTTGCAGCAGTCGGCCTCATCGTGGGCATTGTCACAGTTGTCGCAGGTGGTACCATCGCAGATCAGAGCCTTGTCGCTGCACTCGGCTGACTGTCAGCTGAACTGATCCGCCGGGCAGTAACTTTGTCACTGCGCCAGAAGGCTGTTGGTCGTTGTTGCTCCCGCCACTTAAAATTATCTGGCCGGCTACACGCTGTAGTTTTCCTTGTCCTCCAGTAGCATCAGATGCTTCGGGCACGAGCAGAGATCCTGAGTACTGCATGTCACACCTCACACGGTGCAGCTCCGCGGAACGACGCTCTCCGTTGACAGTGATCCGCTCCAGTCCGGTCTTGTCGTCCAGCCAGTACACAAATCCTCCCTAGGCGGTAAGGTTGTTCACCTGCGGGGTATGCATGCAAGCAAGGGTTTTTCTGTAGAGAGGGAACAGGAGACAGCACGTGTCCCGAGGTGTCCAATATGGTTGCTTACTTGTTCTTTCCATTGATTCGCTTGCCATGGGCGTAGTAGAACATATCGCACTTGGTCCAGGGCCAGCGCTGAAACTCCTTCCAGCTTATAGGCCAGCTCCACGCTATCATTGCCATCGACTCGGGCCCGAATGATGGCCTGATAGCTGCCGACATCTGTCCAGATGCCGTTTTCGGACGAACCCACCCCCAGTGCAGGTCTGTTGTTCTTCTTCCTTTTGCAATTATTTTTCTATTTAGTCAGCTGTTCGTAGCAAAATCAGAGCTGCAAACTCGATTAAAAGACAAAATTTCAGACAAATGACGGCACCGGCGAAAAACCAGGTAATTGTGCTCCAGCCTGGTTACTCCCACGAGGATGAAAATGATGAGACTGCCATGAGAGCGAACTGCACCTGCACGCTGATCCGCTGCAGAGACGGCCAAAATATCATCGTGGACACTATGACAGCTTGGGACGGCGACCTGTTGCAATCTCTGCTGCGGCACCAAGGTCTGGAAGTCGAGGACATACATGTTGTCGTCTGTACCCACGGACACTCTGATCACATTGGATGCAATTACTTGTTTAAGAAGGCGCGCATTCATATGGTAGGAGCTTGTGCCTCCAACCGTGATCTATACTTTGACCATCTTTCAAGCGGCGACATAAACGAGAAAAAACAATTGGATACAAATGGCGAGGTTGTGGTCAAGCGGACACCCGGGCATACGCTTAGCTGTGTTTCTGTAATCGTGCAAAGCACTCAGCTTGGCGGCACGGTTGGTATTGCTGGAGATCTCTTCGAGCGCCGGGAGGATGTGGAGGATGACAGCATTTGGAGGAACGCAGGCAGCGAGGATGAAAACAGTCAGCGCGTGGAGCGAAGCAAAATGGGTCTTTTGTGTGATCACATTGTGCCAGGACATGGACCGATGTTTTCGTTGACTACCGAAATGCGCGTAAAGTTAAAACGAGACGCGGAATTATCGTAATAAATCGTAATACATTTGAATTTGTAATCGTTTATTTGTTATTTTGGAACAAGTTGACAGTTTCACCGATAGTTTTGCAGTCCAATGACCCATCACTAATTCGAGTGAATTTGCATTAAATTTAGATTTACAAATTTGTTGAACAAACAAAACAAAACAACAAACATACACTACTCGTGTCCATCGCGCAATGGATCCTTCCTCAAGTCTGGCCGACAAGTTGGCATCGAAAACGGCCAGTAGCAACTCGCTGGACAGCAGTTCCAAGTCGAGTTCCCTTGGCTCAAAACACGGGGGCGGCGAAAATGGTGGACTGAGGGACACACCCTTCGCCTACTTGGACGGTGAAGAGGATCAGGATCAGAAAAACGATGTTACTTACGTCTGCCCCTACCGGGGACCCGTCTTCGGAGCATTGACCATAACGAACTATCGCTTGTACTTCCGTTCGCTGCCTCTGAGGGATCAAGGGCCGCCCGTTGTGGTCGATGTTCCGTTGGGCGTGATTGCGCGAGTGGAGAAGATTGGTGGTGCCACGTCGCGCGGCGAGAACTCGTACGGCATTGAGATATTCTGCAAAGATATGAGGAATCTGCGTTTTGCGCACAAGCAGCAGAATCATTCACGCAGAACGGTGTTTGAGAAGCTGCAGACGAATGCATTTCCGCTCTCCTACAGCGGCCGTCTCTTCGCCTTTGCCCATGCCGCGGCCAACGCTGTGAACGGCAGCGGAGGCTGGGACGGCTGGGCAGTGTACGAACCCCTTGCGGAGCTGCGTCGCCTGGGCGTGCCTAACGACATGTGGAGGGCCACCAAGATAAACGAAGCCTATGCCGTTTGCGACAGCTATCCTGCTGTTTGGGCGGTGCCCAAGGCTGCATCCGATGACTTTCTGCGTCGCGTGGCGCAATTCCGTTCCCGATGTCGTCTGCCAGTGCTCTCGTGGATGAACCCCAGAACCCAGGCAACCATAACACGCTGTTCCCAGCCCTTGGTGGGTGTGAGTGGCAAAAGGAATGCGGACGATGAGACCTACCTAAGCTACATTATGGAGGCCAATGCTCAGTCGGACAAGTTGACGATTATGGATGCGCGACCTAGCGCCAATGCCATTGCCAATAAGGCCAAGGGTGGCGGCTATGAGTCGGAGGATGCATACAAGAATGTTGAGATAAATTTCCTGAACATCCACAACATTCACGTGATGCGAGAGAGTCTGCGCAAGGTAAAGGAGGCATGTTTCCCCACTACAGACGACTCAAAATGGCAATCGGCCATCGACAACACCCTGTGGCTTAAGCACATCAGATGCGTCCTGGCCGGAGCTGTGCGGATAGTCGACAAGGTGGAGACCATGAGCACTTCGGTGGTGGTGCACTGCTCCGATGGCTGGGACCGCACGGCGCAGCTGACTGCGCTCTCCATGCTCCTGCTGGACCCTCACTATCGCACTGTTCGCGGCTTTGAGGTGCTCATCGAGAAGGAGTGGCTGTCCTTCGGCCACAAGTTCCAGCAGCGCGTTGGCCATGGCGACAACAAGCATTCCGATGCCGATCGCTCGCCGGTTTTCCTGCAGTTCATTGACAGTGTGTGGCAGGTGGGCCAGCAGTTCAACAACGCCTTCGAGTTTAATGAGCATTTCCTTATAACCATTGTGGATCATCTGTATTCATGTCGATTCGGCACCTTCCTTTGCAACACGGAAGCCGAGCGTGTGGCCGAGGGTAAGTTCGTTTCAACTTATTATATACATCATTATGGAGGACATATTTCTTGCAGATCTTAAGCACAAGACTACATCCCTTTGGACGCACATTAACTCCTCGTTGGATCAGTATTTAAATCCCCTATTCCCCTCGTTCACGCACGGCGCTGAGCTTGTATTGCGCCCCATTGCCAGTGTGCGGGCCGTGCGGCTATGGAAGGGTCTATACTGCCGCTGGAATCCGGGACTGTGTGCACCCCAGCATGGGTGCCAACGCACACGCGAGCTGCTCTCCAAGCAGGATCTTCTCTTCAAGCATGTGAATGAGCTGCGGCTCAAGTCGAATAATCGCAGCAACAACATGCAGACAACGACGCGACTGGCATCGCCAATGCATTAATAGTATTCTTTTATTATTCCTCTATACATATAATCTTCTAAATATATATTCAATGTGACCTACGAGCACTATTCCAAATATAATCAAAATAAGGTTAAACTTATCTCGAATTATAAGGACAGCTGCTGCTTTCTAATGTTTATGTTGGCGCCCCACCCCCTCCCTCCAACTGTTGCATGCAGCCAGCCTGTTTTCATTCATAAAATCAGTTTCCAGCAGGCGCCTGCGCCTTGGACTACGCACAGGCCCCCTCCCCCCACACAGTCCACAGTCCGAATAGTCCGTAGCCTTTTGCGCCAAAATTAAAATCACATTGCTTCAGTACGTTTTCGCACGTTCATTAATGCAGTCGTGCTTGGCAACGGATGATTACTATTGAGATCTGTTCAGATTAGTTTGTTTAAAAATGTGATTTCTAATATGTACTCGTATAAATAGTGTCCAAAACTATGCCTAGTTGGTACCGTGTGGTGGTGTGGCTTTGGTGTCTTTTAAGCTGTTGCCATGGCAGGACAGAGGCTGGGACTGCGGCTGGGGCTGGAGCTGGAGCTGGAGAGGTACTCGTGGTCATTGCCTGTCCACCGCTTCCCCGTCGGTCGCAGGAAGGATGTTTTGCGTTGTTCGACAGTTTGCGGGAGCAGCACCAACACCTGGCGGGGGTCATCCCCGGGGATTATGTCCTCAGGTTCCACATAATGCATGAGCTATTCAATTATTGGACATTGCTGGACGCATTGCCAGGCCAGACACGTTTGCTAAATGCGCGCACGGAATGGATTATTTGGTGTCAACACAACACGCATGTGGCCTCGCTGCGTGGCCTGCTCGAGCAGCTCCACAGCCAGGACCCAATGGAGGTGAGTTGTCCTTCCTCCTGGGATTAAACTATGCTCAATATTGACTTTCAGGCTGCCTACTACGGCCATGCCTTGTACGACACGGAGGCCACGATTGTGCATCATTTTGCACACTACAAGAATCCCAGATGGTTCCCGTATCCCCTGCTCAGTGCCGGTGTTGTTTTCACAGGTGTTCTGCTGCGCAGGTAATGCCTTCGAGACGGTGTTGCTTTGGCTACCATCCATAACTCATAATGAAACATCCATTAACACAGGCTGGCGGAACTTGTTGCTCTTAGTGCCCAGAATGCCACCCGGCACAGTGAGTTCGCCATAGACGCCTCTCATGAGCTGGCCCGCTTCATATTCGACAACTTAACACCTGACACGGACCGGGGGCTAAAGGAGGACCCTATCGGTGGCCCCGAAGGCGAAACCTTGGAGCGGAAAATCATTTTGAAAACTGCTGCCTACATTTGTCCCACTGCACTCCTGCACTCCTCCCCCGAGACGGGAACGAGCAAGCCCGTTCCTTGTTTGTTATATGCAAAGCCAGAGATGTTTGCTGTCCTGCCATCGACTTTGGAGACTCGCCTGCAAGGGGTAAGTTTATTTATGCTGCCTGTACGCTTCCTGTTTCCCCGTTAGTGATTGTGTGTGGATTTAACATACCATTTCTAAAGGGGGCTTTGATTAAGATGAAGTCTCCGATTCTGCTTGCTATTTTGTCAATATTTCGATTCCCTTATTTGTTTTTGCACCTCTGCACATCAGGCAGCGAGAACATATTGTGCTTTCTTTTCTGAATTCTTGAATTTCAAAGCACTCACAAGTACATTCCATTCCATTGGGTTCCTCCTCATAACAACGGACTCATAACACGACGAGCACCCCAAGCAATTAGCATTTGAAACCTCTATAACCATAAATTCTCTATCAACTTCAACTTGATTCCGATTCTCTACTGCACTCCTGTGCCACAGCAGGTGCACACAACAGGATCGCACATCTATTTTGCAATCAAGACCTGTGCAAAATTCCATAAGGAACGTATACCAATCATCGAACGCACCTGGGCGACCGACGCCCGGCACCGTAGATACTACAGCGATGTGGCAGGTAAGCGGCCGTTCCGTCCGTCGCCGACGACTGTCCCCCCGTTGACAATGAGAGGGCAATTAAAGCAAATGAGGGTGATGCCGGAAGGGGAAATGGCAGCCATCGTTGTACAACCCATACGTACATACATGCGAATATTTACCCATGTGTGCTACGTATGTACATGTGTGTGTGCGTGGGGCATTAACAAAAACACGATGAGGCGGAGTGACAGGCACACAAAACATACACATACATATCCACACTGGATCTGTGCTTTTCGGTCCTCATCTGCTCGTACGAGTATCCCCAATGCTACAGTTTTCCCCCATCGCAGCATCACCCTTCAGCGAGCAGTCGAACTTATTGAATATTCATTGATTTGACTTTGTGTGTTCCCTCCTGTCTCCTGTCTCCTGTCTCCTGCCCCCTGGCTTCCTCTTCCCACCCGCACTCCGTGCCATCGCACTCCGTGCCTGCTTCTCTAAACCGCAACAGAAGTCGGCATACCGACAATCAGCACTGGGATACCCAATGTTCAGACTGGACATTGTGCCAAAACATTGGCAATTTTACAATTATCCCTCAAGGATATCATCGAACAGAGGGACATACGCTGGCTCATGCTCGTCGATGATGATACGCTGCTTAGGTAAGTCACTGCGGGAGCCGTTGGGGTGGGCTTATGTATGCCTATTACCACCGATGGGTTTGATTGTTAGTTGATCTACTAGCATTAGAAAGATAGTTTGATATCAAAAGGAAACCCAACATTAATTTATGGTCTAGGGCTGGAGGTTCTTCTGATTGGGGCAAAGAAACAAACATACTCGTATGTCCTTAAATTCACATTACAATACACATTCAGATTACTTTAAAAGATTCTTTTCCATCGATTTAAGTGCAGAACACCACTCAGTCGATCCTCCACCTTGACTCTCAGTTGAGATATTTTTATTTTCCGGCTTAATCGCATGACGGCGCATTCAATTAAAAATATTTGTATTGATAAATCGCACTCATCCTTCCAACTGCAATTCCCTTTGCTCTCTCTCTCATCCGCACATGCCCCTGCAGCGTGCCTCGGCTGAGCGCCCTGCTGAATGGCTACAATCACACGGAGCATATCTATCTGGGGGAACGCTACGGGTATCGTCTGTACGCCCCAGATGGCTTCAACTACCACACGGGAGGAGCGGGAATTGTGCTCAGCCTGCCCCTGGTGCGGCTCGTGCTGGAGCACTGCAGCTGCCCGAGTGCCAACGCCCCGGATGACATGATACTGGGCTACTGCCTGCAGGCACTCGGAGTGGTGGCCTTGCCAGCCGCCGGGCTGCATCAGGCCAGGCCCCAGGACTACGCCAGGGAGCTGCTGCACCTTCAGCCGCCCATTTCCTTTCACAAGTTCTGGAACACGGAGCCGGAGCACACGTATCGCAGATGGCTGGGTGGCTCCGGCGGCAATCAGAGTGTGCCTCAAGCGACTGACACAGATCGTGTGACAGTGGCAGGGGCGGTGGCCCCATTGCCCCCGCTTGGAGGACGACTGCAGTTGCCCGGTCTTACCGCTGGCCTGGGAACGGCTGAGAAGCATTTGGACCTGTAGTCTGCTGAGGTGAGTACTAATTATTATAAAAAACAAATTCACTCCGGATGGAGTTTGCTCTGCCGCTGACAGCTGAACAAAAGTTGCCACCGCATCCCAAAAACCAATCTACTGCCAGCCATCAAGCGGCTGCCAAGCACACGAATTTTCATTTTCTACAAACCGAAAGAAATTTGCAAAAAAAAAAAAACAAAAATATATAGAAAACTTGTCAGGTGTCGCGTCTGGAAGGGCCCGTGTACTTCTGTCTGTGTTGCGGCTTTCGAGTCAGTTTAATTAGTGAAAATGCTCAAATGCGGTTGCAATTCGCCACGACGAGGCTTGGGGCGGGATTCCGCATTACCAGTTGGCTGTCTGCTCCTCTGATCAGGCAAATTTGTAGCAGTTTATAGTTAGGAATGGAATTAGTAAGTGACATCTATTGTATAGAGGAGTTTCCAAAGGAAGGTCTGTTTAAATGGAACAAGTATCCTGGATTCCTTAACAATTTGAGCTCCCTTCACTTCCCTTTTCCTTCCTTACCAACTTTTAATGGACTGCACCATCAGATAGCACCCATATCAATATTGCAAACCCATATAGATGCCACCATTTTTGATTTGCACATAATTTGCATTCGATTTCAATTTGGCGACACTCGAGAATCGAGAATCCCAAAGCTGCTGCTGAGCTTCCGCTTAGGTTGGGATTTTTCGCACCTTCGATGGACTTAAACCTCATTAAATGTAAATTTTGAGCGAGCCAGAGGAGCGAATCGGTTCTCTGAATGGCTCTCCGATTCAGGGGCATCAACAGTTTCCGCTTGAGTGCACTTTTCGAATGGTTAGCTTAGCCCTTGGGTGGATATTCCTCGCCTTCCCCCAGCCCCAGGCCCAGCCCCAGCCCCAGCCTCATCCCCAGCCCACTTTCACTTCCTTCCACGATTGAAGCACGAGGGTATCTTTGGGATAAAACAAACAAAGCGCTCCATTTAACCTGCCAGACAATCCAGTTGTTCGGGCCAGCCAGCCATCCAGGAGCCCAGTAACTTGTTTCATTTCAGTGGACCATGTAACCCTCCGCAACCAATATATAATGCACAATGTGCATCTATTATTCAGGCACTAATCAATAGTTTTCGCAAGTCTCAAATGTGGGCGACAAGCGGACACGCCCACACCATTTCGCCCACTAAATAGGTGAAAACAATGTGACAGTTTGTTTGGAGAGCCCGTTGACAGAAGTAATTGTCCTGTGGTCCCTGAATTATTCAGCGACTGAGTGAAAGTTGTTGTCAGGTGCTGGCCACCGGAAAACCTCAACAAAAATTCGATTTAGCCAGATAATCGTGTTTAGTCCAGAAAGCTTAAATTCTTAAAGAGTTTCCCCACTGGAAACATCCAACATTTAAGGACACTTAATGGGAGATTTTCCCTTGAATATATTCATTGGAAAAGCTGTGAGCAAAACAGATCTTATCCGTACATCATTAATCCTCGAACAGCTCCTCTTTCCGTTGACCGGAACAGGACAGAACTGTGAACAAATCAGATCTTGTTGAGATAACACCAGGATATCTTTAATCCTGCAAGAGAGAATACTCAACCACAAGAGCTTTATGTGCTCTTTCAGGAAAGGAAATTTAATGGAATGCAATTCTGTTAATTTGTTCATGTGTCTGGCTGTTTATTTGCTCTGTTGCCCCCCGGCATCGCCGCAAGTTGGTTTTATCTCCTGCCTGCCAGCAAAGGCACCAGGCAGCAGGCACTGCACGGCACGGCACGGACTCTTGTCGCCGTCATCCACGTGTACGTGCTGGCACCTCCTTCCATCGCTTACTCCGTGCGTCCTAATTAGTTGTGGATTTTTCAATGAATACCAAGCCAGACCAGACCCATGCCCAAACCCATGCCCAAACCCAAGCCCAAGCCCAAACCCAGACCCAGACCCAGAACCGAGCTCAAAGCCACCGCTAGCCGCACTGGCGACACTGCGACAAGTTGAATTTAAAACAAAATTTAATTAACAGCTTGCAGTTAAATAAATGCTGCATGCACACGAGGACACATATCTCTCCCATATCAGCATCAGCGCCACCAATCCTCGTAGTCGTCGTATTCGTCGTCTGCTTGCTCCTCCTCCGAGGAACCCGCCTGCCTGGGTCCCACAAAGCTAACAACTTTCTGAGGTAGAATTTTTACTTTGGCTAGGTTTCTGTGCTTCTGGTAATTGTAGATGCGGGACAGCATGGAGGGCACTGGATCACTGTCACTCCAGGCCAGGCAAAGGTATGTGGTCATCGAGAGAACTGCGGATGGGATAGATGGCAGGCGAAGGCTGGGATGAGTCTTGAAGGGAGGTATGAAATATGGCCACTTACCAAGCCATCCAAAAACTACTCTCAACCGCATGATGGCCAAATCCATCTGTTGATAGTTTCCTCCAATTCGTTGGGTTTTATACCAAAAAATATTCATGGAAAGAGGCTTTGACTAGATTCCATTTCATGGATTGTTTTATAGGGCAATAACTTTCCCTTTTAATACCCGCCAATCGAAGAAAAACTGGGGTCCATTGGGTTCTTGTCACAGCAAGGAAATGGAAGAATAAACCTGTAAGCAACGATCTATAAACAACAGGATTTTGGATAATGTAAAAGCAAGCAACAGACTTCTCCGTATGTAATTTCCACTTCCGCAATGTTTTGCAGTATATCATTGAGATTTTCCAGATTACGAATATCAAAATCATTATAAAAAAATTTTCATAATTTCAGATAAATTAATCTGAGCTTCAGGTATCCTATAGTCGTAAGAGCGTAATCTATACATTTTATTGGTTTTCTCTTTTATTACAATCGGAAGTTTTTGAACTCAACATTTTATAGTTTTTTTTACTCCAACGTTTTAATGAATCTTTATGATATCTTTCTACCTTTGAAGTGTCTTAAGCTTTGAAATTTTAGTTTTTCCTTTCTCTTGAAGGCTTTTCGAATAAAATTCTTGTATTATATTTTGTAATTCTTTAAAAAAAGTGCCGAAAAAATGGTTGTGCCATTATCTTGAGTGGAAAAAGCTGCCATGCAGCATTTTCTTTTGCATAAAATTACAGTTTGTCCTTTCGCACACACACAACATGGGTGTTGTGTTGCTTGTGGCTACTCGAAAGTAGATTATGCTGAACAATGTCACATCACACAGGGTCCAACCGGGGGGCAGCGGCAGGGGCAGGGGCAGGGTAAGCTCTGTTAATCTGCCTTGAAACATCAAAAGTTGAACCATAAGAAAATTTAAGCAACCGCCCTCGAGCAGAGGGCAGAGGGAGGACAAAAAAAAAGGAGAACGAACCCACACAGAAAGAAATCAACCATGAGATGAAATTGTTTAAAAAGATTTCTTTACACAACGTGCATCAAGTCCTGGGAGATTTGTGAAACAGCTTGTGTCCGGGTCGAGGTCTGGGGCTCCCCGGACCTTCTTTCGGGCTTCGTGTTGGACTTTTCGTGTTTGTTTCCTTTTGGCTGGGTGCAACTTTTGGCGTCCAGTTCCCCAGTTGGGTTTAGACAATTGTTTTAGTTTTGTGCTTGTATTTTGCATTTCTACGCTCTCTTGGCGATGCGATGAAATCAATACTGGGGGAATGTTTAAGATTATGAACTCTACTAAAGCGCAGGGGTAATCTGGCAGAAGTGGAATCCTATTTCTTGAGACAATAGGTTTCTCAGTCCCTTAAACTTTCAGTGAATCCCTTTTGCTATCGCCCTGTATTCATCAATCAGAACTTGGCAAATTTACTCAACTGCCTCAAGCCATTTGGCAGCCACAACTAACAGACAGACAGACAGAACTTAGCTACCATCTAGATCAAGTTACAACGCCTCAAAGTAGGCAGCTCCATTCAAACAAAACGCAGGACACACAATCCTTTGGCTCCCTCTTAGTCTCTCCATCTCTCTCTCTCTGTCTTGATGTCTCAGTTAACGTGCAATAAATTTTTGTCCCTGTCTAAACTAAAGTTGAGCTGGAGGAAAAAAGCATTTTGTGTCTATCAGGGCGTCTAATCTGCAGTCCAACCCATCTAACCAACTTACCACGTGCAATAAATTTCTAAGGCGCAACGTCTGCACTATTTTCCCTCCGGCCTGGAGACTTTTTCCATGGGAGCCATGGCTCCGTGGAGCAGGACCGTGGATCCGGACGGATTTCTTCTCACTGCTAAGCCACGCGCCCGTACGTGATCTGATAGGGAATGAACGGCAACCGCAAACATAGACACAGAGAGCTGAGTCGTCGACATGTGTGCAAACTTTTGGCCAAGTCGAGTTGCCACATTTGTTTGGCCTAAAGAACACGCACCTGTGTCCTTCCAAGACCTCCCCTCCCCCAACACCCGACCCACCCATTGTGGTCTTCCACGCGCACAATTCGACAAGCAGTTGGCATTGCGCTAATTTACTTTAAATTGGTTTTTTTGACATTGGTGTGCCTTCCACTTCCTTATACGAATTATCAATGATAAATGACTTGGGCTTGGTGTTGGTCTTGGTCTTGGTCTGGTGCTCTGGTGCTCTTTGCCTGGGGAGTCTATGGGCGTGGTGGTTCACTTGGGTTCATTTTTGACTAAAGATTCAAAGGTTTAATGTCAAAAGAAGTACTTAAAGGGCAAGCATTTTCGAGCAGTGGATTATATAAATAAGTCCAAATCTTCTCGAATTATTTAATTGAAAATACATATGTATATTCCGAATAAACAAGACTTTTTTATCTATGTTCAATTTCAGATTTTGGTTAATAACCCGACATCCGGCATCCTTCGAGGGCAATGATCCATTCCGACTGAAGCAAAAGATCAGCTAAGCTCCAGCTGCAATAATAATATTATTTTTAGAGCATAATGAGTTGAATGTAATCCAATCTGCAATTAAAATTTAAGCAATATATGAACAGATTGAATTTGTAAGGAGAGGTCGAAATATAGTTGGCCCAGGAAGGACTCCAAATCAGGGACTTTCTTTCGATTACAGGAAGCTACGGCAGGCCCAGATTGGCCCGATGATCAAGGAGATAATGCTCAGATCGGCTGCTTTATAGCCGAAATACAGTGTACGAAGAAAAAAGGCAATATCTTGATCCAATAGGCCCAAATCGAGGAACGACCAACATTGCCAGGATCGTTTAGATCCAGACTGTCGCTCGGCATGACTTTGTTAACGACATATGTATGTCTATACGAAGCATAGAGTATTATTAAATTTCTAATAATTTCCTGGAGTATCGCATCCCCGCTGCACCGCCTTTACCTAGTTGATGTTCATGTTTGTGGTATTTTATTTGGCGCCCAACGATTTCTTTCCGCCCAAATTCCCCCATTTATCGCTAATGGGATCTCACTGGCCTGGCTTTGCTGTGGAGGTTAATAAATCGGTAAATACAAATTAATGCTGCTGAAATTACAAATAACCAATTGAACCCAATTTAGCCCGAACGGGACGAAGCTCTTGACGAATTTTCTTTTAACTCAATTGATATTGCTTTTTTTTCTGTTGCTTTCCATAATTAATGAGGAAAGTTTTTGAACCTTTTGTGTCAAGTTTTGCAACTGCCCCCAGCGGGACGCCGACCACGAGTCCTGGCCAGAGTCCAGGGTTCTATTGTCGACAAGATTGGCTGCTTATCGGCGCAACGCCATCGTTGGGGGCGTGGCATGTCAGCGATACTAATGAGAGGGAAAGCGCGACCAGACGAAAAGTTTTTTTCCCCACATTTCGTTTCGTTTTTTGTGTATTTGCCTCCAATTTGGCAGCAAGACATAATTAATGGAAATATCGTTAGAGGAAAGTGTTTGCCCGATTAATCATGGGGACACGGTGGCTCTGGGCTGGGGCTCTCCACATGGCAATGAAAATACACGTAGCATTGGTTTTGGTTTGGGTTTGGGTCACGTTTCAGTGGCAAACATTTTGCATACATTTTTGGTTAAATTCAGTTTTGACCATAATGACCAATAACAACAAAAAGGAACTTTATTAAACAAAACTTTTGATACCCTTCAAGATCCATCATTCGTATGGCAGGTACATATATGAAATAGCTATCTGGAATGGGTTTTAAATAATGAACATGGCCTTATCGTATATTATTGCCGAATATAAAAGATATATGTATGTACTTACTGTGGGGGGGTCCCAATCTGCTTTGCAAAATCATAATACCCTCTGCAGGTGCATCGGAACTGAAGAGCGGGAGCGCTCAATGCGTTTATGGTTGGTGCGGTTGGGTTCCGAATGGGTCACAGCGGGTTGTTTGGATGCTCTGCCAGTACTCTCTTTTTATATAGGCACCTGCAAATATTTTCGTATGAATAACTGAAACTCCCCCCGCCAGAAAGGGGAATTACCCAACGAGATATTCAGGACATTCGTTGGACCTCAGCCTTCATTAGTTACAGCTGAAATTTGTCGTTCCACACTTTTTAGTGACCCGTTTTGTTAGGGGGAAAGCATGGCCATTGCTATAGCAAAATAAATTAGTTGCACGTGACGCCTTAAATGGTCGCACAGCAAATGGAGCTTTCTAGGATTCCGTACACCACAAAAAAAAGGAATGAAAAATAAACGAAATAACGTTTGGTGAACCTCAATGAAAATTGCACAAGCATTTGTTGATTCGCTTGGGGTCGGAGTGTGGCGAGGACTGTGGCTCTGGCTCTGGCTCTGGCTGTGCGCACAAATTGCGTGCCACAAATGGACGCACATAAATCATGCGTGCGACAAAAATCGCTTGGGAAGTTTTCACGCACAATTGGCCAAAATCCAAAAGCTTCAACTGGACAAGTAGAAGTCTCTAAATCACATATCTGTGGCACAGGTATCGAGGCTCCTAAATCAGTTGGAGTTTACGAAAAATAAAGATGGAGAGACTTCCCCAATGCAGACTTTTACTTGAAATTAATACGAGTATATCTCATAATTTGGATTAACTCATCCCCACTGCTACGCGTCAGCTAAGCGAACATTTTTAATGAATTTCCCAACATTGCAACATTTTTACAGACCCCATACACCATACACACACACCTCAACACTCAGACACACTTGCTGAAAAGAAATCCTGGCACTTTTTAGCGCTTGGAGCCTCATAAATATATACTCGTACTTTTTCTCCGGCTTAGGGGTTGCGGCACGCCCCACGCTCTTGCCACAACATGCACTAATTAGTCAAGGATTTGGCATTAAGGAAACAAATTCTCGACCCTCAATGAAAAGAATATGGAGCACGTGCCGCGCTTGTAAATGTAAAATTGTTGTTCTCGGGGTTTTTTTTTTTTCATAAGTAGACTTAATAAAGTATGAACAACGTTTTTAAATTATGTGCACGTACCAAAGAAAAAAAGTTAAAGAAATTTGCATTCGTTATGGTTTTCAGTTAATACTGCCGCGTGGGAAATTTTTTAAAATTTAAACCATAACCAAATTCAAATATTAACATAAGTACATATGTTCATGATGATTTATCAAGAGGTTCTATTAGAGCTGCCAATAAAACCTGCCTTCTCTATGCATACATATCCTTCTTAAGAGTAGAAGGTGATCAAATATTTATCGTGCTTAAGTTGACCAATGCTCAACTGGTTCTTTAGTCCCCATTGTCAAAGCAATAGTTTATCAAATTAACCGGCCTTTTAGCACAGCATTTGCACATTTAATTACACTTGAGACCTGCTGCACAAAATCAAACCGCATTCAAATTGCATTATTCAATCAGCTTCTTGTTCCCCCGATGGGTGGCACTTGCCATGCCATGTGATGGCATGTGTCCCTGCTGGAAGTGTGATAATTTTACAAAAACAATGCCAATCTGTGCTGCAATTAAGGTCACTTTGTTATAGAATTTTGATTAACGAATTGCGTTCGCCCATTTACTTCTCTGAGGCTATTTCTATGTCGGAAATCAAAGAAACATTGTGAATTCAACTTAAAACAATAAAAATGGAGTCTTCAATTAATTAGCATCTATTCGCTGGACACAGGACTGTGGAAAGTGGGCAACAAACGTGCCTGCCAAACTTCCGCCTTTCAGCAGGCGGCCGTTAAATAAACGCAGGCTGCGGTCAGTGGGCGGCGGGTTGTGGCGAGGGTGCAGTTTTTGTTTTCGGACCATTTGACGGGTACATCCCCGCACACACGAAGAGGACAGGGCCCGGGATTGCAGTAGGACACTGCCAGAAAGAGCAAGGAGAGAGCCCGCTCGCAGTACAAAATCGTCCGAAAACTAAAATACGTGCAAAGTTTACAAAAACATTTGGTTTTGGCTCGACTGATGCCGCATCCTGCTTCTGATTCAGCTCCGCTCCTTCCACAATGCATGTTGTTTAATTATTTGCCGTTTGGCGTAGTGCACACACATGCATACGGTCCATTTTGGCCTAGATAAAAGTAGAAAATGCTTGGATTGCACAATTTTATTTGGGTTTCGGCGATTTAACAAACAGTTTTTTCAGTGGAAGGCAACCAAAGATAGAATTTCTGGACTAAAATATATTATTACGTGCCTTTGTTTTTCAAAATTAGCTTAACAAGTTTCAAAATAATTTTTAAATATTTGAGAAGGCGCCAAAATGCAAACAACCGATACATAGAGTTGCCAACGTGCGTTAACGGTAATTTTAATACTTTTCGGTATTTTTTTAGGTCAAAATTGAACCGACGGTAAATTTGAACTGGTAAACCAGTTAAGTGGAAAATAGATTCATTAGTCGTATAAAATTATGTGGGCAGGGATAAGAGATCTAGATAACTAGTAATATTCTACGGAATATCAAAATGGACTAACATGTATAATATTATTGAATTCGTCAGTATACTTACGGTATATTTTTAAATTGAGACCGTATATTTTGGTAGTTCTGGGGGTCGGACGGTATATTTCTGTCGCGGTCACATTGCTTAAAACGTGTTTATTTTTTGATTTTAACAAAAACTAAGAAATAATGGAGGAAATTGAGGGATACACAGGTGAAAACACACATATAAACACTGCCGCGACTATTGCTAATCATGAATGCTTGACTTTTAGTTGTTCCTCTGCGAATGAGCAGCGATGCACTGCACTGCCACAGCGTTTACATGCGGGAGCACTTCATCCGGCTGATGGATCCGAACAAACCCAAGGGTCGCACGCTGTTCCTGCTCAATATACCACCCTATGTGACCGAGGAGAGCCTGAAGGGGTTCTTCAAGCGGGCTGGCAACGTGGAGAGCGTACAATTTGCAGCGAAGCCTGGAAAAGATGAAACAATTAAATGGTATGAGGGCACAAACGAGCCTTTCTCCAATGTTCGGCCGCCGTTCATATTCAAAGTGGCCTACGTGGTGTTCCAGAAGAGCAGCAGTATTGGCAAGGCCTTGGCCGTCCCGAGCATTGACCTGTTCCACAGCAGCGGCGAGAGCACCATCAAAACGGGCATGGAGCTGTGGCACGAAGAGTACGAGAACCATTATATCCTGGATGCGGAGAAGACAAAGGCACAGATCACCGAATATATGGCCGACTACGACCGAAGAGAGCGAGCGGCCGCACTCGCAGCCAAGAACAGTGAAGCCGACGCCGATGGCTGGGTCACCGTGGGCAAAGAGGGTCGCAATGCTGGCTTCGAGCAGAAGGAGTCTGTCATCGGACGCCTGGAGAAGAAGCGGGAAAATGACACGAAAACGAAGGAACTCAAAAACTTTTACACCTTCCAGATACGTGAGAGTAAAATGCAGAATATCGTCGAGATGCGCAAAAAGTTCGAGGAGGATAAGCGAAAAATTGAACTGCTGAAGCAATCGCGACGCTTCAAACCGTTTTAGTCCGTAAGCACGCATAGGTTAAGAGTTGAATAAAAGCCTCTTTATGGGGCATACACACTGTAACACCGTTGGAGCGCACTGACATGACCGCTGGCAAATCCTCATAAATTTCATAATTTCACGTTGCCATTGACACTTTTGGCGCGACCAAGTCCTGGCCAATGCCATAATTTCGCAGCAATGCCATAACTTATAAGCGAACGCAGTCAGAGGCGGCCATAAAAGCTTATAAAAAGCGAACAACAAAAAAAGGCGTTGGGGCAGAGCAGAGAGGGCCTGTTGTGGCCACAACAGCCGCTGAGCTTATTGTGTGATAATCGCATATGGTTTATGTTAATTTGAGAAATGATAAAAATATTTCGCTTATCAATTTTAATCATCATAATCGTCGCTGTGCCGTCGTCGCGACTTGCGACGCACATTGAAACCAGGCCCCATCCACACACACAGCACGCGATCTCTCATTCCCGGGACCGAGGAATGCATTTTGGGGCTCGCTCAGGGGCGGATTTCATTCGAGGGGTCAACAGACACAAGAGCAGTATAAGAAAAATTCAGAAAAAAACATGTTTTCTGTTTTAACCAGAACTCTAGCTCAGTTTTCCCACACATATATGGTCTTAGTCCGCTCCTGGACTCGGGGTTGTGGTGGTGCGCGTAAATTTCGAGAGCCTCTCCCGCGACTAAAGGTAACCCGAGAGTCTGTGGAGGCTTGGGGAGTGAAATACAAACGAGGTACGCGTCGGATAACGCATGCTGACGATCATCGCTGGATTGTAGTCGTCGTCGTCGTCGTCGTCGTCGTCGTCGTCGTCGTCGTCATCGTCCGGTTGCCTGTGGCTGGGCTGTAGCTGTTGCTGTTGTTATTGCTGGCCTACTGTGGAGCCTAAAGACAGCAACACATTCATAATTTCTTCCGATTTGTATCGTTTTAAACATTTTAAATTGATTAAAATGCGATAAATCATAATCGCCGATGTCTGGCATGAGACCCGAGAACGGGAACGGAACCCATCGTCGAAACCCTCCCGATACTCGGATACTTGGGACCATGTCTGGGTGATGGAACGATTTATGAGCCTTGAACATAATAAAGTGTTAACGGAACGAGTTATTAAGGTAATCTGAATGCGCATAAGTTAATAAAGGCGAAGACGATTTGCATGGGCAGCGTAGCGTAGCTCCAGACCAGCGTCTAAGGTTGCATCTAGGAGGCAATCCCAGGCTGTTTGGGATCCCCGACTCCAGCTCCAGCCCAGTTCAGCGTTCAGGCCGATCGTCGGACACACAAGATGTCGAAAAATATAACATAAAACGACCACACGTACGTCTCCCATGCCGCACAGCAGGACTCCAGGCTCAGGCCAACGAGAAACGAGGAAAAAATATCTGAAACGCCGTGTCTTGTGAGCAGAACAATCAATAAATTTGAACACGTGAGCGGACGCGAATGTGGACGGCACACAACAGGAACGATCGGTCCACACAGCAAAACAGGGCGATAAGTGATCAATGCCCCGTGTCGACTGATTGGGCAGAATCACAAAAACCCCGCGAGTGTTGCTGGCGGTTGGTGTGGGGAAGGGGGGAAATGGAAAGTGAGTGATTTTGGTCTGGGCTAACTCAAAATTATACAAATCATTAAAATATGGGCAGTAAAAGTGGGTTTTTAATAGATGGAACATGAGTATATTAGCAAGGCATTGTTTGAGGACAGAAAAAATAGACAATTTAACATTTATGTGTTCAGTTTTACAAGATATAGTAATGATCTACTTTATGTTCTTAAGTGGATGCTTTCGTGGGTGGTCCCATGCCTGGTGTTTCTTCTAATTAACGCTTCAAGGTAGAAGATCTTATATGTATATTCCCTCTGGGCGCGTCACGCAAAGAGGAATGGATATCAAGCGATTGAGAGGACTACCTGTCTTTCAAAGAGACTTCACTATTATTTCATTTATAAGGTCTTAATATCGTCGATAGTTCAATAAATCTTTAGAATTAGTTATATTTTATAGCCATATCTTCCTATGTGCATATTTCAATCAACTAAAAACCTAATAGCAATCGCCAAAATCAAACCAAGATGTGGTATCCACATCGTCCATGATAATAGGCTCTCTGCGTGCCGTCGACGGTCCGTAGAGATTGTAGCGCCTAGAGTTGGCAAGCACCTCGCGATACCGTCTAATCGGTGCCCGAGCCATATGCAGCTCCATCATATCCCAATCGTTGACGTCCCGGAAGACAGAGCGGATCATGTGCATCCGTCCCAGAAGCTCCGTTTCGCGCAATCCTTCGTAGCTCCTGCCCGTGCGTGCCTTAAAGGTCTTGTAGACCTCACTGTGCTGCTTTGTCTCCGTGGCTGTCTGGAGCTCCTTCCGATAGAGGGCTCGAATGCCACGTCCCAGGTGACGGATGTGCTCAAAGTTACGTACATTTAGAGCCACCAAGGATATGGCATCGAGGTTGAGCAACTTGTGCCCATCGATGTAGTTCTCTTTGAAGGTTTCCTATAAGAAAAGGGATATGCTTTCAGACTGGGACTTCTTCCAGCCTTCCCACTCACTTCGTATTCAGGATACCCAAAGTCGCGCAGCCAATCGGCCACGTCATTGATGCTCCACTTGAACACCTCCGTGCGGCCCTGGGCATCCACGACAGCAGCACAAAGGTTAAAGAGCGAGTCCGGCGTGGCCTTGAATGGCAGGGGTATATCGTCCTTGTCGTAGTCCACATCGGGGAACATATAGCTTGGATAGCGGAAGCTAAACTCCTGCTCCTCCTCATCCTGCTCACAAATGGTCAGGCTCTCCATTGGCGATGGCATCGACATCGAGGACAATGATGGCAACGACAACGACTCCATCCAAGCGGATGGCACGTACTGTTCCCGGCCTAACCCAAATTAAGTTGCCTCGGAACGCTTTGATTGCGGTTTACCCATCGACCAGGAGTGTGCACTCGTACACGGTTCGTGTCTGTTTACTTTGTTTGGTTGCGTTTTGTATGTTTTTCCTTTTCCATTTATTATATTCCCTACACTATGAAGGGTCTTCTGAATGGTCGATGGGTGTGGGGAAGAGTCAACTTTTGATTCGTAAGAGTGGTATGAATATGGGAGTTATCTTGGGTCTCGTTTAAAGTTTTGTATATCCTATGTGATTCATATTTTTGCATACTTCTTAGCATTTATCTGTCTTTATTAACATTCGTCAAAGAGCATTGAAAATGTCACCATTCCCCAACTTTGGCTCCCGTTTTCATTTACATTTTCCCTTTTTGTTCCTATGATTGCATTTGCATATCCGATTTTTCGGGGTCAATTTGTGGACTGGCGGTACTAGGGGGTGATGGGGCACCATTTCTCACCCACTGGGGGTGTGGATTCAACGCTTGAAAGTATGCTAGGTTACGTAGTCACGGGAGCAGTTCCATTAATAACACGATTTCCACTTCGCAATTTTCACATTTTCACTTTATTTTTTATTTCCCAGCGAGGGCGGAGTTCCCGAATGTTTACTTGCGATAATTTAATGGCACACAACACACAAAAGTTTTATGGAGCGTGCAATGCATTCCGACGATTTGTTTATGCTATGTTTTCAGAGGTTTTTACTTTTGGGAATGCGGTTGGATTTATGACCTGCACAAGGAGCAGCCCGGCTCACGGCACACGGCACCCGGCGGCACCGTTACCCACTTTATTAACAACGGAACAAGTCCCAGACATCATGGAGCTCAGGGAGTTCACAGAGATCGCTCAATCCCAGGCCAATTAGGCACGGCGCATTCCTCGTGCGCGCAACAGAGACACCCAGCATCGGATACACGTACATATATGTGGGCTCTGGCTCCGCCCACTGGAACCGATCGATCTTATTGGTCCGCTGCCACCAAGCCATGGCCTCTCCACGAGTTGTGGGCGCAAAGGGAACCGGAATCATCCGAACATCGATATGGTATGGGCATGTGTGCGCTCTGGCACGGATGGGTGTATTGGTGTGGGGGGGGTACGGGAACACATGGAGAAATCGGTAAACAAATCTGAACAGCGATCGAGGAAACAATCTCCGACTGAGCTAATGACACAGCGGCGTGTTTGTATGTAAACAGCCCCCGACTGTATAACCAAGTATCTCATCCATGTGTGGCTACAGTGGTTCAGAAGTGATTGATCCATCCCAGATTGTTTTGGAAATAATGATAGAATATCTTAGATATTGAATATATTCCGAAATGTCTTGGGTGTTAAGATCAAGATTTTAAAAGATATACCATACAAATTGTTGATCTAATTACTGCTTTTGGGTATCTAGAGCCATTTCATAAAGACAAATAGTAAGATACCAAACCGGCATTCTCCCCTGGACATCTTTATTAACCTTTGTTAGATGGAACTCTCTCGTAGGCTGTCACTTTTTGCATTTTTTGTATCTATACCACTGATTGTATACCACTGTAAACACTGCTGGCAGCACACAATCTCAGCGAGATTTACCTAAACGCCAGACAATACCGTGTCGTGTGCGCCAACGGCAATCGATCGCTGGTTGGGTATGCTCCCGGCCGGTTCCATTCAGTTCTGTGTGGGTTGTCTTCTTGTACAAATCGGTTTAAGCGGCTGTGCGCATCGGCCCCTTAGCAAATTTCGCGATCGTTTCGAGCGACGGTGTTTGATCGGTGATCTTCAAGGATCTGTGGCGATCGGTACAAGTGGTTAATCTGTAAGAGTCAAACTGCTATTCAGAATCAAGCAATGTTACTACACGAAAGTGCCGCCAGCATGGAACAGAGTATGCCCGAGAATCTCAGCACTCATGTTTACGGCGAATGTGAAGTGAAGTTGCCTTCGCCAGGCACTCACGATCCCGTGGATAGTGATCGTGATCGGTCGCCTAAGGAGTCCATCCATAGTCCTGAGACAAGTATCTCCAGTCCAACGCCTCCCACCGCCACTAGCACCACCAAAGTGAAACTCAGTTTCAGTGTCGATCGATTGCTGAGCTCTGAGCCAAGCGAATCGCTGACAAACTCTTCATCCTCTTCCTCGAGGTCCTGCTGCGATGGCAGTGTTTTCTCCTGCTGCACATTTCCACACTGTTTCAGTCAAGCGAGTGCAGAGGCTTCCAAGATGGGGCATGTTGCTGTTCCACAAACGACGAGTCATCATTATCCCTATGCGGGATTGGATAAGCTATACCCTAACCTTTATATGGATTACAAATCTGTGCTGAGGCCAACGCCCATTCGAGCTAATGAACATGGTAAGCAGGTTTTTGAAACGGGGATTATAATATGAGAACGATTGTCCCGATCTAAAGCTGAATTGTTCAGAGTTATAGCCGGAGTTAGCCATAGCCAGAGTACTGCATCAGGACGACTTTTAATAGATCTCAAGACCTCTTGTATTATAAGCGTTTTTTCATTTTCCTACCACGGTAAGGAGCTCTATGCTTAGAAATCTAGTTTGAAATCGATCATTAGTTGTACTCAACTTTAAAGCGGCCTAACCCCTTGCTACATTTCATTGATGGATCCTTAAATCCTTAAAAAGCTGAGAAGCTGAAACGACTGTTTAAATGATACTTCCAATCGATGAACAACTAAATTGATCTCTTGAAAAGTATTTCGCTAAAAAATTTACCTCAATAAATTCGATTTTTCACGAAAAGTCACGAATGATCAAAGCTAATCATTCGAACATATCCAATCATATTTCCCGATATGCCAATCACTCGGCATTCCATTCTCGGCAATCTTCAGGATATCATAGAAACATTCAAAAGATCAGATGAGGAAGTTTCCCATTTGCCAATCAAAAGATCTTCAGCTCATTACGCGTACGAGTCCGAGTCCGAGTATACACTGCAATTACCAATGGAATGGCATTACAAAGGAAATCCAAAAGAGAAAACGTAGAAAATGTAAATTCCAGGAAAAGCAACAGGGAAAAAACTTGAAACACCAAGAAACGAAACGGAACGCTGGGCTGGGCCATAAATCGTTTGTTTTTATTGGAATTATTAGTTGATCTGTGGCCATATTGTGCAATATTGCTGGGCCAACTGTTCGGGCTCTTGACGAAAACAATTCGTTTGTTGAAATCCAGCGAAGAACCGGAGAATATCTCGATATATTTCGAGTATTTACGTTACTTCCTGCTGGGGCGTGTATACGGGTACTATCTGGGGACGACGACTTCTCATGGACTGCCTGCCAGGCCATGCACTTTGATCTTGTTTATATGAAAAATAGTGGAAATATACGACGAGTATTTTGTATATTGAACCAAGGGATTTCAAATAGAAATTGTTCATTGTTAGAACAAGCTGCAACCATTTTACACATTTTGTTGGGTTGGGTTCAGTTCTGCCTCAATTTGTTTTATATACAATACTTATCAAGTGGGTGCTAAAGAGCTGAGGACTTTCAATCGATGGGAAACAAAGCTGGGGGCTGCTGAAGGCAGGAAGCATGCCAACATATTGTCGAAGATTGTGAAAGGAAGCCAGCCCATGAGTTGTTTGTATTATAATTTTTATTGAAAACTGCTATATGGTGAGAGAAGAGTATCTTCAGATATGCTCATGGATTCCTTGCACTATATTTTCCGACCCTTTGTCTCACCTCATGCTACATTTAGCCATGATATCATTTTATTTGTATAATTTCTCATTGTACCTTGGAGAAAAGAAATCTTTTGTATTGAAACAAATTAGCGCCACATCGAAATAAATCGAAATCTGCCCACTTCAATGGGGAACATTTATGAAAATTATCATCAATATTAAACGATTTTCAAACACATTCCGCGCCAGGTGAAAATGGAAGGGCAATTAGTAAGGAGAATTAAATTCGACATTTCCTCAATCAACAAACGGCTCGGTTCGGTAAAGAAACAAACGATCGTTGAAAGTGTTTCATCAATCCTGCGGCAACATTAAATAAATTAAATTCAAAAGAACAGAACAGTGCCGAAAATTAACAGCAATTTATGAACAAATTAGGAATCAGACTTTAAAAATAAACTTCAAGCTCCCGGCGAAGAGCGTGAAAAGCGATTGAGGATGGGGATGGGTGGAAAATTTGTTTATTTGCTTGAGCAATTGGCCCGTCATTCATGGGCAGATACAGATAGCTATCCATCTAATTGCCTTCTATAATGAATTGTTCCGCTGCCAAAGAGAATGGGAAGGGGACAGGTAGAGAGGTACAGAGGTACAGAGGTTGGAGATGGAGTAAGAAAAGAACTCTGGCCCGTAAGGTAAGGAGTCGAGATGATCCCAGATAGATGGGGCGCCATTGGGCCCAACTACTGTGACTCAACGGGCCAGGCCCGATGCTGCCGTTTAGGCTAATGACAGCCAATGCCCGACTGATTGAATGAGTGAATGACTAACTGAATGATGGCATAACTGAAGCTATGCCATGCGGTATTTTTAGGGGCCAAGCCAGAGGCCAACTATTTACACAGCCACCCACTGTGGTGGAGCTATTGGCCAGGCCCAGGAGGAGGCTACCTGCGGAGTCCAACCTGCTCGCTCCAACTCTTCCTCCCTGCGGATTCATTTCTTGATGGATTGATCGCATCGCATCGCACATCATAAAAACTTTGGGGCCAGGCAAGAGATCTCCTTGGGATATCTTCTCGATTCTTTGACTATTTGTTGCTGTTTGCCTGCCTCGCCTGGTGTTGAGTAGTTTGTTTGATTGTTTTTACTTGGTTTTTGGTGCTGGCGATCGATCGATCGATCGATTCAGCATCGATGCTGTGAGCCGAAAACGTTTGTCTGTTATGGAAATGCTGTCTGAGCGATAATCTGGCGCCGTTTGCCTAATTAATTTACAATTTATATGTTAATCCAATTGCTGGGCTGCATCTTCATGGAGTTTCAGCGATCACTGATCATCAATGGACATGAGAGAGAGAGATAGGGGAATTGATAGTTGTGGTATCAAAGAGATTATGGAAAAGAGTTCCCAGCAGCAGGGGAGGGATTGCTTTTAATGATAGGGATTAACTAGATTTCGATTGCTTTACAGTGTCCAATATATTGAATGATGGAGTGATCTGAATTCGTACGATTGTGAGACGATTATTAATGATATTTTCTGTATGAGATCTATTTTTTTTGGCTGTCACAATATGATATAAATTTCGATCCCTTGGAAATTGCTTATTATCATTACCATAACGAATATTCATCGTCTGATTCTTGATTTACATGCTAAATATAATCAGATCTGTGATCACCATATGAATATGCCAATGATTTTGATCAAAAGATAACTCATTTTTTCACATTTTCAAACGCTTTATACAAGTATACATATATTTACATTGGGAAATATAATTTCCAAGGAAACCTCTCTCGCTTTGGCATTATTATTATAAGGAAAATATATGTAAATTTAAATAGATTTGATGGCTGACACAGCCTCCATTTTATCTTGACCTTGCATTCCTAATTCCTAATACTAATTTACATTGTGAGGGGGACTCATAAAGTAATCACTTAACCTGCTCGGCAGTTGATGGATACTCGCCTGTACATCCCCGTGCACATGGCCCACCAAGGAATGGTATTTTCGGTCAGTGTCGAAAAGTCCATTCGCAGTTTACCCCGAAAAAAGAGAGCAGAGCACAGCACTGACAAACAAAATATTCGCCAAGCCATAAATATGGAATACCCCGGCAAATGGCAGGTCAAATAAATCGGTAGAAATGGAAATGCGGCCCATAAATTCAACACGGCACACAAACAGTGGAGATCCTCCGGGGGCGAATGCATCCGCATCCATGCAGGGAGCAAGTGCCTGGGGGTACTGGACTGATTTAGCATCTCGCCTCGGAATTATCACAACTCATTAAGATATTTACCATGGGTCCGTGGGGAATGGGGCGCCCGATATTTACAAATGTATCTGAAATTCGGCAATTAAAGAGCTTGCGCTGTGCCAAGGCAGCCCCCGAAGGAGAGAGGACAAGGTGTTGAAAATCGATGGGAACTCATTATAACAAACCGCCGACGGGTGACACAAACCAAATGCCAAAAGGCTAATTAACGCAGATGCAGATGCCCATGCAGGCGGCAATACAGCATGCAGATACAATTGTATCTACAAGTGCAGCAGGAGCGCGTTTCCGCTGCAATGTAAATAGCCGCGAACACCACACACCACACGCCTCGAGTGTTTTTCCAGAGTAAATAAAATGGCTCGCCATGAAAACAATTAGACGCATGCCGCGAGAGCACACAAACAAAGCAAAATCCGAGTCCTCTTCCACTAAAGTTTATGAAAAACCCAATAAAAAGATGCATAAACTAGTTTAGGCGCTGCCACAAAAAAAAAGCCCCAAAGGAATGGAATAAGAATCTCATGGATATTTAAAAAACATTTAAACGAACCAAAAAGCATTTCGGTGTGGCGGCCTCCACACACATCTCTCGTGTGCCCCATGTCGTGTTCGATTACCCCAAATAATTCTCGCTCTTCTCGAAAGATAATTGTTGTTCTTCTGAATCTGAATCTCGTTTCGTTTCAGGATAAACAAATTGTTCACCCCGCCTCAATGCCCCAATGATTATTTCCAATTAAGTGAAAATTTTATTATAAACAAACTCATTTAAATATTTTCAACGTGCGTTTTCATTGAACAAAATAATTTACTCAGACAACAATTTGAATTTCATATTTTGCAAGCCAAGCGGCATAATATTATCTTTTGTGCGGTGTGGGGAAAAGTGTTTTTCCTGGATACGGAAATGCGTAAATTTTGGGTTTCAGCTAAAAAATACTAATATATATTGTTTCCCCCGGATATGGTCTATAATTAATGATGGGAGGATGTAGCGTTCGAGTAGGGGCGAGGCTGGGTTTGAAAAATAAATAGAATTGAGTGAAATATGCTATAGAAAATATGGAAGAAAAGTTATGGCAAATAACTGAAGGGAAATGAAGGAATTGAAGTATGAGTTCACTGTAGGATGGGTATTGTAGAGGATATTGCCTTTAGATGATCATCAATAGCCGTAGAGATCTAGCCTTGATCCATCTTATTTCTCTGTCCAGTCCTGGAGAGCTATGGACACTAATCATAGTCTCTTTCCCCTTCTTCCAGCCACCACATATCCCACTCTGGCAACAAACGCTCTTCTGCGCTTCCATCAGCAGCACCACCACCACCAACAGCAACAACAGCCACAGCACCATCAGCCCCACTTTCATCAGCAGAAACCTGCCACCAATACATCTTCAACAGCTGCGGCACTGTTGGCGCCTCTTCATGGCCTCAAATCCCTGCAGTTGACGCAGCAGCAGCGATTTCTGGGCAAGTCACAACAGCAGCTACTGGACAACATTCCCACATCGCAGGCGGGTGGCACATTACAAAATGGCAGCCAAAATGGGGGCGGCAACAGCAACAGTGGCAACAACAGCAATGGGAAACGGAAACGCTCCTGGTCACGGGCTGTCTTTACGAATCTCCAGCGAAAGGGACTGGAAATACAGTTCCAGCAACAGAAGTACATCACAAAGCCAGATCGACGCAAGCTGGCGGCACGCTTGAATCTGACAGATGCGCAGGTGGGTTCAAAGATAGCGAAACTGAAAGAGATCGTATATTAATATATATGCCCTGGATAGGTCAAAGTATGGTTCCAGAATCGCCGCATGAAATGGCGGCATACACGAGAGAATCTAAAAAGTGGTCAGGAGAAGCAGCCTCATCCGCAGCCCCCGAATGCGGCTGCCTCAAAGCCATCTACCATCACAGGTACAGGCAATCATCCGCAGGAGCATATCGAGTATAGCTCCGATAGCTGCTCCAGTGTGGAGCTCAGCGAACAGGGCGACGATGATATAGAAATCGATGTCGTGGAATAGCTCCTAATTCTACATTCATATGTATGTACATGCATGTAGCATGTCGCCAGCTTCTTACTTGTGTAAAATACTATGTCAAGTAAACGTAGTTCTTGATTTTTGAAAATTAAGCCATGTAGAAATATATAAAAATGTGAATTTAAATTATTAAAAAATATAATTTATTTTAAATTAATTAATTTATGATATTTAAAATATTTATATAATGTTTAACTATGAAATAAATGTTAAAGTGCTTTAAAGTACAGACGCACAGCTAGAATTGCTTGGGTAAATATGGGGATCTATCTGTTTATTTATTTGAATAGAGCGACAAGACAAAAGTTTTACCCTCTCATCATAATCCAATGATAATACGAGAATAATACGCAATGCCATATGCCACACACAAGACAACAGCAACAGCTACAAAAACAGAAAATTTAATTAAGGGAATACCGCTGCGATCAGCAGAATATGAGACGGGGCGACACACGATGAGACCTCTAATCAAGAGAACGATAAAACCGATACGAACTGAATGAAAGCCCCGCGATCGGCAGTTGGTCAAGCGCGGGGCGAGGGCACAGAGATGGGGAGAGGAGCGTGTCTCGGAGAGCAGTAATTAGACAAACAGTGAGAGTAAATTGTGGATGCACGACATTGAAATATTACTCATACTCAAAGTTTATGGTTTTTATGATTCACTTCAAGAGAGTAGTGCGATTCGGAGGTGGAGTTTGTCGATCTCATTAAGTTCTCAATATATCTATTTATACGATGAAGGGAGGATAGTTGGTCCGTTAATATAATTGGTGATACTAAAACTTTCCTGGTTTTCTAAGTTAGTCATTTAGAACAAGAAAGAATCCTTAATCTTACAAGGACTCCAAAGCGTAACATTCAGGGCTTCAGATTCGAAAAGTATATTCTTAAGCGAAGTAATGTATATAAAGTAGTATAAAAAGAACATTCACTCATCGGTTTAAGTAAGGAGGGTACTTCCATTCAGTTTTTTTCTCATATGATATGCTGTGGCTTCGCTCACGTTCAGTTCTCTGACGCAAAGCGCAGCGAGCGGTTGAATTTCAGCTTGTGCTTTGAGTCTTGTGGCCATGTGACGGCTTAATTAAACAATTTAAATAGAATTTTTATATCATACGGGGTATTACAAAAGCCACAACATGGGCAATGTGCAGCCACGTCCATTTGAGACTCGGAATGTGGCAAGCCGGCGCAGTAGTAAGTGACACAATCAACGGCACCCCTTTCGGAACTTTATGATCTTCTGAAACTCTTTAAAAGGCATCCTTTGGAACTTTCGGTACTCGAATGCAGCACGCCGGCGAGAGGATCTCGCAGTGATAGTCCACAACTCCAGGATGAGCATAGTCGAGTGGTTGGATCTCTTGGAGCTGCAGCAGTACGAAGGTTTGGCTGTCTCTGACCTGCCCCAAACACCATTTTCATTGATCCTTGCTCTTCAGGTAACTTGCAGGCCTACAGCACTGTGGAAGATGTCGTGGACATCACGGATAAGGAGCTGAAACGCTGCGGCATTCGCAGTGCCCATCGCCAGATGATGATCAACAGTCTGTTGGGTGTGCGGGCCAAACGACGGCAATCCATGAACTTGGAGGGTAAGTCCCCATAATAGTTCTTTAAAGACAGATGATATTATAGCTATGCGCCTTTTCTTTCCAAAAGCAAGCAGTGCGCCTCGCCCAGTGCTGCGCCGTAAGAATTCCTGTCCATTGGTTTATCTGGAGGAGAGTTCCATCGATATCTCAGGAAGTGGCGATAGCGGACGGGGCCTGATTATCACCAAAAGTGGCAAGGTTCTCAAGCAACTGACTTTTGATGACACAAATACTATGTGAGTGAGGGGAAATATGGTTTATATATATATAAAATACCTAAATTTGGCTAGCTTATCTACCTTCTTTAATGCGCTTCCAAAACAAATATCCTCGATGCATTTCAAACTCAAATATCTTCCACAAAATGATGCGTTATCCCACTCGTACCATCCACCCTGCCCTGCTGAACCCGCATTTCCCCTTTTTGCGAGAGGAGACCGCTGTGAATCCACGCGTATATTTCAATAACAAAAACTCTGCGCATGCTCCAAGAATTTCCCATATAAAAAAGACCAAACTTTCTTGAAGCGGCAAACTCCTGTCTTAAAACAAAACCCAAAACAAACCGAAACAACCCTCGCAAGGACATCCGAGTCCGAACCCGAACCCGACCCGTGTGCGAGAAGGGGAGGACACATGGCCGTAACATTTTCAGAGCAAATTCAAACGGCGCAGAGTTCGGACGATTACGACGGTTAAGAGATACGCGAAAATATAGAAATAAGTGTTTTTTTGTTGGGCAGATGATGAGTCTGTGATGAAAAGTTTCGGACATTCTTGAATGGTTGAAAAGTCCTTAAAAGTTCTAAACTTTTAGAAAACGTCTGCATTACAGCAGAACAAATAGTTTGGGGCGTGTCCCATTCCAACATTTGATTTGATTAGAAAGCTTTATAGCAAAATGGGCGTAGCAGGTGAGTGATAAGAAATAAAGTGGTAGATATTTGAAAAATGAAAAGCAGTTCCGATCAAAAATGCAGATTTCGTATGGATAACTCAGGAAAATAAGTAGAAAAGCCACCGGCGTACAACAGTTTTACTACAATTCGATTTGTATTTTTTTTGCACTTGAACTTCAGACAAAAAGTTGTACATATACCAAGGACCAAAAAATCCTTGTGCGAGCAAATTTCCCTTGAGTGCCGCACATGGGGGGAATGGCCGTTGGCAGTCAGAAATTACCCAAAATAAGGGAAATTCACTCGCTCTCTCACACACTCCTGCATTTTCAGCTACGAGGAACTGAGACCGCGCTCCAAGTGCAACAGTCCGCATTGGTCCGCCGCCAACATTGACAGCGAGATGGAGCACAATAGTGGCAGCAATGCCTCCACACCGATTGCCGTCAACTCGCCGAACCCCAATGAGCAACAGGAGGCCATAGCCCTGAAGAAGGCCCTCGAGTGGGAGCTGAGCTTGGATGCCAGGGAGCTGCGATCCCATGCGTGGTACCACGGTCCGCTACCCCGACAAAGGGCCGAGGAGATTGTCCAACGCGAGGGCGACTTTCTGGTTAGGGACTGTGCCTCCCAGCCGGATAACTATGTCCTCAGTTGTCGCAGCAAACTGGCGGTGCTACACTTTGTGCTAAATAAGGTGGGTTCTAAGAAATTCACGAAAATATCCCTCTAACTCTGTTCCTAACTGTTTCAGTTGGTCCTTCAACCAGAGACCGTGTACGAGCGTGTTCAGTATCAATTTGAGGAGGATGCCTTTGACACGGTACCCGATCTAATCACCTTCTATGTGGGCTCTGGCAAACCTATCTCCGCCGCCTCAGGAGCTCTCATTCAGTATCCTTGCAACAGGAGGTATCCACTCTCCTTCTATGGCCACAAGATTGTGGGTAATCAACTGCACAGCCAAATGCTAGCCGGTCTACGGGGATTGAGTCCTCTGAACTCCCCAATGGGCAGCAATGGAACAGGACTGGGAAATGGTGGTTCTGCAGTCTTTCGCTTTGATCCCCAGCAACAGCAGCAGCACCAGCAGCAGTCAGTGCCACAGCAACAGCAGCAGCAGCAGCAGTCGGTACCACAGCAACATCAACAGCAACAGCAACAGCAAACAGTGGCGTCTCCGGGTAGTCCACACTGCTCGCCACCACGAGCACGACGCGAAGTTCCTCCGCCACCGCGGCTGCCCTGCAAGAAGCAGCAGCGCTCCCAGAGCCTGACTCCCGCACAGGCCATGGTCGTGAGCAACATCAACAAGCTGCAGGAGCAGCACCAGCAACAGCTGCAGCTCCAGGAGGCTGCCAATGGCAACAGCAATGGAAATGGAAATGCAAATGGAAATGGCAATGGGATGGCCCGATTCCAGACTATAGCCAGATGCAATCCCACCAGCGATCTGCAGCAGCATTTGGAGAACAAATTTACCACCCACTCGCTGCCAAGGCCGAGTACTTCAGCAGCCCAGGCACTGCGTCAGCAGGCAGCGGCTAGGATGTCGAGTTTGGCCAGAAACTGCAGCCTGGACACACCGTCGGATTCCAGTCGGCCACCCAGTCCGCCGCCCAAGCCGCGCAAGGAACCCATGGCCGCAGTGTTAGCATACCAGGCAAGTGGCTCCGATTCGGGCAATGGATCGGGCGACTCTGCTCTGGGGGATGGCAGCGAGGTGAGCATACAGCGTGGAGTGATCATCAAGAATCCAAGATTCATGAGCAACTCCGTGTCCAATGGAACGCTGAAGAGCTTCACCGAATTCGATGCTATGGCGGCAGAGGAGAATCTCTTCACATTGGCCATTGAGGAGGTGCGAGTGGTGAGTGCTTTATTTAGCTAATCCCACAAAAAGTAATCCTCATGCAATCCTCCTCTTTCAGGGAAGCAAATTTGACTTTGAGAACTTCAGTACACTGCTGCTGCCGTCAGTCGAGAACAAACCGCTGGATGGGGATGCCCTGAACACCTTCAAGATGATGCTCTTGGAAACGGGTCCCAAGCTGCTGGCGGAGCACATAACCCGCATTGATATCGGTCTGTTTCTGGAGGAACCCGACGATGAGGTGGATTACTTTTTGAGCTGTTCGGGACTGGAGCTGCTGACACTGCCGCATGGCAAGCTCTTCAGGGAGGATATCATTGAGCGGACGCAGTGCATCAAGTTGATGGTGGCCGTGACCATTCTCACCTGCCAGACAGATCTGGATCGGGCACAGCTGCTCAGCAAGTGGATACAGATTGCAGTGGAGACGAAGACGGCATTGGGGAACCTATTTGGATTCTGTGCCATTATGTTGGGACTAAGCATGCCACAGGTGGGTCCTCTAGAGATTATAAAATAGAAGCGTGTCCAACGATAAACACTTGTACTTCTTTTGTAGATCCAAAAACTCGATCAGGCCTGGCACATTCTACGGCAAAAATACACGGACAGCGCCTTTACCTTTGAGGCCAAGCTGCGCCCCACTTTGAGCAGCATGAACGAGGCCTCCAATCCGCAGGCCCCAAACACCACAGTTCCCCATGTCCTGCTCTATGCTCTGCTCATCGATCGTCCGGTTATGGACATCATCAACCATTCGAATATGGACGATCGTCCGGCTCTATATCACACCTGCATTGCTCCCTGGGAATCGAAGGCGGATGACTTTGGCATGTCCATCAATTTCCAACATTTGGATGCCTCGCGTGGCTTCCTCAAGAGCCTGGATCTGTACCGGAAGAATGCCAAAATGATGCTCGAAGATGCCAGCACTAGGCTGGATGAGCTCTTATCGGATGCTTTTCGGTGGGTTCTACATACATCTTCTATAAGGTTTTCTCTAACTTTCGATATTTCAGAACTGAATTCCATGTGAAATTCCTTTGGGGAAGTTGTGGGGCCACGGCCAAGCCCGAGGATCGTCATGGAAAGCTGGAAAAGGTGCTAACACTAATGGCCGACAAGTTCTGCATGATGGCCGAGAAGTAAAATAAAATTAAACAACGCAACGATATGATATGGACTCTAGTTTCTAGTTGATAATACAATTACTTACTATAATCAAAAGATCGTCATCCCACACTTCCAGCTCTACAGCTCTTTATCATACAATACACCTATCTATCGATCTATCTATCGATCAATCAATCAATCTACTATCTATCTATCTCCAATTGACTCCAGACCCTCCGCAAATTTGAATTTCGTGCTGTCTCTACCTCAGCCCTGGGTATATCTGTATTTATAATTTTAGCAGAAACACACAGAAGCACTTTATGTTACAGTTCAAATATTTATTAATCCTTAGTTAAGCCAAAAAACTCTAGATATACGACGACGGGAAGAGAGGGTGGAATCAAAATAGAAACCTACTATATACGATATTTATTAGCAACTCTCTCCAAGAGGGCAAAAATCTTCTACTCTGAACACACTACCAAAGTCTAGTACTTACTTTATATTCAACTAAATAACTTAATAAACTATAAAGCGGACAATATACATTAATCAAAGCCATCATGTATACACTCTCACACACACATAACAACGGTATATATGTAGGCATATACCCCCCCCACTAAGAATGCATAGCTTTTGCAAATTTTGATAAGTGATAGTGCAGGAAATATAATGGAAATACAGAAAAATATTATAAAACTCTCAAGCGAATAATCAGTATCGGTTGTCGGAGTGCCTTGAACTTAATTTTTCAGCATGGAGTTGTTTGGCAATGGAATGAAAGAATATAATGTTACACTTTAAAAAAGATTTGAAACGGAATCGATTATGGAACTTTTAATTCGAGCTCGTATTGAATTGGAGATATGATCTACTATATAAGAAAACTGTTTGAAGATATAGTTCCATAAACTTATAATCGTTTTGGACAGGGGAACGAGGGGGAACGTTGTGAGTTGCTGCGGACACCGCAACTCTACAGTTATACCCGATACTAAGTCAGTATGGCTCTCCTCCGGCAGACGCCGCGAATATTAAACGACACGACAAAGAGTGCGTGCGAGAGAGACAGAAAATCAGTCTGAGCGTGACGTCGGTCGCTGCGTAGCCACTGAAAATTGATTTGTTCCTTTTGGCTATAAAAATGATCTGATCTGATTCAGCAATCTATGGTCATTATCTATGATTCTGCTTTGTGGGGGCGGTATGTAGCAGTGACATATCACAGAAGTCTGGATCCAAAACATCGTTGCTCTAGCTCCTATAGTCTTTGCGCATTAGGCGCTGAAGGGGACGGACAGACGGACGGACGGACAGACGGACAGACAGACATGGCTCAATCGACTCGGCTATTGATGCTGATCAAGAATATATATACTTTATGGGGTCGGAAACGATTCCTTCTGGACGTTACACACATCCACTTTTACCACAAATCTAATATACCCCAATACTCATTTTGAGTATCGGGTATAAACAATTTTCCTTAAGTATTATAGCTCTTTCCCAAACGATAGGTAAAACCAAACTAATCAAACTTTTTACAATCAGTAAAATATTCCATTGAAAACAATTTCGATTAGCCAGATTCCAACACGAAAAACAATTTAGATTATTTTTGTAGCATTAACCAGATTCGATAGGATACTTTTATAGATCTCACACACTTGAGAAAAACCACTTCAACGTTAGAGGCTATTACTACGAGGAAACTTAAATTACGATTACTCGAAAATGTGCAGCTTTATCAGAGCGTTTTTTTCTCAAGTGGCGAACCAACAGCTTTATCAATCCATATGTGGAGGGTGCGGTGTGTCCAAAGTACCATACGGCCATGCAAAACCCCATTAGCGCCGACCACATCGCTTGACATTGTGCCCTGGTCGGAGCTGGAGACCGGTCGTTGATTTCTCAGTGGAACAAAGAGAGGGAACTTCGTGAGCTTTAAGTTTGCTCTGATCTAGGCTTTATTGAACTTAAAAGTTTCGTGTTTTTTTTGGGAGACCGGTGTGAGCATGAGTTGTCGTTGCACTCGAAAGCTGACGATGGCCATGAGCGGCTGTGTGATTATTTTGGTGATCGCCCTCACCGTCGGTCTTTGTGTGGGCCTTGGCGGCAGCGAGAGCGAGGGAGTCCGCGAGGTAAGAAATCGCACAGACAATAGCTGGCTGGACTGGGTTCGAGTTTCACCCATTGCTCAACTACTACTTTGCATTTGATATTTTGGTCAGGATCCGCCCAAATTCACAATCGACCATGAGTCCAACAGCTTTGTGCTGAATGGCGAACCATTCCGATATGTCGCTGGATCGTTCCATTACTTCCGGGCGGTGCCCGAGGCCTGGAGGAGTCGATTGCGGACTATGAGAGCATCTGGTCTGAATGCAGTGGATACGTAAGTAATCTTTGATTTCTACGAAAACATTATACACAAGTGGATTAAGTAGTTGATTATAAACATTTTAAGCTGAACTTTCAGTATACAAATGTGTAGAAAATTGTTTCAAAAGGTTTTCCCTTTGTTTTGGGCACAGAGAAGCCTACGTAAAATCAGCCGAAAGTGTGGTAGTTTTACTATTTATTATAATGGAAATACGTGCTTGTTAAATGGTAAACCCTTTCGCTACATCTCGGGATCGTTTCAATATTTCCGTGCTGTTCGGGGGCCTGGCGGAGTCGAGTGCGGACCATGCGAGCGGCGGGTCTTAACGCATTAGATATGTTAGTACTTGCAACTATTTCACAATGTGCTTATAGATAAGGTCAAATGAAGGGTTCTTTGATTATAAAACTCTACATTTCTCCATCCCCTAGCTATGTGGAATGGTCGCTCCACAATCCCCACGATGGGGTCTATAACTGGGAAGGCATTGCCGATGTTGTGAAATTTCTAGAGATTGCCCAAGAGGAAGACTTTTACATAATACTGCGTCCTGGTCCCTATATCTGTGCAGAGCGCGATAATGTTAGTACATCTCCGGGATCGCTTCATCTAAACACAGTAATTAGTTCATTGATAATGCTATTTTTAGGGTGGCCTTCCCCACTGGCTATTTAAGAAATATCCCAGCATCAAAATGAGAACTAGTGATAGCAATTACATGGCCGAAGTCGGTAAATGGTATGCAGAATTGATGCCACGCCTGCAGCACTTGCTGATCGGCAACGGTGGCAAGATCATTATGGTGCAGGTTGAGAACGAGTACGGCGACTACGAATGCGATAAGGACTACCTGAATTGGCTGCGTGACGAGACGGAGAAGTATGTGAATCGGAATGCCCTGCTCTTCACAACGGACATACCCAACGAACGCATGAGCTGCGGCAAGATCGATAATGTTTTTGCCACCACGGACTTTGGCATTGATCGAAGTAAGCTCCCTCTTTAAAATGGTTTATCCCTGGTGATCCCCACTCTACTTTCTTCGCAAACAGTTCACGAGATTGACGACATCTGGACAATGCTTCGTAAACTGCAGCCCACGGGACCACTGGTCAATTCGGAGTTCTATCCAGGATGGTTGACCCACTGGCAGGAGATGAATCAGCGACGCGATGGTCAAGTGGTGGCCGATGCCTTGAAGTGGGTGATAGTGCTTTTCTTATGGATGTTGATCCAACTAATTTCTGATCCTTTTAGGACCATTCTGAGCTACAATGCCAGCGTCAATCTGTACATGTTCTTTGGCGGCACCAACTTCGGATTCACTGCCGGAGCTAACTACAATCTCGATGGAGGTATTGGCTATGCTGCAGACATCACCAGCTATGACTACGATGCTGTGATGGACGAGGCTGGCGGCGTGACTAGCAAATACAACCTGGTTAAGCAGGTGATTGGTGAATTTCTGCCACTGCCCGAGATCACGCTCAATCCCGCCAAGCGTTTGGCCTACGGCAAGGTGGAAGTGACGCCCTCGCTGGCCCTTCTCTCTGCAGAAGGACGATCTGCCCTGGCCAAGGGCGACCCTGTGGAGTCAACAAAACCAAAATCCTTTGAGGAACTCGATCTGTACTCCGGTCTGGTGCTGTACGAGACAGAGCTGCCCAGCATTGACCTCGATCCGGCTCTCCTGAAGGTGGACCAGATCAACGATCGTGCCCATGTCTTTGTGGATCAAGAGCTGGTAGGAACACTGTCCAGGGACGCGCAAATATATTCCCTGCCATTGAGCAAAGGATGGGGCAGCACGCTCCAGCTACTGGTGGAGAATCAGGGACGCGTCAACTTCTACATCTCCAACGACACAAAGGGTATTTTCGGTGAAGTGAGTCTCCAGCTGCACAATGGCGGCTATCTCCCGCTAGAGAACTGGAAGAGCACTGCATTTCCCCTCGAAGAGGTGACCGTAGAGGCCTGGCGGAAGAAAAGCGGAGAACGAGCACTGGATGCATTCTTGGCCAGGCAACGAATCCTGCGTAATGGACCCATCCTCTATACGGGCAGCCTCATGGTGGAGGAGGTCGGAGACACCTACCTAAACATGGCTGGCTGGGGCAAGGGCGTGGCCTATGTGAATGGCTTCAATCTGGGCCGGTACTGGCCCGTGGCGGGTCCCCAGGTCACACTCTACGTACCCAACGAGATCCTCAAGGTGGGAAACAACTCTTTGGTGATTCTGGAGTATCAGCGGACGAACAAGACCGCAAATGGTGAGGATCTACCCGCTGTGCAATTTGATGCGGTTGCTCAATTGGATGGACAGTCGGGAGATGTGCCTCTCAAGTGACGTTCCCTTAAAGGATAGATCCTATTATAATTATATTACTGATAGATATAGGTACTGCAGTTGAATAAATGGTTTTATGAAACTTAGAACATTCGATATCGCATTTTTATCATAATTTAGGAAAGAAAAATAACCAAAAAGCAGGTTATAATATGATATTATGTCACTAAAAGACAGGTAGATCTTTGTCCAATTTCCGTTAAGAAAGTACGTATTTACTATTAAAAAAAAACTCCTTTTTGAAGCGCATTTTTGATTGATCTTTTGCATCAACAACCTTTGTTAAGCTTTTTATATATATTTGCTAATTTGTTCTTATTTTAAATTTATAATTGATAAATTCTATATTTAAATAAATTGTTTTGTTAATGAGCTTGACTGACTTGCATTTTATTTTTCAGCTCGTTTTCAATTGACTTTTTCCTTTACCATTATTATCCTATTTTAATTGTAATATTTTTCGTTTTTTTGTATACTTTGATACTTTGTTCGCTTAAATTTTGATAGATTCCTAATTGTTAATGGGATTTATCATTGGCAAACGGAGATTAAGAGTTCTCTATGCAATTTAAGCATTAAATCAATTAATGTCTTTGTGCTTTCTTTTAAGAGAACTCTTTAGATAATTGGGAGATTCTAAGAGGAAGAAGATCCATTCTGAATGTGGCTTGAAAATACGATTGAGATTCAATATCGAGTAAAGCAAAAAGGCTGGTTTCTAGGGCAGTGACTTGAGGGTTTCCATTTTTAATAAAATATTTGATCAAATACCCTATAGCTTTAATACTGATCTGTGTAATACGTCGGACAAATCAGTAATGGACCTTCAGAGGGTAAATAATACAGTTGTTTCTGTTGTTGTTCAGGGCAGTGTTCAGGACATACTTATGTAGGATAAAGCCTTGGCTAAATGAGCTCCTATCTAATGGAAATATAGTTCGGAATCAGGATCATTGAAGAACACAACTCGTGTAGTGATTTTTCATTCAAGGTACAAGAACGAATACTTTTTGTGCTCTTTTTTAGAGTCTTAGAGTACAAAAGTTAGGAGTGCGCTTCATCATAAATAAACCACAAACTGATCTCAAGACAATTTACGAGAGTAGTTTAACATCAAGTTTCAGTTTGCGCTTCTTGCAAAAATATACATATAGCTTACTTTTTGTTATAGTTTTTTTCTGTTTCTTTTAGTTTAAGCTCTTTTTGAAATGAGAAAAGCAAGCTACATGGTATGTGTGTTATTCTTTCTTTTGTAATATTTCTATCTGTGCGTATTCTTTTACAAAAATAATTATTATAGTGTTGCATTCATAATAGATATTTTTGTTGTTTGTGCTAGGTTGTAGCGTTTCTTCAGTTTAGGAATGTGTTTCGTTTTGTTTTAACTTTTTGTTGGTTGGAAAATTGTTGCATATAATTTCTGTTGTGTTTTTCTCTCTCTATACATTCATTAAAAATATATCACAGCTGCATTTCGAGTAAAAATATCCTCCTCCTCGTTTACTTTAATTTGTAAAAATGTATAGAAAATGTCTTTAAAATGTTTTGCATTGATTTTACTTTTGTTTTTTTTTTTTGTTTCTCCATTTAGTTTGATTTTGGGCAAAGAGAAAGCCGACTTAAAAACAGCAAAAATTTGGCAACCTAGTTAATGTTGTTTGTTAGTAGTGTTGGGTAAACATTGCTCATTTTGGTGAAAATGTTCACTTGATCTTTTTTAGTAAGTGAGTCAACTAACTCATATTGCTCACATGCTCACTCGCGCACTTAGATTGCTCAGTTGCACACTTGTTCTCTTGTTCACTGTTCATGCACCCTTAGCACCAGAGATTTTGGCACAAATAAAATACGTTACATTTCAATTTGAATCAAACATTTATAACTAAAAAAAAATCCAGTGATTCCAAATTGCACTATACTTTCGAAGTATCGAATATTCGAATTAGGGATATACTGAATTTTCAAAAGATTGAACAGTTTGCCGGTAATACAAAAAATGTGAAATAAAAGCAAATATGAGCAACAACTGTCATAACGCAAAATGCCCTTTGAGGAGCAGAGAACAAGTGAGCAAAAATGAACAAGTGAGCAAGAGTTTTGAAGGAACATGTTCAGTTGCTCACTTAAGCGAACAACTCTTCTTTGTTCCCTCACTCGTGAGCAACACAACACTATTCGTTAGATCATGTCCCACACACGAAGACGGAATGCGTTTGCGTTTTAGTTAGACACATACATAGCTAGCTATAGGTATACTCGTGTATACGAGTACAGACACATATGGGTAGATAGTATAAGGTATTTATAGTATAGTTAACTAACCGAAGCGTAGATGAGTATTTGTAGTGTTTTTCTGCCTTGTATTAGATGTACTCCTCGTATTCCTCCTCCTTTCTTTTTTTCTCTAAAGCAGACCTCTCAAATAACGGTTGACACTTTCGAAGAAGAAAGAAAAGGTCCGATCAAATCAGTTTCTGCTCAGCTGTGTTCTGCTCAGTGAGAAACCGTTTGGCCGAGTTTTTTTTTCTGTTTCGTCAGTGACCACACAGCAAAGGGAAAAAGTGTTGACCGTTGTTTGCGAGCTATGCTCTAAAGTGCTGTGGGGGCAGCGAGGGCCATTTGTCAGTGCCATTTCGATTTTTGGGTATAAATGTCGGCACGCAAGTTCTGAGCAAAACAAATACCCAAGATCTGAAAAGGAAACTTCATATTAATAAATTTTCAATGGAAGAAATCAAAGCAAAAAACAAACGAGCAAAAGCGTAAGTAAATTCAAATTAAAACCTGGAAAAACATGACCGCAATGACAGCCGTGGAAATGATAATCAAATTATGCTCCATCCATTCTTCACCAGCCTGAACGCAGCCCTTTTCATATATTATTTTGGACAGCTCCATGCCCTGGCAAAGAATTAAATGGAAATCAAATAAATTATGGAACACAATAGAGAATATAAGGTAGATCATAAATAAAATCAACTAATGCAAAGAATATTTTCACTAGGTGTTCTAATCTCTCAGCACCTGCAGCATCAGCAGACCAACGCAGGCCGCTGCCACACTTATAAGATGTGCCTCCAACCAATCCTCGCCAGCGCGCAAACAGCCACGCTCATGTATATTCCTATCCACAGGCTGCTTGCACAGATGTATAATTTATGGATGATTATAAAATACATTATCAGTAAACCTAAACGTAAAACCACTTACATATCCCTCCTTTCGCACATCATAGCCACATTGCTTGTTTTTAATAAGCTCTTGGGGCCGACGACGGCAACAGGAGAAGGGCACCCCGCAGGCCTCTCGGCTGCCAATGGCAATGGACGAGCAATTGAAATAGTTGTTGCTGTCCCAGTCCTTGGGCCCATCAATGCCGCAGCACTGCAACCAGTCCTCTTGTATCCAATCGATGAGATTCTGCTGATCGGCGTCTTCACGATAATGCCGTATGAAGGCCTTGAGCCCCTCAGTGGCTTGGTCTTTGATCTGGAATGTGGAAAACGATTAAAATCATTTTATCTTGATTAGAAAAAGGCTTACCCAGCCCTTGTCCTTGAGCACAAATGCCAACGCACAGAACCCAATCTCAGCTATGAGCAAGATACTCAGAAAAATGGCATACTGCGGAGAGAAAATATTTTGAAATTTATGAGCTTCGTGGAAACAATTCGCATACCCACCGCCGCCAAGAGACAAGTATTTTCCCGCAAAGCGCCCACGCTGCCCATGAAGCCGAGAAGGAAGGTAATGCCTCCCAATATAATCAACACAAAGGCCGGATCCAAGGCTATGAAACTCAGCTTTGCAATGTTGCGAAACATGTCTTTCTCGCTCCAAGCCCAGATGCCAACGGCCAACACCATAAGAGCAGCCATCCATATGAAAACATTACTCGTGAAGAGCAGGTATTTGAGGCAGCAGCTTATTTCGCTTGTCTCGCGTCGATATTTGCGCACTGCAGGCATCTTCGGAATGATTTAAACTTGATTTGTACACTAATTTTAATGACTATGACTAAAACAAAAACCAAAAACGCGATTTTCACTTATTTACTGAAAGCTGGAGAACAGTGTGACCGCCGACCTGTCGAGCAAATATACGCTCTGACCCTCAGAAATATACCGAAATATACTGTAAATATGCGGATGGAAAAAACTTACTTAACCCTTCTGCGGACTGAGCACATCCTGGCAGTGAATTTTTAACAGATTTGAAACACCATCAAAACAGCTGATGAGCATTCAATAACAAAGTTTTGGTCTGATATGAGAAATTTCCACAGTCGTAAATTCATAAATTTGCTAATTTTATGACTATAATAGAACATTACATTATGTACAATAAACATTACTCCTTGGACTCCCTTAAAAAAGGCAGCAGATCTGTTTGTTGTTTTTGTGCCACCTTTTTGTCGATTGGACCAATTTTAAATTTTTAATATATCCACGATTAAAGTTTTTTCGATTTCTTCTTATCAGTCATTGGTTACGTTTTCGCAGTGAATTACAGTTTTTGGACATCCAATCCTTTATTCCAATAGTCAGTCCTGTAGGAATTTGATTGATGAATCGGACAAAATTAGGTGTTCAGAGATGAGAGTTCTAGCTACCTAGTAATATTAAATCGAACAGCAAAATCGTGAATTATGATTTCCGATCATGGACTCAGAACGATTAACCCATTGTAAAACATTGCGTATTAAAATACACTCCTGGAAAATATTGAAACTTGATACAATTTTAGTGCAATTAAGGTGAAAGATATCTTGGTAATTTTTGTTGAAACGAAAGAGAAAGGATTGGTCTACAAGAAGAATTTACATTCAGTATTATTTTTAGCGGTTTACCTCAATCTGTTCACCTTTCGAAATTGACAGTGGGTTAAGTTCGCTTTTCCGTCGGTATATTTAAGGTATATTTTGTAAATAAGAAGGTATATTTCTGAGGGACGGACGGTGCCGTCACACTGGACACATGTAGCAGGAGGAAAAAACGCAGAACGCAAGAGGAATTAAAAAAAATAAATACATATTTAGTCAAGTTTGCAAGTGCTGTGCTGTGCTCGGTGGTTTTATGGAACATTCAGCTCTTTTTGCCAAGCGTGCGCGGTTATTGCTACCTATTTATGACGACTGTGAGTTTTTCCCCAGCCTGTGCAAGTGCTTAAGTGTGTGTGCGTGCGTGAGTTTTTGAGATTTACTGATGGCTGAAAATGTTTAATTAGCAACGTAAAGCGAATAAAATGCATACACTAACTTGATACAGTCGATATACATGAAGGAAGTTCATCGAAAAATGTAAGAAAAGTTGATATTATAAGCCCTGTAATGGCCCTTAGGGCGAACAACCCCCCGCATTTAATCAAAGAAAAATGTTTGCATGTGTGTGCTCTTCGTGCTGGCAGCGCAGTTGACGGCCGAAAAATTTGTAGTTAAAAGTGAAAATTCTTCTAATATAACAATGGTACGATTCTGCCAGGTCGCAAAGAACAAAAACAGTTGCGTGGCGGATAGTGTAAAAGTCAAGCGAGCAAAATTATGTGAATCGCGTATCTGGCGCATGAATTACATACATACATACGCTAGCAGCAGCGGCCCGACAGCGCTGTAAAGTGCGTTGCGTCGCTGCCGTGGTCGCCATCATAGCAAAAAAAAGAAAAAAGGAAATGAAATATTGTGATCCCACACGCTTGGAAAAGTTAAGATAATGCCGCTAATTGTGCGGAGAAGATACACAGAATTTGTCTAGTAACTAATGTAAAGTTAGAATTAAACTTTTGAAAAGTACAGTGCTGCATTTACTTTTAAACGAACCCAACTCTTTTTCTTTCCTTCTGCCTCTAATGTGCAATATGGCAGAGCAAATGCGTAAAATCACAACGTCGACGATTGTTGTTACTGTTTTTGGTGTTGGTGTTGGCAACACGGTCTCTTGAGCTGCAATTAATTATTGAGCGAGTGTAAGAGTGCGCCCGTGCGTGCGTGTGTGTGTGTGCCGTGGAAAAAGTAACAAGATTTTTAGAGCTAATTTCGCTAAAAAAGAAAAAAAAATCATACATATTTATGTATAGAGAAAACGCAACGGTGTGTGTATATAATTGTATACCTGTATATATCCACATACGGCTGTCTATGCCTGTGTAAGCTGAGTGCGTGGATGTGTGTGTGTCTGTGAGGCTGAAAATGGAAATTATATAAAAGAAGCTTTCGGCTTAGGCTTTACTTTTGTCTAACCCAACCAATCCACACGATCAATAAACCAGAAAAAACAGACTCCACTTGCGGCCAACTGCTTGTGCGAAACTCTAGAGGTTCTGGCCCAAAAGGCCAGCAATTAATATTCTCCAATATTAATTAAAATAATTTTTAAATAGGGGGAAACCTTCCCCCTCCACCTCGCCCCAACAAAAACAAAACGCATCATGCGACGTCGCTGCCTACGTCGCAGTCGCTGCCAATGTACTTTGCTCACTTGATACACAAAAAACGGTACTCGCCGCTCATCTCTCTAGGAGAGTGTTTGAGGGGGGGGAGAGGCGGCAGGCGAGACGGGTCTTCCTGATCGACTCTACTCCCCCACCCACTTTTACTCCCTTTTTTCGCATGTGCTGCTACTGACGCGGCTGCTGGGTGGTGCGGTGCGGCATGACAAGCGCCCCACATTTGTGTGTGTGCCTCTGTGTTTGTATGTTACAACAACCACCAAAGCAAAGCCAAAGCTCGTTGACGACTCGCGGCGGCTTCCTTTTGTCTAGTAATAAAATGAAATTCAGCAAACTGAAAACCTTAACCGGAACTTGGAAGACAAGCAAGCTGACGTTTTTCAATATGGCTTCATTTCCGTTTTATAATTTCGTCAGAGCCATTTCCAATTTCGCCAAGATTTACTTTCACCTAGCGAAAAGCATACATATATGTATATGTGTATGTATGTACTATATAGTCTGTATATTTATATATGTCCTGACGGGGTGTATGTTTGTTTTTGCAATAATACATTTCATCTACATCCATGTACATTTACATGTAAAGGCATATTGAATTTGTAAGTTTGTCGGTCGCTCTGTTATACATACACACATGCCGCCCCCGTGCCCGTGTCGCGGAGGGGGTGTTATGTTTGTGTTGGGGGGCTGGTGCTGGTGCTCCACTTTTGTATGCAACAAATTCAGTATTTTGCTGCTCAATCGCTGTTGAATGCTCCCCCTCTCCGCCCCTTTTTGCTAATCCCTCGAAGTCTGGCGAGGGATGGAGATAAGTAACAACAAAATGAAGGCTGTCATCGAACGTCAGAGCGACTCGTCTCGTCTCGTCTCACCCTTCCAATTTACCTATCATATTCGTCGATCAGCTAACATTTGACAACACTGGTTCGGATTTTACGACTAACATTAGAGGGAGTAGAGTGGTAATAACGGTGCTATAACGAAAATGCACTTGCCCTGTCGTCCGTAAATATTTGTTTACCTGCCGCTGTCGCTGGCGTGGCGAGGGTTGAGTACATATATGTGCCTATGTAACCGTGACTGTGTGCGTCTATGATGCTTGATGTACATACAGTGGGTCACAGGTCATAATGAAAGATTTTTAGTGACTGCAAATTCGATCAATACAAGGACAAAGGTGCAGTCCAAAAGTGTTTGTTTATTATTCGAAAATACTTACAGTAAATGCCAATTTCAACCACTGTGTGAGTGTGTATCTCTGACAAAAGGTGTGCGAGTGTGTGTGTGTAAAATATAGTTGTAAATGAAAGAAAAAACAGTTGAAAAGACACTGCCACAGAGTTGCCATATCAATCAAACGTTGCGGGAAAGGAAAATGGATGTTCAACCCCAGAACAAAAAATAATAGAAAATAAGATATAACAGCAAAACTAGAGTCCCATCTAAAATCGTTTTAAAGTTAAATCTCAGATATTGAACGAATTCTTTAACTATAACTGTGCTTATTCGTCAACTTGCCTTTTTCAGAGACGAGCGTAATAATTTTACACTGAAATCAGATTAAAGCGATGTCCGCCAAAAGCGAGGCGGACAATACAACGGCCGCCAGCTCCGGCGGCGGTGGCAACAGTAGCAGCAGTGGCGGCGGCGGCGTCGGTGGAACGGGCAACACATCCTCCTCGAATGGAACCGCCACACCGGCTCGTCGTCTTCGCACACGCAACTCCACGGGCAATGGTCCGGCGAGCGGCAGTGAATCCGGCAAGAAATCCAATCCAATCGATGAACCCTCAACTCCAGCTGCTGCTTCTTCGGCCGCCAGTGGCCATGGCCCATCACCGGCTGCGGCATCGGAGCGTCCCATGCCGAGCGTTCCCATGAATCATGCCAGCAGCAGTGTATCGGCGAGCAGGAAGTACCACAACAGTTGTCCCCATCCCACGCCCACAGTGCACAAGAAGACGGTGCACACGCAGCCGCACAGCACCAATAAGTTTGATCAGGGCAAGAACGAGGAGTTCCACTTTGATACGCCGCCCGAGTGCCCCGTGTTTCGGCCCACGGTTGAGGAATTCAAGAATCCGCTGGCCTACATCAGCAAAATTCGTTCGATAGCAGAGAAATGTGGCATTGCCAAGATCCAGCCGCCGTCGACATGGTCGCCACCGTTTGCCGTGGATGTGGACAAGCTGCGTTTTGTGCCGCGTGTCCAGCGGCTGAACGAGCTGGAGGCCAAGACCAGGGTCAAGCTTAATTTCCTGGATCAAATCGCAAAGTTTTGGGAGCTGCAAGGCTCCTCCCTCAAGATCCCGATGGTCGAGCGCAAGGCCCTCGACCTGTACACCCTCCATCGCATTGTCCACGAGGAGGGTGGCATGGAGCAGACCACCAAGGATCGCAAGTGGGCAAAGGTGGCCAATCGTATGCAATATCCATCCAGCAAGAGTGTTGGAGCCACCCTCAAGAGCCACTACGAGCGCATTCTCCATCCCTTCGAAGTGTATACCTCGGGCAAGGTTCTGGGCCCTGCTGCAGCCGCTGCCGCAGCAACAGGCAGCGGCACACCCACTCCCGTGAAGCTCGAAGATGGGGGCACCGAGTACAAGGCCCACGAGATAGCCACCCGTCAGCAGATCGCGCCGCCCAACGAGACGAACACACGCCGCTCCAAGCGTTTTGGCAACTCTACTGCCAGCTGCGGCTTAACAGGCGCCGCATCCGGTGGCAAGGATGGGTGTCCGGGTGGTGTGGTCATCAAAACAGAGACAAAGGAGGATTTCAAACGCGATCTTCTGAGCAGTTTCAATGCCGTGCAAGGCAGTGGCACTCCTGTTGCTGGCGGCACTCCGGCTGGCCGCGGCGGCGCCAAGAAGACCAACAACGAACCAACGCCGGCAGCACCGCCACTCATTGATCCACTGATGAAGTACATTTGCCACATCTGCAATCGCGGAGATGTGGAAGAGTCGATGCTTCTGTGCGATGGCTGCGACGACAGCTACCACACGTTCTGTCTGCTGCCGCCCTTGACCAGCATACCCAAAGGTAAGACAACAACCCCCTACCACTTATTGCAGCGATTACTAATCCCATTTCATTTATCAGGTGAATGGCTTTGTCCGCGCTGTGTCGTTGAGGAGGTGAGCAAGCCCCAGGAGGCCTTTGGCTTTGAGCAGGCCGAAAGGGAGTACACGCTGCAGCAGTTTGGCCAGATGGCGGATCAGTTCAAGCAGGAGTACTTCCGCAAGCCAGTGCATTTGGTGCCCACCGAGTCGGTGGAGCGTGAATTCTGGCGCATTGTCTCCTCGATCGATGAGGATGTGACCGTCGAGTATGGCGCCGATTTGCATACAATGGATCACGGTTCGGGTTTCCCCACCAAGAGCTCGCTGTATTTGTTGCCGGGGGATCAGGAGTATGCCGAGTCCAGCTGGAATCTGAACAATCTGCCGCTGCTCGAGGATTCTATTTTGGGGCACATCAATGCTGATATTAGTGGCATGAATGCCCCCTGGATGTATGTGGGCATGTGCTTTGCCGCCTTCTGCTGGCACAACGAGGACCACTGGAGTTATTCCATCAATTATTTGCACTGGGGCGAGCCGAAGACCTGGTACGGCGTGCCCGGCTCTTGTGCCGAACAATTTGAGGAGACCATGAAGCGGGCAGCCCCCGAGCTGTTCTCCTCCCAGCCCGATCTGCTCCACCAGCTGGTGACGATCATGAACCCGAATATATTGATGAACAACAGGGTGCCGGTCTTTCGCACCGATCAGCATGCCGGCGAGTTTGTCATCACCTTTCCGCGGGCCTATCATGCGGGCTTCAATCAGGGCTATAACTTTGCCGAGGCGGTTAATTTTGCGCCCGCCGATTGGCTAAAGATGGGCCGTGAATGTGTCAATCATTATTCCATGCTGCGTCGCTTCTGTGTCTTCTCCCACGACGAGCTGGTGTGCAAAATGGCCTTGGAGCCGGCCAAACTGACGTTCGGGATAGCCACCGCCTGTTACATCGACATGGCCGAAATGGTGGACACCGAAAAGAAGCTGCGCAAGTCCCTACTGGAGTGGGGCGTAACGCGTGCCGAGCGTCGCGCTTTCGAGCTGGTTAACGATGACGAGCGGCACTGTCAGGAGTGCAACACCACGTGTTTCCTTTCGGCAGTGGCCTGCGAGTGCAACGACAAGCTGATTGTTTGTCTGCGCCACTACACCGTCCTCTGTGGCTGTGCCCCGGAGAAGCATACACTCATCTATCGCTACACCCTCGATGAGATGCCACTGATGCTGCAAAAACTAAAAGTCAAGGCGCACAGCTTTGAGCGTTGGCTGTCGCGTTGCCGGGACATTGTGGATGCGCACACACCCACCTCGGTGACACTCACCGAGCTCCAGGATCTGTGCAAGGAGGCGGAGACCAAAAAGTTTCCATCTTCGTTGCTGATTGATCGCCTGAATGCAGCGGCCATCGAAGCAGAGAAATGCGTCACAGTCATCCAGCAACTGGGCATCAATAAGGTAAGAAATATAGATCCTCTTTCTGCAGATGGACCCTCTCAAACCCTAGGTACTGCTCCTCTGATTCTTCAGGTACGCACTCGGTCGGATCACAACCAGGAAGCAGCCCAATACAAGCTGACTATGGAAGAGCTCGAGCTGTTTGTCCAGGAAATTGATAATCTGTGCTGCATCATCGACGAGGGGACCTCGGTGCGGGAGCTGCTCGTTTTGGGCAAGCAATTTGTGGACCGTGCGGAGGCGCAGCTGCAGCTAACGCTGGAAGCGCTCGAGGAGAACGAACTGGAGACTCTGATCAGTGAGGGCAGCTCCCTGAGGATTGAATTGCAGCAGCTGGATCTCCTCCAGAAGCGTCTGAAACAGTGCAAGTGGTACAAACGCTCGCAGGGATTGAGGGAGACCAGCTCCAAGCTGACGTATCAGGATGTAAAGAACCTCCTGCATATGGCAGCGGCAGATTTGGATCCCACAGATCCCTATGTGGACAAGGAGATGCGCAAGCTGCAGCAGATCGGGGCGGACATAGAATCGTGGGAATCGCAGGCGGCCAAGTACTTCCGCAGATTAACGCAACAGCACGAACTGGCGGAAATTGAGCAGTTCTTAAAGTCCGCTAGCGAGATTAGCGGCCAGGTTCCATCCCACAGTCTGCTGAAGGACGCCCTGCGCAAAGCGAGGGAGTGGCTGCGGGCCGTGGAACAGCTACAGCAGAACAATCATGTCACCTACTGTCACACGCTGGAGAATATGATTGAGCGGGGGCTGAATATACCCATCCAGTTGGAGGAGCTCAGCCGCATGCAGGGCCATCTGTACAGCGCCAATCAGTGGAAGGATAATACTGCGTGCGCATTTCTGAAGAAGGGCACCTTCTATACGTTGCTCGAGGTGCTGATGCCTCGGTCGGATGCCATCAACATTGACTCGGATCTCAAGCCGCGCTTCCAGGTAGAGTCGTCGAAAGTATTCTTTGATTTAGATTGCTTTAAAAAATCCCTGTTACAGGATGACTTTCTGAAGGAGAAGAATCCGGCGGAGATTGTCGACAGTTTCAAGCATGCCGAGGAGCAGGAGCTGCTTGATATGCGCGACCTGCGGCGACAGAACATGACCAAGAACCCCCTGCGGGACATGTTCTGTCTGTGCAAAGCCGAGTTCCGTGGCCTCATGTACAATTGTCAGTTGTGCCGCGATTGGTTCCACGAGGACTGTGTGCCACCGCCACCGTCGGCATCGAGTCAGAACGGCTTGCTGAATGGAGGAGGAGGAGGAGGTGGAGGCGCCGGAATGGTGCCGCCCACGAATCGGCCCAAGTGGCTGTGCCCCAGCTGTGTGCGCTCGAAGCGGCCACGCCTGGAGACCATCCTTCCACTGCTCGTCCAGCTGCAGCAGTTGCCTATCCGTCTGCCAGAGGATGAGGCTTTGCGTTGTTTGGCGGAGCGTGCCATGAACTGGCAGGACAGGGCCCGCAAGGCGCTCAGCAGCCCCGATGTGAGTGCGGCCCAGGAGGCGATCCTTGCTCAACAGCAAAAGCGTCGCTCGGAGGGTGGTGGCATCGGTGGAGGTGTTGTGGGCAACATCAACAGTCCGCGCAAGCCCCGTCGTCGTGGCAGCATGGCCAAGGAGGCCAGCGGGTCCACAGAGTCGGATGCCGATGATGATGACGATGATGACGAGTGCCGTCTACGGATCGTCGAGGACGGCTTTAGTAACGATGAGGATGAGCTGCCCCGCCCTGCAACGAACACCGAATCAAATACCGATCTCCTCAAGCTGCTGTCCGATAGCGAAATTGAGAATCTACTAGATCTAATGATGGAGGGGGATCTCCTCGAGGTCTCACTCGACGAGACGCTCGAGCTGTGGCGCATACTGGAGACCATGCCGCCGACAATGCTGCAAGCGGAAGCCAATAGCCGTGTGGCGCAGTACTTGCAGCGCCAGCGACAGCAACCGACATCTCTGCCGCCCACATCCTCCAGCATTCACTCCGGCGCCGAGGACTCCAACGACAGCCTCCTGGTACAGAACAGTCCCAACAGCAACAGCAATAATAGCAGCACGACGGCAACAAACACTCCCAACAACGGACGCAACAAGAAGAGGCGTTCGAATGATGCCAGCGGCAATGCGGCTGTACCTCGAAAGAAACAGAACACGCCCAAGCAGACGCCCAGCAAGAAGAACGCAGGCGGAGGAGCGGCTGCCAATCGTAAGAGTGACGCCAAGACGACGCCCGCAGCAGCGGCGGCGGCAACGACACCTGGAGCGGATGCCGATGCAGAAAATAAGCAGGCGAATGGCGGCAATACCAACTCAAATATATCGCCCATTGCGGCTGGAGTAGGCAGCGGTTCGACCACACCCACGCCCACAGCCACGCCTGGTTCGGCGCACAAGAAACGTAAGCGCACTTCCACCAATAACAACAGTAGCAACAACAACAACAACAACAATAGCAACAGCAGCAACACCAACAACACCAATAGCAACACCAACAACAACAGCACGAGCACTCCTAGTGGAACACAGGCAACGACACCGACAGCAACCCCAACGGGTGGTGGCGGTGGAGGTGGCGGTCAGAAGAAGCACGCCCAGCGCAACCAACAGGCAGCGCAGGAGGATGACGAGGAGGAATGCAGGGCGGAGAACTGCCACAAGCCGACGGGACGGGAGGTGGACTGGGTGCAGTGCGACGGGGGGTGCAACGAGTGGTTTCACATGTACTGTGTGGGTCTCAATCGCAGCCAGATCAAGGCCGACGACGATTACATTTGTATACGCTGCACGAAGACCGTCACCGTGGCGGTGAGCAGTAGTAGTAGTAGTAATCATGGAATGGGAGCGACAACGACGACGATGGCGACGACGGGCAAGCAGCGGGCAGTGCAATCGGCGCGGTAGAGAGAGGATCATCTAGATGATAGAAAAAGGAAGATATTGGATTTGCAAGCAACAGCCGTTTTGTGTTTTACGCATGATTTAATGAGAAAGAACTAGTACTACTACTACTACTACTACTACAATACACTACACACACCCCATTTACTAAGTTTAGTAAAAGTCACTTGAAATGAGATAGTTTTTGTAGTACATATTTACTAATTATTGCTATAATTAGGCATCCGAAAACGTAAAACACACATCCACACACACACACACAACAAAGAGAAACAATTGCAGAAACCCACGAAAAAAGATAACAAGAAAACAAACATTTATAATTACAAGAATTAAAATGTAAGCGAAAGTACACACACACACACACCAACACCAACACCAACATACACTCTTGTAAAATGCAGAATCGCGATTTTGTTTTTGTATAATCGAGACCCATTTTTTCACGTTCGTTAAACGTTCTATTAATATTAATATTATTATTTTTATGATATGATATGATACCATTACCTGCTATTCATAGTTTTTGTTAATTTAATTTCACTTTTTTGTGTTCGCCTTTGAATTTTTGTGTACAATGCGCGCGCCGTTGAGTTTTTTAATTTAAATATTATCATTATATATTTTTAAATATAACCCATAATATTTAATTTTGGAGTTTCCCTGCTTTTACTTTTGTATATTTTTCGTTCAAACGTTTTGCAAGCAAAAGCATCAATAATATTAATATTAATACTTTAATATTAACAACAATCTTCCAATAGGAACGCGTGGCGCCTTGTAAGCAGAAAAAAGAAACGCTTTCTTTGTATGTTTTTGTTTCCGCCCCAAGAGAAAAATTTTTTCGATTTAAAAAACAAAACAAAAAACTAGCATAAAGAACCACCTCCCCCCAAGAGTTTAAATCTAACAAGCAGAAAATGTTGTTAATAACGCGATCATACATATATTTAGTGCAGTAGGCAGATAAGTTTACACTTAAAAATACAATGAAAAAATGTATAATTTTTAATTTATAATTATTAAAAATGTAAGTTGACTCGCGATATCAACAACAACAACAACTTTCCACAGAAAAATACAAAATCCCACAAAAAAATTGCAAAATGATCTAGATAACATTTAACGTACAACAAATAAAAATAAAAAACCAAAAAAAAAAATACAATGCTTAGGATTTATGCAAAAAGAAAAAAGTACATAAAATAACAAAAAAAAGAGAGAGAACACTTTGTAAAATCATTTTTAAATGTGTATAAAAAGAAAACTCAAAATAAAAGGGTTCCCAAAGCAAGCAGCCCAAAATTATTAAAACAGAAACCCTACATCCATTAAGGATACACCATTCTCTTTGATTAAGCCGATCATTACCTATTGTTTCAATGGATCCTCCACCCCAAAAAACAAAATGTACGAAAAGCCACAAAAAAAATATATCTTTAACCCTCACGACACCTCCCCCTCAACAAATATGTAATTCTATCATATAAATAAATTATATATAAATAGTATTTAAACAAAATCTAGCGAGTGTTTTGAATTTAGTGCGGAAGCACACGTCACCTTCCCTCTCATATGATATATTCCCATGAAAGTCTACGGTTCGGCTGCCATGTACACCACTTGGAAATCTCGGTAGTATTACTCATGGAACGAGAGTCTCCTCCTCGGAACGCCGCAGCTTGACTAACGCGTAAACACCTGGTCATAAAAATACTCCGAACTGATAACTGATTTATCAAGCAAAGCCCATACTCGTACGAGGCAGTGGGTTCTCGGGGGGAAAATAGAGATATGGTTTGTTTACTGCTGGGCGTTCTCTTACTTGAAAGCTTACTATGGTTGAAAGTTGAGATATACGAAAAATCACACTAAACTTATTTTTGTGTATACGATACTGACCTACTGTTTACACTGATTTTGTGCGTCCCGGAAGGGGGACTTTCTCGATTTTTTAATGGGAATATCCCACACAACTTAAATGTTACTAACCCAGACTATATCGAGACATCGATAAGACCTGATGGACATAGAAGCAAGCTAATCTGAAACTTAGAAGTGTTTCCTTTTTACATTTTATATGCCTTTCTAATAGTCTGGCTTTGAGCTAAAGATCTTGCTATATAGAGCTATTATATGTCTATTCTATAATATAACCGAATCTCTATTACGTTCGTGCCATTACAAATTATATATACTTTCACATATGGTATGATTTGTGGTTGGACTTTACGATCAACATTTTACACAATTTAAAGATTAGTTAATTCAAATCAATCCGACTTTGCTCTCAATTTAAGTTAGAAGCTATTTTGCTGCAATTGAGCTGCGGGAACAATGAATCTATCTGAAAATCTACATACAAACCTTGTATATATATGTATATATCCAGGTGCACAACACCAGATCCTATGAGATCTAATCCCAAAATATTTATTCTTTCGGTCTATTGGACAGATCCTCGTACAAAGTACCGATTACACAATTCCAATCACCTTTTTCCAAGGTCTAACAATCATGGCTGTGTTTTCGTTTTGATAGACGGACGCTTATCGTAGCTACCATTATTATCAGTTGATAGGTCTACAATTTGCTATTCAATGACTCCCTACATGACGTGCGGCATGCAATCGCCGTAGACAAACCGTTCCACGTGCAACCAAACAACGCAAAGATTCAACAGTTTTCTGGAATTTTATTTTTACAATAAGATTTTTGACGTTTATATTTTTATTTTTGTTCAAATATTAAGTGACTTCGGTGTATGCGGACGCCCGACAGACAGCAGAGTGGTCTTTGATTTTTGATTCTTAGGTAACAGATTTTTAAGAGGCTATAAAAAATACATGATTTTGGGGATTAGCTGCTGCCCGTCAGGTGGGGGAACAGAAAGCACACACACAGAGCGTAATGGATATTAAAAAACGGTTTTAAAGGAAAGCCAATATATAAATATGTATAGAAAATACTAAGACATTAGTATACATAGGACAAGTATTACACACTAGGCTTAACAGGCTTTTCAACTTATGAGGTAACAATTAATTTAAGCGCTCGAGAGTGCTCCCTAGTTAGTCCTTCGTTGGACGAACTAAGCTCACAGGCTAGCATTAATACCAGATATTATATATACACACATATATGCTCAAATCAGGCCCATATCTAATCAGCTTGTTTCGGTTTTCGTTTTCTCGTTATCGTTCCGTTTCTGTTTCTGGTTCAAATCGTGTGGAATATGTATATGAAAAACCCCACATTTGGGGTCTAGCACTGAGATTACATTTAACGACAGGAAAGGAAACCTTGAGTAAACCAAAAACCGACAGTTTAGGAGGCCAGTCCGCGCTGACGACGCTTCACACGTGCATAGGGACCCACAGCCGGATCCATGATGAAGTCGTACAGCACACGACTCCAGCTGGTGTGCTGTGGCATCGTCTCGTAGAATTCCGGGGCAATGCGCTTCACCTCCGGCAGGCGAGAGCCGGGCACAGCGGGAAAGTCATGGTGCTCGTTGTGGTAGCCCACATTGAAGGTAATCCAATTCAAAGGGCCATAGTACGAGTACGTCTCGAAGCCCTTGGCGAACATATAGTGCTCCGATATAAAGTGCCCGGCCACCGGATGCAGACCCATAGCCAGAATGGAACCAATCAGCAGATAGGCCAAGGGCTTCCATCCCAAAAAGTAAACAATCAAAGCGTTGAACGTCAGCTGCACAATGGTATTGATGATCTCCAGGCGTGTCGGGGGCTTGGGGTTAATCACCAGTGGACGGAATATATAGAAGAATGGCTGCAGGCAGACCCAAAGGAATTTTCCAAATGTGGTGTCAAAGAGTCGTGCCTCCAGCAGTGTGGGTATATCCGTATCGATTGCCTCGTCTCCTTGGTAACTGTGGAAAGGTTAAAACTACAATTAGTCTAAGGATTCAATAAGGCAGTATTCATCAGCATACATGACAATCAACAAGTCATTTCATTAAAGATTAGATATAAATGTTAGACCCTTATCAGGTGTGTCCACTTTTAGTCAATGAGAGACTGTAAACATAAATGGTACTATACATATGCCAAGAGTTTAGCAATTCAATTGGGGAACTTTTGCAGCAGATAAGAGCTTGACAATGACTCAAAATGAGTGGAGAATAGAGCTACGTGACCAATTGAGGAAATGCAAGGATTTAGATATGCAAAAGTGAATTACTTTTATATGGAGAGCTTTCTGACTATATGCCTTAAGCTATATATATATGTTTGTGACGGGAGACTCTCTTATCAGACACTCGACAGTGTCCAAGAAATTTAATAAGAGCTAGAGCTAAGAAATTGACTCACGGGCGGACGGGCTTATCATGGGGCGTATATTTCAAATAGAATTATGAAGGCGGCAGACACCGGGGGCCCCAGTGTTGTATAACTTAAACCGCACCGGTATTATAGGCAATGCAAACAATTGTACAAATGGGCTGATGAGGAGTAGGGGCCGCCCCACATTTACAATTTTTTTGTGACTACGCCCCAGCAACGACAAATTAAAGCACAACAGCCGCAGCCGCAGACCACACCTCCGCCACCACGGCCCGGCTCGTAACTGTAAACGATTGGATGTCATTGTATGGGTGTGAAGACCTACTCCTATACGATACATGATATATAGAATAACGTCATAACATCTAGTACATACCGATGATGTTCGAGGTGATACTTCTTGAACGAAATGCTCATGGGCAGGCCAATGGGCAGGTTGCAGATGAAGCCCAGCATTCGGTTGTGCATGGGACGGCTGTGTCCAAAGGCCAGATTGTGCGAAATCTCGTGGACGGCCAACATCAGCGAGTGATTAATGATGCCGCCAAAGCAATAGGCCGCGACGATTAGCCATGACCACGACAGGTCCTTCACAACGAACAGGGCCAGAATTTGTGTCAAGACCATGGCGCCGGCAATCCATTTGAAGTTCGGGTCGTGGCCGAAGAGCTTCTTGATTTGAGGATACTTTTCGAGTATGATTTTACGGCGCGACGCATGCGGCTCCTCCGTGTACACCCATTCAAAGTCAGTGCGCGACACTTTTTGGCCCATTTTCGTAAGGATATTTTAGATTTAAATGTGTTCTCGGGGGTTCGAAGTTAGTGCTTTGACATTATCGATCGAATTGAAACGCAAAACAAATGATTAATAATTTTTATAGAGCGGCTGATTGAACGATGCGACAGGGTGGTGCGGGTGGAAAGAAAAAGTGACGGCCCAGCAGGGCCATCGATGTGAAAGTTGAAGCCATCGATATTATAACTGATAACAACTATCGCCACTTCAATTGAAGACTGAGGCTAGACACCAAATCTTTAGGGGAAAAACATGTAGTGTGACAGAGATTTTCTGACAGCGCAGTACCAAAGAAACTTCAAATGTATCCTCTGAAATAATAGAGTAAATTTACCGCATATGATCAATTGTGCGTGTTTCTAAACCAGCAAACTATTTACCGGTATCAAAGTGTAGGGAAATGCGACCCTAACTATCGCAGTCACAGTTATCGATAGCTAGAACGAAAATGCATGCCTGGTCGATTTCAGCTGAACAGCAATATTTAAATTAAATTCAAATTTCTTTTGCAAATTGCAGCTAAATAAAATGCAACAATAACACCACATGCTCTGATTTTGTTCGCCATTTTTATACAATTTCTTATAATTGGTAGAGTTTAGTAGTAGTACATTTGGAAAACGTTGTAATTGAAGAAATTTAAAGATTACATTAAAAAGGTAAAGCGGCACCAAACCACTGCCGATGATGTTATAGTTGTTCTGATCGCCACGAATGGCTGATATGCCACTCCTTAATATGGCTGGCATAGCTCTGGGTCGTATGTGTGGGTGGTTCTATGGATGGCTTCACAGCTGTTGCTGCTGTTGCTGGTGGGCGTGTTGTTATATTTAAACATAAATTGTATATGTGTAGTTTTTTGTATTGTTTTTAATATATTTATATCAATAGTTCTAGAAAAAGCTAAAACAAAGGTGTGTGTTTGCAAAAAGATGTTGGGCTTGCCAATTGTTTGCTTTCGTTTAGCTTGATTTTAAATATTACTCTTTCTTCAGATAGATGCAAATGTGGATTTGTTTCATATATGTATTTGTATATATATTTGTTGCTGCTGGTTGACGACGCAGTTTTAAAATTGATGTTACACAGGTGAGAGAACTAATTTGCTATGGAAGGCGGAGGAGGCGCGTGTCCACTCCACGGCTAGATGATGGTGTTTTTGCCCTGGAGGACTGCTGCTTGGTTGATGTTTGCTGCTGCTGCTGGTGTTGTTTGCCTGTATCTCTCTGCTGTCCTTGTCGATAGGTGTTGCTGTTTGCTGCCTTTTTTGGATTGATGTTTGGGAAAATATTTAGCTTGAAGTTCTCTTTGAATATTGGTTTAATAGTTTTTCTCTCAGATCTTCGATTTTCTTCTCGCTGTTTGGCTCACTCACTTTTTTATTTTTATTTAGGATTCTCTCGATCTATCTCTCGCGTTTGTTGTTTCGTGGCTCAACAGAAACTATTTAAATCAAATCGGCAATATTAGCAGGCATTTCCTCAATTGTTGTGTGATAGAACTGTTCAATATCCTTCAGGATTCGCCGATCATCATCCGTAATGAAGTTGATCGCAACACCCTTGCGACCGAAACGACCACCGCGACCAATTCTGCAAAAGAACACACGATTTAAAGACGATGCCTTAGAGGATTTGGGACTCTGTAGATCTCTTACCTATGAATATAATTCTCGCGGTTCGAGGGCAGGTCATAGTTGATGACCAGCGACACCTGCTGAACATCAATACCACGCGCCAACAAATCAGTGGTGATCAGGACACGGGACGAGCCCGAACGGAATTGTTTCATGATGACCTCACGGTCACGCTGCTCCATATCACCATGCATGGCCGACACAGTGAAGTTGTGGCTCGACATCTCCTGGGTGAGCTGGTCGACCTTGCGACGCGTATTGCAGAAGATGACCGACTGGGTGATGGACAGAGTGTCGTACAAATCGCACAGGGTGCCCAGCTTCCAGTTCTCCTGCTTGACGTTCACGTAGAACTGCTTGATACCCTCAAGGGTCAGCTCCTCCTTCTTGACCAGAATGCTGACGGGCTCGCGCATGAAGCAACGGCTCACCTCGAGCACATCTGGCGGCATGGTGGCAGACAGCAAGATCACCTGCACATCTGGGGGCAGCATCTTGAACACATCCTGGATCTGGTCCTTGAAACCGCGAGACAACATCTCATCGGCCTCATCCAGCACGAACAGCTTGATATGCTGAGTGCGCAGCACCTTGCGGTTGATCATGTCGTACACACGACCGGGTGTTCCCACCACCACATGGCAGCCGGACTCCAGAATACGGGCATCCTCGCGCACATTGGTGCCACCAATGCAGGCATGCGAGTGCACCTTCATGTACTCGCCAAGAGCCATCACCACGCGCTGGATCTGCGTGGCCAACTCACGAGTGGGGGCCAAGATCAAAGCCTGGCATTCGCGCACGGCCGTGTCGATTTGCTGAAGAATGGCAATCGAAAAGGTGGCAGTCTTGCCAGTACCTGAAGATATAGAGCAAAATTATGGTTAGATTTGGTTAATGGTAAATGAATACATTATTTTTTCTTCTAGTCCCTTCAATTTGTGGCCTTGAATACACTTGAATACAGTGGAAACCGAAGGTATTTAAAGGCAGAAAGCCTTCAAGGACAAGCCTCAATGTAATCCGCCTTTAGAATCATGAATAATGGATTAGATTTGCTTCGAAAAATCCCTAAGCGTGAAGACAGCTGACATTTGCATAGATGATGGAAAACAAGGGAGGAAATAGCCATTTTCTTTGTGAGTAGATCTGCAGGTAGGGGAAACCGAAACACTGCATTTAGATCATGTTCTTATAGAACAAGACAGCTGACATTTGCATCGATCTTGGTTATTTTACTTGCAGGTAGAAAGTCGTACTCCCATTTCTCGGCCACCACACCACGACCTTCTTTCCAGGAACTTTCTTCGGCAGCAGAAAACAGAAAAACGCGCGGCAGACATCAGAAAAGTGGCGCGCAAGCGCAAAGACGCTAAGAGAGTGGGGCAGGCGGGAGAGGAGAGCGGGCAAAGAGAGCAGAACTCGCTTGAGAGAGAACTGAGTCATCGACGCCGCTGCTTCACTCTTTTTTTTCCTCTTTATTTTACATTTTTTTTCTGCAACTTTTGCACTTTCTCGAACAAATTTTTCTTTGTTGTTGGATAATATATATGGGATATTACTCACCGGACTGAGCCTGGGCAATGACATCGCGACCCTTGACGCACGGAATGATGGCGCGCTGTTGGATGGCCGATGGCTTCTCGAAACCATAGCCATAGATGCCGCGCAGCAGCTCCTCGCGCAAGTTCATGTCATCGAAATTGTCGTAGACCTCATGCCAGGTCGACTCGATGACACCCTCGGGGTCCATGCCAGCGGGACCATCCTGAGCTATCTCACTGTTCCGATCATCCCTGGAAAAGAAACAAAGGAAAGCCAAGAATTAAACACACAATTTTCTGTATGCATATGGTGTATAGAGGGGGGTGGGGAGGAAATTTTTCACTGCACTTTTCCCCATTTTCACACACAAACTCTCCCCCTCCCTGACTGGCACACTTTTGTTGGTTAGGGCGAATCGCGCTTAGCAACGGAGCGCCGCCACTTACATTATCAACAATAAAGAATTGACTAGAGAAGTTTTTATCCTGAATTTCGACGGCAGCCAAACCGTTCACTCTAACAATTTGTCGTCTGTGTTTTCCTACACTTTGGGAAAGTGAAGTAACAAAGAAATGTTCAGTTTTTTTTTTGGGTGACTTTTCTCCAACCGAACGCGTTTCGATGATTTTTTTCTTTTTTGTTGTGTGTGTGAGTGAGTGTTCTCTGCTCTGCGGTATTTTCACGTATAAAATCTGACTGCTAGTTTCGACGACAGCTAGGCGGCCTTTTTCGAGCGTAGCGTCCGCCCATGAATGTGTGCGAGCGGGACCACAATAGGGGGTGAGTATGTCAATGTCAGTGGTTGCTGCCATTGGTGAGAGCAGTCGAGCAGTAGCTTCGAAGGAATATAACTGTGGATGCAGTGTTGCCATACATTTTTATTCGGTTTGCCAAATAGTAGTAGCGAGGGAAAATTATGCCGACAAGCGAAATTTTCTATCTCAAATTATGCCGATGAAAGGAAAACAGACAGAGAGAGAGAGAGAGAGAGAATGGGCGCAGAGCAGGGGCGCTGGAAGGACAAACACCAATTTGTTGAATTCGGTGCTTTCGTTTTTAGAATTGTTACCAAACCGCTTTGGCATTGAAGTGTCCGAGAATAAACGTTTGCCGTCATTGTCCAGCCATGAGTCAAAGGCCTGCGAGTCTCTGCCACTGTGTGTGTGTGCGAGCGGATATTTATGCACTCTCCAGAACGACTCAAATATTTAAACAACGTCAACGGCCTCTCTTTGATCGGGTTGCCTTGCATTTTTTACTACATTAGCATTATAAAAGTATTAAATATCCGCAGTAGAACAACACACTCATGGAACAACCACTATGCTCTCCGGCTCTCTATCTTCGTCCCTCTCTTTGGGAGCGCTGTCATTCGAGCGACAGCCGTCGTGTTCAATTTTTTCACACATTTTTAGCCGTCACAAATTTTTAAATCAATTTTTCTATATTATTGCACATTTAAATTGTCCTTGAACTATTGCGAAACGCTGCCAATGGACTCGGCTGATCGATTTTCACAATTTTGACGCTTAATTTACGGTTCTTACTAACATTTTCAGAAAATTATTTGGCACTTTTTATACACGTGCTGCTACTGATTTGTTAAAACCAAGCAAAAGAGGCTCCATCTTGGCAAAGTTTTAGTGACGTCGAAAACATCGGTCGCTATCGATAGATGGCGGCGATCTATCGCGTACTGTCAGAGGAAATCCGGTGTTTCCGGCTAAATTTCAACATGCCTGTAAAATGTGTTGCTACTGTTGAATCTTTAAAAAATTAAGCAAGCACTTGGGGTAGCGTTTCGGGTAATTTGTTGTAATATTAATATTTTCTCCATATGACATGATGTGGGCGCTGCCACCCTGTCACAGGGTTGCATTCGGTTGAGGTAGTTGCCAGATCGGCCAAATTACTTTACAATCAATAAAGAGGCTCCATCCAGTGTCTCCCAGAAAATGCAATATAGTCCAAGAAAGCCTTTAAACAGAGCACCTCCCGGACCTAGAGTAAAGATCGGAATGTTGTAACTCTAACAGAAAAGCTTTATCAGAAAGTGGCCAAAAACCTGCCTGACAAGAGAAGCCAAATTCAGAAGGGAAGCTAAATCATGAGTAGCCTAATTGTAGAGCAGAACAGTGTCCCAGCAATCAAGGCGACCATGGCGATGAAGGCGATTTCTCGGTAGCTGTCCAATCGATTCAGCCCAAGTACCCTGGCGCTTCGGAAAAGGCCACGTTTAACACGCTAACATCTTTAAAGGTACGGAGTTGCGTAAATGCTTTGAAATTTGGTTTTCCTCGATGATGACTCAGAACGGATATCCGAGAATGATCCAATTTGGGGGTCGCTGGGCACGAGTTACTGTGCGGCGTCTGTTCAAGGGCATTCCAAGATTATGAATTCAATACCTGAATTTGTGCCGCAAGTAACCGAGTCCACCGTTCTGAAGCAGCCTGACTAATATTGTGTCTTTATAGGATCTCCATGGGTCGCTGAAGGGCTGCCGACGATCCAGATGCCAAAATGCCAAAAGCATGCCCTGGCTTGGATGTCTTTGCGTGAGAATTAGAGTCCACCTGGCGGCATTTTGGCCGATGATATGGGCTTAAGCAAGACCCTGAAAATAATTTCAGGAGAGCAAAGTGAAGGAGAGAACGATACAAACGGAAAAGCACTGGTGGATGGAATTGGAAGGTCCGAAAAAGTAAATCGAATAAGGTGTTTCTAATATAAACTGATTATTTTCGTTGCAGCTCATCTTGGTGGCACCTTAGTCGTGTGCCAGGCTAGCTTGCTGCGCCAGTGAGAGGCAAATGGTCATCATGGCAACAAGCACTAGACAAAGGCCAAAGAAGTCAGGTAATCGACGTTAAAGACTACAAGAAACAAGAGCAACAGGACCATCCGCAGCTGAAAATAAAATTAAACTGTTTGCCCTGCAAGGAGTTGGGTATAATTGAGATTTCCCTTATCTTTTTGGTTCACAATGATAAAATTAGCTTAAAGTATTTGGTTTTAAGCATTATATGTATATCTGCTCCTTTTCCCACAGCCATAATATTTACGCGCCAAATTTTATTTTTAATCTAGGTTTCGCTGTTTGCTGGCGATAGTTTACACAACAGGGAAGAAATATTCGGAAAGTCGATTTTGATTATGAGTTGGGCGGTATTTTAGATAGATATGTCCGCGGTCCCACTGATTTTCTTGCCAGTTTGGACACCATGTCTAGTTTATACTTATACTTTTCATAGTATTTTCTAAAATTTTCCAGTATATTTGAAGACGCGTTTTGGCCACATTCTCTTTTTCAATGCACCAATGTAGAAACACCAACCATACAGTATATACTGTATGGGTAGTGGTAGAAATCATGTAGAAATGCTGAGGGTATATAATGGTATATTTTGCCAGTTTCATCAATCTATTAAATTTAAATTAAGCCAATCAAGTGGAAAAAAGAACTCTATATAGCTTGTAATATTCGACGGACCCGGTTCACAACAAATGAGTCCGATTCCATGTTCACATAACCTGGGGGGAAATGGATGTTATAGAACTATAGAATTATTCAAGGGAATGTAAAAATTGAACAATATGAACGATTCTCTTTCGCTTTTTCGTGTGACCTATATCGCTTAAAACTTTTTTTGTTTGACCATTTTCGCTAAAATCTTTGTTTACGCAAAATGCAATAAAAGCAAGAATTTAAAATAAGCCAGTTAAGTAGAAAAATTATTCATGAATCGTATAAAATTATGTGGGCATGGCTAAATGTTCTATATAGCTAGTAATATTCGACGGAATATCAAAAACGAGGAATATGTAAAATAGTACTTCAATTCGTCAGTATATTTACGGTATATTTTTTAAATGAGACTGTATGTTTCGGTATATTTCTGACGGTCGGGCGGATTATTTTATCGACAAGTCCGCGGTCACACTGGTGAACATTGTGAGTGGCTTCGAAGAATTTTTTCCAAATCCAAAATTATTTAGTATTTAACGAAATTTGGTTGCCCAGAAAGTTGATTAGGTAGTTGAGTGAGTAAAGTGTGTGTGAATATGAGATTTTAATGCATATTATACGCTGGAAATGTAAATGAACATCACACATGTACGCGCATTTTGGCCGACGGCGTTAGCTGTGCGTCGTCGTGTTACATGTGTGTGTGTGTATAAGTGTGCAAAAAATTAAGTGGGAAAAGTTCAGCGGCAGCCGGTCAGTTTGAACTCAAGACAATTTGTCAGCCTTTGCGAATTTATTACCCATGTAAATAGAATTCTTGTGGACAAAACGTATAGCTTTATATATACTCCTGGCGTACATATATGCATTAAAATTAAAGTCTATTTTTAATTTATGACAGTTACTCAGTACCGGCCAAGAAAGCAGCGCTCCGCTCCTCCATCCGATTCATAACACTCACACACTCAGCGAGAGAGCGAAGTGTGGTTGAGTCATCGTCTGCTCTCACTCACTCATTTGCATTATACGTTGCCGGCTGATTAATAACGGCTCGCCATCTATGCCTTTCTCCCTCTTGCACACGCTCCAGCTGCACTGCACTGTAGCTGTGTGAGTGAGAGTCTCGGAAAGAAGTGGGGGTGAGTGAGTGTGAGTCACGTTTTGAGTGCTTTCCACTCTGGGAGCACACTTTTGGAGCCTTTCTGCATTCGAAATCTCTCTCGGACTCGACCCGAAAGAGAGCGAATACACCACCTTGTATTGCAATCTCTCTCACCATCTTCTCAATCGAATACAGCTCCCTCAATCGTTTTTAAAAAGTCGTGCAAGGCGGACGTGGAACGTGGAAACTGCTATTTCGCTGTGCGTGTGTGTTGTGTGGCTGTGCTCGCTCTAGTGTGTGTATAAGTGAGTTTTTTCAAACGAAAAAAATTGTTGAAACTAAAGTAGTCGATGGGCTTACAGTTATCCCCATACTTCCCTTGTATAGGTTAATTTATTCGATGCCAGCCACAGTCATTACTGTTGTTGCTCTAAAATCGTTCGGCTAGTCCCGAAAAAAAATAGTCGACAAAAATATAGTTGACTGGAAATAATTGTTAATAACTGTCTATCTCTCTTTTCAACCCTCTCGTTGCAGTTTGCACAAGTTCGAAATAAAATAATTTGTAAGCAAATAATCGTCAACGTTGCGGTTTTTTGCTTTGTCTTCTTCCCCCAACTTCTACGCTGCACAAATAATTTCGGTGGCGTGTGTACTCCCTACTCCCCCCTCCGGAAAGCCGACAAAAAGTGTCAAGTGCAACTCTATAAATAAATTGCCAACGCAATAAGTTAACAACAAATCCGAAGCATCAACATGAGCTGGCAAGATTATGTGGACAACCAACTGCTCGCCTCGCAGTGCGTGACCAAGGCGTGCATTGCCGGACACGATGGCAACATCTGGGCGCAGTCTGCTGGCTTTGAGGTGAGTAAAACTAACGGTACTATTGCGTTTGACAATGAATTTTTCGCGCAAGTTCAAGGGTGTGACCAGGCCCACCACACTCACACATACACAGAAGGCAGTCAGACAGTGAGACAGACACAAAGGAGGCACATGCATGTCCGCCATGATTACTTTCGTTTCGTTGTGATAAAAGAGCCAGCGAGCAGCACTGCCACCCCCTCTGTTCTGTTTGAGTGTGTTTGTCGTCGTCCACCCCCTGCAGCCGTTGTTCTCTCTGCGCAGGCCCTCTCCCACAAGGCAGCAGCCTTGCTGGGTCCGTCTCTGTGTGTGGGTGATCGTGTGAACTCTCACCACTACATAGATAGATTTATACTTTTCCTACTCTCTCCTCTCTAAGGTTTAAGCCTGTATGACATTTAGGGGACCTTCGGATTAGTGACATCGAATATTAGAGTAAGATAAGCCTTTGGGCAAATACAATGTAAAGCGAGGGAGCGGAAGACTAGTGCTCAAATTTCAACTGCTTTTATCAACAATATAGGGAGATGAAACTAGTGCTCAAATTACTAATCTACTGCTCTTCCCAAGGCAGATGAAACCAGTTTTAAGATTACTTTTCTACGAATATTCTACTGCTTGACACTTGCATACGAAGTCTATAAGGAAGATGAAACTAGTTTTCACATGCAATTGCTGTTAATTTTCTGCTCTCTTCAATTGTAAAATTAACTTCTTGCATCCCGCGAAAGGCCCCTGTCGCAATACTTCATTTAAACTAAGTGGAATTCCATTAGTTAGTGTCACACAGGCTTTAGTCAGATGGTTTCCATTAAAGTTTAGTTTTACGATTTCTGCTTGTCAGAATGCGATAAGAAGTGCCAGTCATATGCTTAATCGCCAATACCCCAATTAGTCCCATCTAATCAAACAAATTTGTTTGTTCCTCTCTCCCGCTTTACTATCAAAATCTCTATATGTGTTTGCTCCGATGATTCATTCTGTTGGATGATTCGTCATTTGGGCGAACGACAGCTGCTACGCTGCTGCTCCTGCAGTTGCTCATTCGCAAGCCATATTCGTTCGATTCATCATCAAATAATTCAAAATGCATTCCACTGAAAGGTGTTTTTTTAGTAATCTGATATCAGCAGCAGCCGGTACGAATATGGCATTTGCCAACACTGCTGTGATTTGTGTGATAATGCAAGCGCGACACACACTCCCTTTTTTTTGTCAGCAGCGTGAGAGGGAGAGAGCGGCAGCGCGCGAGAGAGCACCCTTTTATCAACTTCACTCAATAGTTTGATATGCCCGTACGTGTGTGTGAGAGTGTTGGAGTGTGGGTTTTATTATCTCTGTTTTTTTTCTGTTCGTTTCCTCCCTGCCGGCAAAAAAAAAAAACAACTCTTTATCAAAAAGAAGGAAAAATATCTTGGGTAAAAAAGCGCAGCCCCAAAGCGAACCCACAAATGCCGCGTCATCAACAGCCTCGACTCTTCAAATGTTTTAAGAATTCATTTTTTTTTTTTTGTATGCGCGCCACGTTTTTTGCGTTTTTGGAGTGGTTGTGTATACGTGTGTGTGTGTGCAACTTCCTGCTGACTCCACTCCACTCCACACTCCATTCCATTCCATTGCCATGTGCTTTTATCCTGCTTTGGCTGTTGCGCGCCCCATTCTGTGGGTTTGCGGTGTGGGAAGGGGTATGCGGGGTGGGACTAGGGACACTCCCTTTTTGCTTTGTTTCGAGTATGAAAACCCGATTATCTTATTGCATTAGACGGAATCGATGTCGATTTCGATATTGGGACATGACATAAATTATTGCAATAGCAATGATATTTTGGCAATGAGTTGGCAGTCTGTCAGTCGAACAATTTCCATTTTTAAGCCGCTTTTACGTTGATTTGCCGTGTGTCAACGTCATCATCTTGACCACACAATCATATCAACTTGTATTGTGTGTCGTCTCTCTCCCACATTTCGTTCGTTGCTATTCTCCACGCGTACACCTCTTGCCATATCACTTTCATTTCGTTTTGCTGGCTCTTTATCTCTCACTGCTTTTGTTTGTTGCGTTTTTTTTTCTTTACAGACTTTTGGTTTTAGTTTGATTTTATTTTATTTTTCATCTTTACCGATGATTCATACTCTCAAAAATGATTAAAAATTATTACCAAATAAAGTTGTATATTCGAATTTTGGTTCAGTTTTTGGATCAGCTGTGTGTAAGGCCTTGCCAGACTGCTTTAGGAAATCTATAAGGTTTTATGTGTGTGCGTTTGAGCCAAAAGTGGATTCTCGTTCTGGAGGCTTATCAAAACAGATTTTTTCTGTAATTGCGCCAAAACCATATGAAAATCCCGGCTTTAAAAGGTAACATCAACGAAATCGGTTTTTCTTATTGCATTCCATAAATGGAATATTTTTTGTCTCCCAAATCATTAGAAATCGTATGTTTCTGCAGTAAACAAAGAAAAAATACTGCTTCTTGGGGAATTTTTCCTTATCGCTTGCCTGCCTGTGCGCTCGAGAGTTTTGCCCAAAATGTGTGCCATTTTATTAATTGAGCTGCCGCTTAATTTATTAAAAATTTTTGGCATAACTTTTGTAGGCAGCAAACCGGCTTTTTTGAGACTCTGAAATCTCTTTCTCTCTCTGCCTCTCTCTCACACACACACACACTCATGCGATTTTCGTTTTTTATATTTTGCACTCAACTGGAAACTTCTCGATGCTTTTTTGTGGTTCTCTCTTTTGAGAGAGAGCAAGAGAGAGAGAGAGAGGGAGAGTGCGCATGTGTCACAGTTTTGTTGAATCCAAAGTGAGTAACTATTAATCATGGTTGTATTAATAAAACAAAAAATAAAACCAGAACAGAAAGAAAATTAATCGAAGAGCAGCTGTTATTAAAAGAAGAGAGAGAGAGGGAGAGAGCGCTGTCCTTTTTAGTCAAGGCTAATGACACTCTCATTCTCTCATTCTTTGCCCTCTCTCCCACTTGTACAAGTCATTCAAGTGTGCAAAACTTGTTTCTTTTTTTTTTAAGAATCCCAAAATCAAGACGCACCAGCACCATATCCCCATCCTCATCCACACATATCCCTTTTTCAGTGGACGACGAGACGACCGCATTTAGTTAATGAGTTGGCAGTCGTCGATATTGCCGCCGCGTGTTGGGCTCTCGGTTGTTGCCAACTGTTTGCGAATGGGTGGTTGCAT